TGCGGAGAAGTGGATTGGAATTATTGGGGAGTGTTTAGAGAATGCGGCAGAGTGGCTGGCTTGAGATGAAGATTGGATCAAGTGGGGCTGAGATAGATGGACCGCCGTGATTAGAGAGAGGTGATGATAATGATGATGGGTGCGATAGAGATACATCTATACATACACGATGATTCAGTGGAGGATATACGGAAATAGTATAGAGAGCAGACGTAGATAGATATACACAGAGGCAGAGTCTAGAATCTGCTTTATTTTATTCTTTTCTTTTCTATACACCTCTTGGTAATAGATATTGATGGAAAAGTAGAGTAGACCAGGCTAGCTAGTCATGAATAAAAACTTTATTTGAAATAATTCATTCTTTTTCTTCCTCTCTCTCTCTTGAACGTAATCGTGATCGTGATCGTGATCATGAATCTACGGAGTGAGTATACTAGGTTACCTCGTAGTAACACCATATTAAACCCGAGGATGATAGAAACTTGAAAGAATGAAAATGAGAATGAGAATAGGCAAAAATTGGATGGGTTATCGATGAGGATGGGTCGTCCTACAAGAGACGGTATATAGGGTGTGGGGTATGTGATGTGGATGTGATATGGTATGGATGGGTGGATGGATGATTGTGAGGCTTTAGGTTGTAGTGCTTGGGGGGGGGATGGGGGTGAATAGAGGATAGGGATAGGGATAGGGATAGGGATAGGGATAAGAATAGAGGGATGTTGTGATATTATATAGATTTGTGTATATATCTAGATAGATATTTAGATATTTAGATATTTAGATATTTAGATATTTAGATATTTAGATATTTAGATATTTAGATATTTAGATATTTAGATATTTAGATATTTAGGTGAATATTCTTCAAAGATGAATCTTGGAATATTAAGAGTTTTAAGGGAAAAGGGGAGAAGGGAAGAGAGGGAATGGTTAGTAGAGGGTTATGATTGGGTTTGATTTGGGATTGGGATTGGGATTGGTGAACGGGGGGTTGGATGGAGGGATGGGTAAAGGGATGGGTGGGTGGATGGGATAATAAAGGAGATAGATATAGATGTAGGTAGACAGAGGTATTTGTAGATGAGTAGATAGATATGTATGTATATATATGATATATAATATTTAGAGGGGATCCATATTTATCAAAGTTTAGAGAGTGATTAGAAAGTAGTTGGAAGATAATCAGGATTATAGATAGGGAATGAGAAGTACCGTATCGTATAATATCATCTTGGTGGACTCGAATAAGAGTAAAATGATTGTGATGTTATATATAAGTATATAATTATGTATCAAGGAATAATATCAATCTTTTTGAGATAGATATTTAGGTAAGTAAGATTTGAAAATGAATTTTGGGAAATGAAGAGTTTTTTGGCAGAGGGGTGGGATCAAGGGGTGGAGAGGATGTGGTTTAATTTGATTGGGTTTGGGATGGTGGATGGAGGGATTACGGAGGGAAGATGGAGGGATGATGGAGAAATGATGAAGGGATAATAGAGGGGTAATAGAGGAATAATAAAGTGATAATAAAGGAATAAGTAAATAAGATATATTAATCTTTAGATCAATCGAACTCTTGAGATATCAAGATATTAAAAGGTTGAGAAATTGAGAGATTGAAAGATTAAGAAATGAAGGAAGATTTTAAAGGGATTTCGGATAGGTGAAGTGAGTAGATAAGTGTGTAGATAGAGAGATAAATAGGCAGAATAAATGAGTAGATATATACAAAGCTACAAAATTAAGTAGAACTTTGGGTGTTGATATGAGTAATATGATATCATATATGTGATATTTAGAGGGATCTATACCTATTAAGGTTGAAAGAGTAGTTGAAGAGTGATTGAAGAGTGGTTGGTTGATTGACTCCCTAATCTTAGTAATCTTATCTTCCAAATTTCGATATAGCGAAGAGGGTGATTCGGTGTTGGAAGTTATATTTGTATTTGTATTTGTATTTGTGTAGAGATAGAGATGGATGTGGTATATCTGATGTTTTCCTCTTCGCTTATTCCCATCATTGTTTCGTCAAGCCGAATTGTAGAGAAATAGAGATGTGAATGTAGAAATTTGTGTGGAGATGGGGATAGAGATCAAAATAGAAATCTAAATGGAAATAGAGATAGAGATAGAATGAAATAGAAATGAAGATATAGATGGAAATAGTAATAGTAATTTTATATAATAGATAGGTAGGTAAGCTTAGAGTGAAAATGATTTCTGTAATGTACCACTTTTGGATCTTAAGATTTGAGGATTCGATACTGGGAAGCATTAGATTTCAATTTGTCTGGAAGTTAGAGCTAAGGTGGGTATGAGAATCGTGAGGGTGGATCTGGGTTTGTTGGGTTGATAGATAGACAGATACCTAGAAAGAAATTGGTATGTTTTGATGAATTGGAATTTTGTTTGATCTTGTATATGTGGTGAGAAAGATGGTGGTGAGATTATGAGGAAAAGTAAGGGTTGGAATTGTATAAAGTTGGGGTCTGCATTCAGGTCATCATTTGTGGGTATTCAATGTTGAAAAAACAATGTTGGTTTTATTCTTGACAGATGAGTGAAAAGGAGTTCGGCTCTCAACCAATAGATGTGGAGGAAACTTGATCAAGAGAAAATTCTCGCTTCGAAGAGATAGACTGTTGAGAGATGAAAGCTGACAACTTTTATAAAAGACGTCAGTGTCTATCATTCACACAATCACAGATAAAAGGCATTCCTTAAATAGCATTTCTCGTTCATATCAATAGATGGACCAGCCAATCTTTCATCTGTCACACCTAAGGTTTATCCACAAAGGACCTTCCCTTTTAGAAAAACCATTCCATCGCAGTCGTTCACAGCCCAAGAGATATCCATCCATACGCCCTCATTCAATAATTCATTTCCCAAGATCCCAAAACCACAAGATGATACCCATCCAAGCTAAACTTCCCATTTCGCAGCGTGCAACTTCAGTCTCAACTTCAATTCCCATCATAATCATACATGCACTCCAACAAATCCGACTGTATAGCTCTCAACGTACGGAGTAATTGCTTGTACTTTCTATTATCAAAGACACATTAGCATCCATTCTATCCATTCCATTCCATCACATCTCGCAAACCCATCCCTCACAAAAAGAAAAAGTCAAACTCACCCACGAAGTCTCAATCTCCCATAAAAATGACATCGCACAACCAAAGTTTTCAAGCGCAATGCTTCTTCAATTCTCTCAACGACATCATCGAGAGCAGCGCGTAGAATACTCAAGATCGACTCGCCACCAAGGGCATTGCGGTAATGGAGAACGAGCTCGTAGAGTTCGCGGTAGTGGGATTCGAAGTCGATGAAGATTTCGGGGGGGACGAGGTTGTGAGAGGGTGTATAACGGGGCATTTTGTTGTTTTTTGTCTTTTTCTGGAGAGAAGGTGAGGGGAGACGATGGTGGATGTGAGAAATTGGGAGGGGATTTTTCCGCGTATGTGTGTGGTTGATGACGATGTCGACGGCAATCGCGATTGTTAGCTTTCTGTAGAATTGTAGAGACGTGGATACTGCAAGTGAGAGCTCTTTGTCGGATGACTTAGATTCAAATTAACACTTTGTAAATTGAATCTGAATTGAATCGCAAAACCGACGTAAAAGAGAGATGTAAAAACGATGCGCGATTGATTCGCAGAAGATTATGTAAATTTCTTCAAATGGAAAATACCATAACAAAAAATGCAAGACGAATGAGGAGTGGTAGCCTAGAGTGATGAGATGTCTGAATTGAATATTTGGGGTGGCGTGAAATTGAATTGAATTGAATGGTGCGGGGTGAACGTGTGCAAAGTTTTGTTTGTGAGAAGATTTTTAGACGAATCACGGTTAGAAATTTGTGAATCTATACGAGAAGTTGAAGAGGTTTGACTGGGCTTAGTGATCTTGATGTAGGAAGATATAAGATGATAATATCATCACCTAGGAAAATTGTTTGTGTAGGTAGAGAGGCAGTTGGGCAATTTACCTAAGTTGGAGTCGTTTATATGAGCTCCAACGGGCGACAAGCGAGGAGGTAAATTGGAGTACCAAAAATGTTGCCTTCTTCACTAGGTGACCTCTACTCATGTTTGGTATACTCATAAGAAATGAACTCAAAGGTCTAGAAAGGTAGATGCAGAACAATTAAACAGATGAGGATTAAGAATTTCAAGAAGTGAATTTGGAATTTTGTCCATGTGCTATGTTCTTACTTGGAAGACTTTCTATAAAGCCAGAGTTGGGGTTCAAAGTATGGTGATATCAGGGAATCAAAGACCACTGGTATGATATCTAGTCACAATCTATGCACCAAGACCTTTATTACCGAAAAGACCTATTCACTATTGAATTCAGATGAAAGAAGACTTGAGGAAAAGATGTTGAAGAAATCGAGGAAGACTGGACGACAAAGAAGGATTTAGCCGAGTCGAAGAGGCCCAAATATCAAATAAATGGCATCAGAAAGGCCGTTAAAGGTCATTATCGAAAGCTCGAAGGATTGACAGACTATCTGGATACGTGTAAGACTATTCCATCAATAATTTTCAAAATGAAAAGAAAACTCGAAGACAAAATGGCATGTAAGTCTGCGGGCATATATTGTTCCTGTACGCCTTGACAGTACAGATCTTTATTTTTACACCAATTTATACGTTACTACGGTCGTGGTCGTAGCACTTGCACATGTCTTCAAATGGCAAGATAACTATGAATCTTACTAACCTAATATTACTAACCGTATCTTTACTTCTATTTCAACAGGAGCCATATCGATGTCAAATGACATAGTATATAAGAACCAAAACTTCATGTAGCTACTCGTGTTTTCTTTGATCATAACACTTTCAACGAATTCTTACAAAATCGAAGCATCGAACCTCCAAGATATTGATACATAATTTCTCAACAATCAACGATAAAGTCGACAGAAATCCGTTATACATTAAATCAAGCTATTCACTTGATTGGATAACCTGGTCAAAATGCCCAACTTAGAAGAGTCTTATACTTCTCTTATTCATCCAGAGATAACAGGGTCAATATCGGGACTCTACACAATCACAAACACACCATGGATTGCCCAAAACACTCGGTCTGATCCCATAGACTCTTCAAAGTAAGTTACTCCTGAATTATCACCTCGACCAAACTAACGAAACCTAGAATTGATTACGATGATCTAACCAGCGTAACCATTGGATCTCCCTCCAACCCCATTCGTGTGACCTGGCCTCTCGCAGTCTTCTGCATGAACTCTCTCTTTTTCCGTAGCATCTTCATGCCAGAAACACCCACGGTACCAGATACCACGCCTTCTTACATTCGCGCTCTCCGTCTGGAACACCAACGCACAAATAACATCCCATTCCCCTGCATTACACTCGCCGAAACAGACGCTTTCTCCATCTTTGTATCATGGAATACGACCAACGAGTTGAAATCTTCGACCAAATTTGTCGGTATCACTAGTGTTAATGTTTATGAACGCATTCGACAGTACAACAAACTTTGGGATCAGCTAATTGAATGTTACAAACTCTCTCAATTTATAATCGCGCCTAAATTCGCCAACAAGATCATCGATACTATGATATGTGCCTTGAGAGAAGAATGCGGATGGCAAACTCATCGGAGACAACTAGAAGATGAAGAAGATGAAAATATTCTCGCAACTCCCGGAACTCCAGAATATGACGCATTGATTGATCGCTTATCCCGACTTACAACCGAAGGAAACGATAACCTATTCAATCAAACACAATCTTCAAGTACCCCACAAATGGTAGATCAAAATAACACTCCGAATCGGAAAACCAAACTCCTTCCACCGGATGCGAGAAATATTCTCGGTGGATCACCTACGCAAATCTCTCATTTGTATGCATCTACAAACCCGGATTCGCCGCTGCGAAAAATGCTCGTTCAGATGATCATCAACTATTCCGTGCGCTATCCTAAGTACTACGCTCAACCTTCCAGTTTTAGCAGTCTGATCGCAGGCGGGGAGCCAGATACACAAGAGAGACTCTCAGTCCCGATGGAATTCATGATTGATCTATTGGGCGCGTATGCAAAGCTGGGAAAAGAAGCGAGAGATAGAGGATGGAGAGAGAGGGGTACGGCATGTGTGTATCATGAGCATAAGGATGATGTTGAGGAGATGAATTGTCAGGTGCATAGTGCGAGAGAGAGGAATAATGCAGAGGGAGGTGAGGATGTGACAATTTCGTCGGCGGTGGGATATTTGATGGGTTGAGGAGATTAGGATTGTTTTGGGGGATAGTGTGATGGTCACTGAGGGAGGGGGTGTGTGGAGTTGGTAAGGTAGAGAAGTCTTGAGGGTCGGTGAGATAGTCACACTTCGTGTAGTCTTCATTACTAAATGAAAACTTACTAGGTATTTCGAAATATCTTCCTCTTCTAAAACACCTTTTCGAAACTTTTGGTTGTGATATTTGATTGTGAAATCAAAAATAGTCATTGGTGCTTGTCAAAGGGACTTTTGGCAGCAGTTCAAACATTTTAAGGGCTTATAGAAGTATCACGCTTCATCTCCTTGTTACCCTTAAATTACTATCCGCTCGAAAGGAACCAAATCCCGTCTCTTTCCTTTATCTTACTTACAGTGGAAAAAGCTTCGTTTATTGCAACAAATTTTATTGAAGCATTAGTGAATAGAGACATGTGAAAGATGGTTTCATCTCGCAGACTCTAAAACACAGACAATAGGTCCTCTTCACCACGAAGACCGCTAGACAGTTCATAGTAATCGTAAGCATTTCCCTATTAATGAATCATCTTGAAGCATCTCTACCGCAGTCGCGGATCTTCCGATACAATGACTTCATTGTATAATGCTGAGGTAAAGTACTAGGCAGGAACTATATAGATCGCTGGGGTAGAAGTGACGAGAATGTATTGAAAACTTTTATTTACCGGAGTGAACTGCGAAAGCGAACTTGGATTCAAGGGGATAAATTTTTGTACCAGAAACTTCCCATACTTCATTTCCAGATCAAATGAGGTTCTTTATTCCTATGATTAGATAAAAGGGCTTAATTGGGTCAAGGAAGAAGCCCAAGGCTATGAATGGTCTAACAGATTTTTTCATTTTGGATTCTTGATATGAAATGTCATTCATAGAAATGTTGTAAAGGAGAAAGAGAAATTGAATGCTGGAGCTAGCTTGGAAATTGTTTTGTTGCCCTAGATATATACTAGAAAGATTTATCAAAGGTAAAAAAGAAAATTGGGATGAGAACGTCTCATGTAGATCCTAATAATCACATTCAGAATACTAATTCATTATTTAGGAACACAGTATTAATTTGTACTTCACTCATGATAAAAGAAATCTCTCTGACAGTCAGTACAGTCTAACCTTAAGATTCTATTCACCCTCAATTATTTTATACATTTCTTCGATCATTTTCATTTGCCTTATATTATATATCAATGGAATATTCATATTCTGGTATCGTCTAGCATAAATAATGTGATAGCTACATGGTTAAGCTACTTCTCAAGGTCCTGGAAGTATCTATGTCAGATACCCACATCCCTAACAATAATGAATTAGGCTCGCCAAATCAGCCCAAAATTTTCGACTCAGCGGATGTGTGCCTTTTCTCAAGAAACCTGGAGCTTTACTCTTCATTTCGACAATCCTCCCCCTTGGCATGCATATGATATCTACATCTCTCATGTTCCCAGACCATCGACGCCTTTTCCCATTTCTTGAACTCAATAGCAGTGACTTCCGCATCGAATTTCTCTTCATCTCTCCCAAACTTCATTGCTTTGAGGAATCTAGAGCGTAGAGTAGGTCGAGGTGCGAGGGGCATTGGCGAGAAAAAGAGATGTTGGTTTCGGATATTGTAGTGATTGGCGAAGGGATTGTGGGCAATACAATGTGGAAAATTTGCGTGGTGAGAGACGGGAAGGTGGTGGATTGCAGCGCGGAACGGACCTCCTTGAGGAATTGGTAAGTATGCTGGATTGTTGTGACGATGGACTAGCGGCGGATGGTGGTTTAAATACGGGGCAGGTCCAATTTCAGTGGAGAGTGAAGGCGCAGCGTTATGCATGTAGTGGTGGGTTGGTGGCGGGGGGTGCACATTGAGGTTAGTTGGCGGAAAATGGGAAGGATATAGTGGATTACCAGGATGAAAATTTGGATGCGGAGCCGTTCCATTATTTGGAAATTGAATATTCTGGCCCTGAGGAGGAAGTGAAGGATTCGGCACCAAGAGATTATGAAGTCCGCGTCTGTCTCTACGAAAAGAAGGAGGTGCTCCCGGGTGTGGATTAATCGTAACGGGAACTCGTTTCTCTTCAATAGAAGGGAATAGTATATCCTTGATTAGGGCTCGGAGCGGTGATGATTCGACTGTGTTGCTATCCACCAGCTTTCGAGTCTCCTCTGTCTTGTTGAAAAGTGGATCTTTAGCCGACTTGACAAATCCATCACGAACCCATTCTCTATAAGCTAAGGTCAATGCATCCATCATATAATTGGCGAACTTCGGTGCTCCAATATAATCGGCAAGAAAATAGCAATGAAGTAACTGGAACCATTTATACTTGTGGGCTTGTGTTCGAAAGTGAGTATTACCACGAGTAATATTTTTACCCAGACATTTGGCATTTCTGATATCCTTTGTGTAGAGCCATGCAAGGAACATTTCGAAACTTTCGGGCTGACAATCTTCAAGTGAGATGGCACCTTCACGACCACATTTCCATAGATCAGAACAAAGAGGTTTGAAGAATTTGGCTTGCGTAGCCAATAATCCAGCCAATGCTGTGAATTGGACTCGTTGTTTTCCAGTCCCTACGTGAATGGAGACGATCTTGTTGAAGTTTTTCTGATCATCACTACACCTGTAATTAGCAACTCATCACCTTTTCTATTAATTTGAGGAAATTACATGTCATAGTCTCTCCTAAGGGGTGCCAGAACGCTCTTGGTAGTTTTCGGCTTGTCAGGTGATTGATATGTTGCAGCTAGAATCCTGGATATTCTGAGTACATTTTCACGAGAAAGACCACGATGTCCAGATGTTCGAATATAAGCCTCTAGTCTTTCACTCATTCCAGCTAGAATCACGTCGTCTGTGTCTGCAATTATTGCATCAAGCTGCGAAATTGCGTTGGCAGATTGTGGCCAAGGTATAATACCGATATTGTGATCCGGACCCAGATTTGTCCCCGGTCCATTGGCGGCCATCTTAATATGGTGGATGCGAACTGAGAATTATGCGTTGGTGAAAGGTTTGGGAGGTACAAGTATTTCCTTGGGAATGTTTTTCTTGAGTTCAGAATGTGATTTAGAAGTTCTTCAGACCTGCGGGCTATTTCTAAATTAATATGGTTTCAAGGAAATGGATTTCAATGGACCCTTGAGAGACCTAAATAGTTATTCTTGAAAGCTACGGTTGAAGATAAAGTCAAAGATGCAACAGGTTCCAGCACAGTACCGCGCAAATCTAGAGTTCGAGCGGCCGTACTCGGTGTTTAGGCTGATGTACATGCAAAACGTCTGGGTTACATTGTAAATACAGCTCATCCTCCAATTTTGGTTTTAGTCACTCAAATCTCAGGCGTCTATTTCTTTGGAATTTTCCATTTTCTTAATACGAAACGCTAATAATGCCACTAGAGTCTGGAACTTGGCATGAGAAAGATAGCTAGAATTGACTCTTGAACTTGGACTCTTCTCTTCTCAGCGACAGCCCCGAGGCTAGCCTTTTCTTTCATCAAGCTAGGGAATTGAGTGATTGTCTGTCACTCCAGTTGAAAATTGGTGAACCGATGAATCTTCTAGTAGGATGACATATACTTGGCTACACGTAAAATCCTAATTAGCGAACAGGTTTGAAGGATATTTGATTTCCAATCATTTTCATACTGATATGGAAACTCCACACAAATTTTAACACCATTATCTTTGATTTAGATTGAATTAATTACTGATGTCAGTTTAGCAAGGAAGAAGTGTATGACTACATAAGTTTAATCTTTTCTAATCTGAATTGATCTGTTTCATGCTTGTTATAGATCGAAATCGTTGTTTAGCTTGCTACCATTAGTCAAAGTGACTGGCTCGCAAACCTCAGCTCAAATTATGGGAGTGAGAGTGATCAAAACCCCTGAAAAAATAACTTCTCTCTCAAAAACACATTGATAAATACAAGAAAGAATCTAAAAAGTTTAGTTCTATTTAGCTGCATCGATTCAACTTTCTATCATTTCGACAAGTGTCCATCTTGATGACTGGTATCTTCTAGAATCGACCCCCCTTAGCAAACTTTCCTCAAGGCACAATAATCGAGATTGAAAAGTATTATATAATAGCAGACTAGTAAAGAGCCAATTCCTTTTCACTTTATTTTGAGCCTAATTCATCAAGTCTTCATCTCTAGCTGGATTAGTTTGTCAAAAATGGAAGTGCTCTATATCCATTCGGCCTTGACAGTCAAAGAATCACCTACCTGTCACCACAATTGTACCGTAAAAAAAACCAAGGAAGGGAATTTTCTGTTCATCTTTGTAAAATCTTCTGATCATAACTTTCATAAAAGATCCAATTAAACAGCTTTGCGAACTGATGTGCACAGGGTGTGTGTCCTCTCTCTGGACAAGTCAACCTTGAACTTGTTGCAACACCTCCCTGAAACCCCCAGTGCACTAGAATTCTGAAGCGATATATTAGCTTATATCTTTTACTGTGACCTCAATGAATCCTTTATTAGCTCCCACTCAATTCATTCCATCAAAGGGCTTGCCTATACCTCCAGTACTTTTACCATTCAGGATTTGGATCACTGTACCCAAGTCCGGAGCACCTCTCTCCGAGTCTATGGATGTGATAGAGACACCTGCATCTAGCCCGATTATCTCCACTGAGACGCTTGTAGTCAACGCCTTGGCTCATTTGATGGATTATAATTGTGCTCCGCATCAGTTCATCAACCAAATCTTGGTTAAATTCTACAGCCATACCCTCCTCGAGCAGATCGCGAAGTTTCTCATAGAAAGAATAATGATCAATGCCCTGTTTGATGACTTTATCCACAAGCATCTTCCGGATCGGGGAACAAGTTTTGGTCTTGGAGTAAATTCGTTGGATTTGATAGGGCAAGGTGCCAAGTATCCGTCTAATATCTCGTCGAGGACGATTCTTCTCGAATGGGTCTCGATATACACTTTACCATTGATCTTCAACGTGTTGATTGTCATCTTCCTCATTTTCTTTGTGATTCTCGGCATCATTGAGATGATTCTGGTTGTCTTCAGGGTCGTCGACTCCCAAAATTGGTGCGAAGACTTCGAGCTTCGGTACAAATTTTGCTCGATCTTGACTTTCGCTATCAATAGCTCCGATCAAGGTGTTTATGGCAGAATTACAGAAGGCCGAAGCTCCTAAGAAATCTTTCAAGAGGTAGAATTCCAAAAGCCGATCCCAAAAAAGTCTGTACTTATCAAGCTTTTCTGTCGTTACCACCGCCGCATCGCGATCCACAGTGACAGCAGAAAGTCGTTCTCCGCAACGGATAGTTCCAGTCGAGTTCCACGCAAGAAAAGCCTCCAAGGCTACAATACTCTGTTCTGAGAGATTTATTATCATACGCTCGTCTTCGCTGTGTGGTAGATATGAGTAATTCTTGATCTTAACCCTGAAATATTTTGAACGCAGTGCCAGGACTTTCGATGCGAATTGATGCCTTAATTTTTTCTCATCCGTGCCTGCAATAATTTCGACTGCATCATTGAAGTCATCACTAAGTTTGGAGTTATTCAAACTTCATGACACGAAATATGATCATTGCAATTGGAGAATTCGCATACTAAGAACCAAAGTTTGCTTGGAAATATAGGAGTTGTTCAGATTGGGTTTGCAAGCGTAGCCTGACTTAGATACTTGGAGCATGACTTCATAGAAACTTGAGAAACAAGCATCTCCAGGATCACAATGCCAGTATTTTTTAGATGTTGATTTGAACATTACACGATAACCCTATGAAACTCGAATGAATTGATTTCAGGTTTAGTATATATGAATACCTCCACCCCTCAATCCTCTTCCTCAACTACAATAATTTTTCATTGCGAATGTGCCGATAGACAGAGTGTCAATATTAATGACCAAATGTCAAAATCTTCCTCAAAGAAGAACAGAGGTGTTCATAGAATGAAGTGGAAGCTCCGATCTAGTCAAAGTTTCTGTGATAAACAACTCATGAACTCTTGACACCAAGTGCTGTTAAAATTAATGTTTTCGATTTTGACGATGAGAGTATGGCCACCGACACCTTATTCCATTCCTTTGTGTACGATAGCAATCACAAGGAGCGTCGGTTCTCTACAACACACTGATATTTCTATGCCGATCATACCTTCTGCCCGCACAGGAGACCAGTTCTGTTACTAGCCTCTGTCTGAACTTTGTTGAATACTCAGAATTTATAACTGCATTCAAATTGCAGTAATTAGGGGAACTGGATATGGCTTGCTCTAGAATTTGATCCACAAATTATCCACGGAGGGCCGACTTAGCCTCTGTATTTCTGGGTCTTTCAATAAAGTCTAAAAGGAATCTTTAGGGATATTCAATTCGATCTCGGCGTCTGCTTCAACCAGCTTCGTGTGAGTGTTTATATTCTCATAGTCCCTGTTGTTGTTATGAGCAGACATGTACTAAGAAGTTTGCTCCATATCTAAAGTCTCCAACTCTTCATACCAGCGTCCATTTGGTCGCTGTCAAAGTTCCATTCCCTAAAGGGTCCACCTTTGTAGAGCAAGGAACTACCATCGCAAACGTCTCTGGTAACCCTTTTTCTAGCAATATTCTTTTCGTTCCACCAGGTTGCCAATAACTATTGTTTACGTCTTCGAAGAACGGCGAGTACTGTGCTAGCATTTCGGCGGAAGCGATGATTGTGATCGCGCTATTCCTGAAGGTGATCTCGAACATTCTGTTTTATAGAAAGGAACCAGACAATTGAAAGAAAGTCTCTAATAATGGGCAACTCACAAATTTTCTTCGAGACTACCAGTCAAATTGTCTGCCATGGTTCACAAATAATTATTGAAAATGCCTGGAAATCCCAAGTTTTTTGGTTAGAAATAAACGCAAAAGGTGTTGCTGCGGTCTCCTCAACGTTTGATTGTTTTTTGGGGGACGGGAGGGCGAGTGTAGTTGGAGTTGAAGAAGATAATTTCATCTATAAGGTGTGGAATAAGAGCAAGTTTATGTACAGTAGCCGGGCTGGAACACTGATGAGAATAGCAGTCAGTGAATTTTCTCAAGTCTTTGGTAAAACAAACACCTCTGTGAATCCAAAATTCAATCTGTTATATATAATCTTCATGGATTCATCGATGTTATTATGAGGTCATAGATTATCACCGAGACTCTCCCATATTCACACGTTGTTGTATGGCTCGTCTGTCAGAAGAACCTTGATAAAGCAATTGAATCTCATTATAATTTGGTTTATGTACTAGGGGTTGCTAGTGAATCCAGAAGTTTACTAAATCAATGTTAACTTTTAGTGTTCGCCCTATTATAATTGGTGCGCTAAGCCCAGGAGTGTTCATATTCTCGATATTAACTACAACAACTACAACTACAAAAACTACAAATCTTAGTAATGGTAGGTGAGATGTACTTATAGATGACTTTATATAATTACGGAAGAAGAGAGAGAACATGGTATCTATGATTAGGCCACTTTGAAAAAAAAACGCCTTTACTCTGTGGTGTTTGAGTTTGATCGTTACTGAATAGCGTTAAATGTCAAGGCAAGTAAGGTTTGCCTTGCATTTTGAACGATTGGTCACTTGGCCCAATGATCTACGGTAGCTCCGGCACTCCCACAATTGAAAGCCTAAAATTTTTGCTCTAAATTCTTGTGTCTTAATATAAAAGAGCTGTCCCCGTCTTCAATGTAACAAATTCTTATATGTTTCTATCGCACAAATCTACTTCTCTGCACACATTTACAATTGTAAAACCGTTAACAACACATTGTTTACCAACAAATCCTGACCATAATACAGCAGTTCTCTAATCAAGTTCTCATCCCGGTATATTAGACTTACAGAATGTTCCGCATGGTTCCTCAAGCTCGAGGTGGCGCATATATGGCTGTCTTCATCACTCGCACTTTTACTCGCTCTGTTCACAAAGTCAAGTTAGTAGGGCTCCACAATCAGTTGTTCCAACCAGCTCCAGAGATACCAAGATTGCATGGTCTTAGACTTCATGATCCCACCATCAGAATAGCAAAAAATCCTGGACATAAAGAGCCGGCAAGAGCAATCGCTTCGGAGACTACTCGCTATTCAAACTTGGTTAGTACTCCATCATTCATACGATACCAAAGAATATCTTTCTTACCCCTACTCAAATTAGACCAAAACTCCTAAGAATACTAAGACACCAACAATTTTTATGACTTCTGCCACAGCTCTAATCACTGAATCTCCGGCCGAGACACCCATCCTGGGCAAAGCAACCTTTGGCGAATTCATCACCGCGCTTGGCGATGCCATCGAATCTTTAACATGGATTCATAGTGGTCGTCCTAGTAAAAGCACCAAATTTCCTCAAAATACCGAAAATGCAATAGATGGAAGTGAAAAAGTCCTTTGAGATGATATTTTAGGGGCAAGGTTGAAGTATCTATCATTTAGAAGCCGTATTTTTCACTTCAGCAACACGATATAGTATCTCTATATGTTATCGTAAAAAAAATGGTTGTGAGAAATGGAATTTTCGGTATTCATTGGGACACGTGGATGGACTGGAAGTCAGGAGAGATGTCAATTCTAGCAGTCGCATTCAGCAATAACTACCGGCACTACTCAACTTATTTATCCTAAGTGTCTACAGCATCAATGAATAGTATCATAATAGAATTAAAATCATACAATTAATGAGATAATATCAGCATAAGTTGTTCTTCCTTCATATTATTGTTCATCATAGTGACATGAAGTGATCTCTTAAAAAAACTGACGGTCAACATCTGTTTTACCCGAAAATTCTTGTCTCGTCAGGCTTGACATAGTCAACTATCAATTTTCAACTATCAATTTTCAACTATCAATTTTCAACTATCAATTTTCAACTATCAATTTTCATTCATCAATACTAGTTTTCGAACGAAATTCTTTTCTTTACACTGATGATACTGTAGATAGGGCAAGGCAGATTTTGAATTGCACTCGATAGAGAAATGTTAACTTAATCGTCCTTAAAATAAATTATATAGGATTTTGTGATCATAGAATAGACTATTCCCAAAGCATGTATCTGCCATGCTTAATCTCAAACGTTTCTCCGGAAAAAGATCAATACTCCAATAGGTGATGGCTCCTGGTCAAGCTCGAGGTCCTTTGTCATTTCACCGTTCCAAGTTCTTCGTTTGAAAGACGTTCTAGCATCGCTAATACAAAGCAATAGACTCCATTACTGATTTCTTGAAAGTACGAGCTTCTTTGAATACCTGGCCCAGTGTGCTGACGTATAGCTTGATCTAGAATGGTTCTTATCGCCTTCTAGCATACAATCAAACTGGGGTGGGATCAAGTTTTGAGAGATGACTCAGAACTCGCGACTAGTATTCACTAATTTTGATACTTCAATAAAATGTTAGTCAATTTACCTGGAGTGAATTGCGGATTGAAAGATCTCTACTTACCACCAAGTAATTACTGCGACTAAGATCGCGATAACATAGATCAGAGACACAAACTGATCCATGATCTGGACATACATGGAACCACTATCCCCCGTCAATACCACTCCACCAGTCAATTTTCCGATGTAATGTTCATCTTTTATCTTCATTATCTTCTCGAGTCGAGCAACTTTCCATCTATAATATGCAAGCGAAATGAGTGTTGTAAGGATTGCGGCAAAAGATACAACTCTGAGAAAATGTATCTCATTGTCTTTTCGATGTATGGCTTCAATGTCTGGTGTGTAAAAGTAGGTACGCTCCTTTTTTCCGGTGTCGCCTTTTTTGTCAAAGTCTGGCTTTTCTTTTCTGAGTTTAAAGCCCGGCATCTATTATGACACAGAGAAGTGAATTTGGAGGATTTATTGTTCGTAGCTTTCTCATGTCTTTCTCATGTTGTATTTATAGTTGCCATTTGGTGCCCTACAGCTAGCCAATCCATATACGACAGCATCTAAAGCATGGTCCGTGCGGATGAGCCCCTAAAAGTTTAGATACACAGCCCATTCGCTCCTAGCTGCTCCCATGCTTCAATACAACAGATGTGATACGGCAGTGATAGCAAGATCCAGATCGATTACGGCTAAGCGCGGGTTAATCCACTGATTGGGTCTTGATGTGCCTATCTCTATATTGGTGTTTCCTTCATGCAAATAAATGGCAGTGTCACCTAAGCTATTCCACCCTGTGAAACTGTCATTGATTTTATCAGAACGTTCAATATCTTCAAAATACTCTTGTTCATTAATTTCAATACTTTTCAGCATTGGTGGATATATTACCTCAGCAGACGAAAGCTATCATCTCAAGCGAAAATAACCTGCGACATGCCTTCCAATCATCATAAAGATCGTGAATTGTGTCCGACGAAGGTACGCGTCAACAAATGAGAAATTCATCTATTCGTATATAAATACTAATGAATTTGCAGGACTATGATACAATGACTCAAAGCGAAGCTATCAAAGCCATCAAAACACGAACAAAGTCCCTCGAACGTCTGATGATACACAAGAACCCCGTCTCTCCGGCAGAAAGCCGAAGAATTGGCATTGAAGACGAGAACGATGAATTTCAAAACGTGAAATCCCACTCTAAAAATTGTCCAAAATCGGGAAATGCTCAACTCGAGCTGGAAATGGTAGTCCTCAAGCATCGTCAAATCATTTCAGTGGTCAACAAAGATTTGAACAATCTCTTCCGTTATACTTTAGACGCGAGATTAAAGATTCTACACGAGAATCGTCAGGAGTTTCAGGTGGATATCAAGACAGTTGAGGAATACTTATTTCTCTTAAGAAAATTGCAACCTGCTAGCGACAAAAACTGGGCACGAAAGATTAGGTGAGTCGAAATCTACCCCTTCATAAGTCCAAGTCGTTAGTAGAGCCAAAGGCTGACTTTTTAAAATCTAGCATCGCTTCAGAACTAATGACTGAATCTACTATCATGCGCAGCAGTATTGAGGCTCGCATTCAAGAGGTAGAAAGTTTCCTATTCAAAGCGACAAGTGAGAAAGTAGGCTTAGAGAGCAGAAGAGAAATGATGCTAGATCTCGGGATACGCCATGGAACTTACGGGAGCACACTTGTAAGTCATTGAGTCCTATTCCGCTAGTTAATGTGGTATAAATGGGCTTTTAAGACCTCTACTGACAAATTCTTTAACTATAGAGTCTCCGGGACCATGATAAATTTCCCCAGAATAGATACAGTAAACTGATCGACGTTGACTCATTGGAGAAGCAAGTTCGTGGGGCTATGGCAGTTTCTAAGAAGCCAGGATTGTAGTGGGATATAAAAATGCAAGGGCTTCCATAAGTCTTTGACTTTGAATACTGCGTGGCAGATATATACTTGGGGGCCCTGTTGTCATAAATAAAAATACAGTCACTTGCTCCTCATGTTTACGAGGGTTTCCACTTCACCTCTAAGGCTTTTGATATTCCAAGCCACAGCCTATACTGAATAGGATTTATTGCATCACAATGGCAAGAGGGAGTCGGTTTCAAACATATCTATTCGACAAAGGTTACATAGTTGTAAAAGGTTTTGCGATTTCTTATACACAATACTCTTTGAATTATATCCCAAGCTCATCACGTGTAAAAATGCGTCAATACAATCATACAAATAACTTTCAAATGTCTAATTCCCATGCAAAAGTGACGTATAACCTTCAGAAATATAAGTATCAGAAAATTTGGGGAGCTCGAAAGACTGGCGACCACTAGATTATGATTTCACTGTATAATTTTGCTCTTCCATCTTTGGAACTATCTCGATAATTCATACTGAATATTTAGAAAGCATACTTATTGAGATAACAGATTGAATCCAGCTCATTTATCAAAGCTCGGGGCTACATTCAAGAGCTCGAATAATATGTATATTTAGACTATGCGTTTTATTTCAGACATTTACAACTTTCTATTCGATATCTTTGACATTTACTACTAGCTCATGCATTTGAAACTGTCCTCACGTTTAACGCTCCCTGAAGAACAAGACCTCTCTCCTGGACCTCGCAACCATTATCATTCTTACTCAGATAGTAGATAGTTGCTGTACAGAATGAACGCCACACACGAAGCCACCAGAGCGTTTTTGTAAAGTCATATAATACAGTCTTTCCTTTTCGTATATCAGAGTTACTCTTAAAGGTCAAACTTCTTCTCTTTCGCTTATTCACGGAAATAACCCCCATTAAGTGCATACCACACGTACCCCCACTTTATTCATGCTCATCAAATTATTCACTCCGTCAACCGAGACGTATTCAGACCGATGAAATTTTACAAAACTTACTAAATATTAATCTCTTCTGCCCGTTCAGTTCCTTCTTAGCCCATCACCGACCTGATCTACTTATTAAGAGCTTCGAGCTCATACTGTCATCCACAAACAGGCTCTAGTCTCTCGCCCTTCTCTTCAATCATCATGGATACCAAGACACCCACCGCCAGCCTCGTCGAGAGGTATCAGAAACAAGTTCTTGATGGCATTACAGTGGTCAATGAGAAACTCTTTTCATTATCGTACTCCTGCAGAAAGAAGTACCTCTCAGAACTTCTACCAGCCTTACATTCACGGATCAAAGAAGTTGATTCTTATATCGAGGAACTCGGTGCACCAGATCGAACTGAGGAACTTACGTACGTAGCGTCCAACAACTTCCCTCTTGATTCAATTGACATCATGAATACTAATACTGCTTTTAGATTCATGCGTGTTGTTCAACAGGATTTCCTGCGTACAATCCATTTTGTCCAAAACTTACTCGACGAATACAAGCAACAGAGGGTTCTCTTAAATTTCCGCGAGCAATCTACCACTACCCAGAATCCTACGATGCCATCTTCAACCGTCAAATCCGAAGCACTTGATGCCCGCAGCTCATTGTCAACAGGTCTCAAGCCCGGCGAGCCTCCCTTTTTGTTACCAAATATGGAAGTCCTCAAATCTGAAACAAATGCGGAGGAACCTGTCAAAAGAAGCATTCTACGTCAACCTCGCGAGAGATTTCCAGAGCGTGGCGTACCAGTTCACGAGGAAGGAGGCCAGGTCAAGGCCATGAAGGATGATTTGGGTCAAAGCAGAGATTGATCGTACTGAGTACTGGTTTCGCGATGTTTTTTTGTTTCGCAAATGGGGTTCTAAGAAATAAAGATTGGTAGATGGACGGTCTTATGTATTTTGTTCTTTCTGCGGTAACATGGTGGAAGCTTTCTCCGGCTCCTCTGTACCTGCGACAAACCAAATGTCTCTTCCAATACTTGCTTTATCCTTTCCTTAAGTTCAAAGAACTCTTATCATTGTGAGATGGGAGATTGTAGTATGGATTTAGGCATCAAATAATTTGAAACTCAGGTCATATGGTGCGAAGTTTCAAAGCTCAAATGTATGTTCATGCAGTAATCCATTCATTCTTATGAGAAACCAGACTTCACCTTGTTTTCCAGATTTTAATCTGATATATCCATTGTTGAATTCAAATTGCTTAAGTATCGTTGTTCTTTTCTATTTTGTTCTTCGAAGTTGTTTGACCATTTTTCAGGAGTTCTCGCTTCGACGCTGATCCACCAAGATTGTCCATTCTCGTTTATTCTCGTTAAAGAAAACCCCTTCTCCTTCATTATGTTACTTGAATTACTAGTTCTTTTCTCTTGAGTTTTTCCAGTCATTTTTCCCGTGTTGTTGTTGTCAATAACATGAATTTACACAATATCATTTTGCAGTTCTGCTTGATTTGTGATATTTGACTTTTACAATGAATAGCCAATCAAATGCCTAGGAAATGCTCTTACGAAGAATTATTTCGAAGGGTAATCTTTCAGCTTTGGATTTCAGGTGAGCCTTTGAATGACCTCTGCCTTGAAAGTTATTACCCAATCTCTGCTGCGCCTTTCCCTATAAGGTATCCAAACGTCAATGAATTTCTCGAAATTTGAAAAGCTTTGATGCACTAGTAATGGGTATTCTTATTTTTTCATCGTTGATCATTTGAAGACTTGTGGCCAACAAGGTTGAGGAATTCATTGGCAAGACTGATTCTCAAATTGCCAGGTACCAGGCTCCCTCTGAATGTAGATAATTGTTTAAATATGGACAATGCACAAGTTGTGATGTGATGACTTGATGGGAAGGTTTAAGGTTATTAATGTGTCAAAACGAGGAGACTTGTTGCGCACGCTACTCATGTGTGGGAGAATGAAGCAAAAACCCCTGATAATATTAAATGCAGGCAAGGCTGACTAATTGGCCATGCTATCGATGCAATTGTTTGGTGTGAGGCATGGCTACTCTTACATGCCCAGATTCCAGACTTTTGTCTCAATTCCATGTGCATCATTCATCTTCAACTATGTCCACTGTAGCTTAAAATATTTTCAATCAATTCACAAGGCACCTAGCCCCGTATTAGAATATCCCTAGATCTAATATTACAACATGAAACATTTATCCACTCTTTCATCATTGCCTTTTTCATGGTACAGTACAATTTAGGCATCTCTGAATGAGATTAATTGTGAATACCAAGGTTCTATGGTACTCCTGGTTCCTAAACTTGCGCAATCATACTAAACACTCATCAATTCACTATTTCCCCATCAACCCTCCTGGTTTACACTAGGAATTAGGCATCTCTGAGTCACATTGGTGATGCAAGCCAAGTTTTGAAGGCACATGTAGTTCTGTAATCTGCGCTAAGTCTTAGAGCAATTTCCTGTGTTGGCTATATTCGTGAGAAGCTAGATAATTAATAGTGAGGATATTTCAACGGCGGAGACTCTCAGAACTTGCCCACATACCCACAGTCAAAATCTATCAAGTCCTCATATTACCATCTCTCCAAATCAAACTTTCCCTGTTATTTTTGAGTTTAATTCTAGCAATGTCTCAAATAACTTCCGTCCAAGAGCTCAAAATCGATTTTGATCAATACCACACGGATCTGGTGGCTGATCTTCAACGTTGGAACAATGCAATTGATGGAACAATAGCCAACCGAGTCTTCCAAGCGTTTTGTGCTCTCAATAGATTGCACCTGAAGATTGTTTTTATCGAACGCAGGAAGGTCCTCGTTGAACGCATGAGTAGCTTGCCCACAGACGCTCGAGCCGAGATTTTGAGGTAGGATTTCTAAACCTATTGACAAAAGGTATCTGCTGAAGTGTTATTACGACAGCGAGTACGAGAGACTCTTGGCCTTGATGTATCCGATGCGCGAGTGGTATGAGACCATTCGAGATGATTACCGCGCTTTACAGACCGCTCAAAGTAATGGAGATTGGGAAACTGCCAGAGAGCTAGAGGAAGAGCTTGATCTAGAGCCCGGACATGTTTGATTTGCGAGGAGCAGAGGATAAAGTCGCAGAATAAATTCACTTGGGGGCGATGTTGACGGAGTTGGCGAGATTCAGAGACATCAAGCTACTGAATGGAAAGGCTACAACTATACCCCTCTTCATATCAACGGTAGTTTGAGAAGGAGGGGGTTGGTTGGAATACTGGGAGCAATATTTGAATCTGGACTGGGATTGTGGCGTTCACAGAGGCAATTTTACCGCTCAATCGTCTGATACACCCCTGCAGAGTTTGATTTCCAATGCTGTGACTTGATCATATTCATGTTTCATTCCTTTAGTTGGTATTGATCTTCGCTAGTAATCAGAAGATGTCGCTAGATGCGCAACATTTTTGCACGGAAATCTGCAACAGAGGAATATATACCATAATTAATGATCCTATTAATTGCCGACTGAATGCTTCCAGATATACATAATATTGTATGCAATATATCTGTCTCTGAGTAACAAAGATTAAGAACTGGGTATTTTAGCATAGCTGAGTTCCGAGGAGCTGTCGCACAAGTCGCACGAATAGTAAGTAACTTCTGTCGCCCATAGCCTATATAAAGATATGCAGTAGTTTTGCTGCCACCCAATGGCCCCACCATCCAACCTTGTCTCTCTTCCTAAATTAGTGATGAATCTAAAAAAATAAGACAGACATATATCTGCATCCAAGAGACATCTGTTACCTTCCAAGATAATCCTTAGCCGAGCTCTCGGGAAATACAGCGGAGGAAGCTAGGCCTTACTGCCAAATGCACTTCACTATCTTGAACACCATGTAATCATGAGGTATAGCTGTTATTACTCCTGAATCTCTGTATATAGAACTAATTGTGGTACATAATTATCATAACTAGACCGTAGAACTAGAAAAAGCCATTTTTAGCAGCACATGCGCCTAGATACTCATAAAATAACCTCGAACCAAATCATAAAATCACGCTCGCTAATCGGAGTATGTTTCATGAACTCGCGCTCCCCGTTGAGCCTTGATTTGCTGACCGTAAGAGTAAACAGTTAGTTACTTAAGGATGGGTGATCTTCCAGCGACGAAGACTCTCAAACCCCATGTTCTTTACATAGTTGATCATTTACGATAATATCTAGATTATCTTACCATCTTTTTATCTTGGTAAACAACGCGTACAAAAACAATATCTCGATAGAAGATATCTCTGGAAAGCAGCATCTCTAGAAATAAAAGTTTCTCCCAAAACACATATCCCCAGAAATCAACGATGTCACAGATAATCTCTACCCAAGAAGTTCAAAACAACAACATCGAAGCGTTAGAAATCGACTTCGATCAATACATTATGGAACGCCGCCAAGATTGTAAATCTTGGAACCAAGCTATTACAGGATCCCTATCGAACAGAATCGACCAATGCGAAATTGCGATCGAGAAGCTAGACAAAGAGATCGACTTCTGTGATGAGAGAGCATCTAGCATTGAATTAGACAGAGTCTCACCACCGGATTACCAATCCTGGCTCCTAGAGTATGTCGCACCCTTTTCCCTCAATTTAAAATGGTAAATGTGCTAATCTGTGGTTATTACAGAAACTACGAGCAGCTTTTAAACATCTTGTACGCGCTGAAAGCTTGGTTCCGCCAATTCCAAGACGATTATGAAGCGTTGCATCACGCATTGAGCAATCGCGATGCCATGACTGCCGAGGAAATCCAGCGAGATCTGGAGGAACCTTCGGAGTTTGGCTTGCCGACTGAAGACAGAACCCAATCAGAGCTAGAGATGGACACAGATATGGAAGATGATAGTGAGAATTAAACGAATCGGGATCCGAAGATGACCCTGAACAATCTTAACTTGTGGAGATAAAATCATAACTGTGTTATGTACCGAGCCACAAGTTTCGACTTTTGAGAAGTGACTGCTATCAAGGACGAGAGTGCCTGCAAGCTGAATCACATCTGTAGTTTTTGAAGAGCATCAAAGATACTGGGAGGACAACGGCGAATTGTTCATAGCAATTTTATCAATTCAAATACGATTTCAACCCATCATATCTGCTGCGCACAATGTTTAAAGTTTACCGTGTTGATGACATCATTACATTTTCTTAAATTGCTAATAGAAGCCAGCTGCAATCAGAGGAAACTGTTGGATACATTATATCCATTTGTACTTTTGATATATCCAAGTTCCATGCTACGATAAGAATAGTTTCTTACCGCTAATTATCAGGGTATCTAGACCTCTCGGCGTTACGACACCGTATCAAAGCCTAGAGAGCTATCATAGTCAAGAATGGTAGACTGGAGAAGAAGATCTCCAGGAATACTTGATCCTGAAGTTCAAAAGTCATATCTACAAATCAAAAACTCAAGAAAACTCGTTCGGCTCCGATATCCCCTTGGATATCTATCACGATCAGGTAATGGTAACTAGATCGTAGTCTAAGTTGAACTATGAATGTACAGGTGTCTAGATATCCTATCCCTTCAATCTAAAAGGAAGAATAAGCTGTTTATTCATATCTAGATGAAGAGTTTGCTAAGACGCATCTCATTGAGATTTGACCAGTACATGGAAAGCTTGACATGGTTTTCTTATTTAAAATACTAACAACAATCATTTAATCGATAGATAATTTAGGCCTACAAATGCTTGTGGTACAATGTGAGAGGTCCCAGCTGCCTTAGATAGAGACGAAAGGTGTCACTAAAGAGTAGATCACGGGATTTGTAGAATCTCGTTACATATATCGAATCCACAGTGAAAATTGATCCCCAAAATAATAATTCTCTGCCAGTACTCCACATTGCAGATAAGATAGAAGTCTATAGACTATCACACTTCAATGAGAGTTCAAAGTATTCTATTTGTCCAGTCTCTGACAACTTATCACCTTCCTCAGTGGTAACTTGGTAATTTTTATTCTCATCTCCACCACAGTATCTTCCAAGTATTTGAGAGGTTACCAGTGCATATCATGCATCAAGCTATCTATACATAGCCCTCTCAACTATCTCCAAACAGACAAGAATCCATCCATCCCATCTCCGAAAACTCTCACAAGCCATCTAATACCAGTCAGCGAAACGTCGCCGAGTATCCTATCCCCATAAACCCATAGAAAAATCTCATTTATCAAGCATCAGTTAACAACAATTCAAAAATTGCCCCCCAGAAAGATATTTAGCAAATATCCGCAGTTCGGACAAGCACGCATCTCACTATCTATTATCCCTCAATACCATTCAAGCTCTCACCCGAAGCTCATATGTAAGACATGATCGTCCTTAACGGATATACTAATGGTACCTAATAACAACAATAATGTCAGCAGGAGAAACATCAACACGGATGGTCGTGAGACAAGTCTAGGCGAATAATTATGAAGCCTTGCAGTTTGCTTGGAATGGTTCAAGATGTATCCCGTGACCATCCGGTGTTGAACCCTACGAATCTATCAACTTTCTGATATCTGCTATCAATTCTTCTTTTCAAAATACCACTTCCATTCTTCTGATCCAAGATATCTACGATTGCTGACTTCCTGTCTTTTTACGTTCTATAAGTGTCTCATTTATTCGCTGGGAGTCCTCATTCCTCACTCCACAGCCATATAAATCCCCTCGTACAAATCATCCGTCTTACCAGCTATAACATCTCCATCTCTCTTCCCTGTTCCAGCTCCCCATCAAAGATTCAAGGAGCCTCTTTTTTCCCTCGAAAATACCAGTACCATCACCATCAACATCGATGATCACCTGCATTTCAATACCACCCACGGTACATTTTATTCATCCTCTGCCACCAGCACAATCTTTTCAATCAAAAAAACTTACCACGATCAAATTCCCCCTAAAAAATCCACACATAGCCAAGCAATAATCTCTTTCATCCCATGCCACCACCCATTACCCACTCCCCATTCCTCACCTAGAATCTGTCATCATCTCATCTCATCTACCATTCCAACCTCACGCATAATCCTATCACTCCCAAACCCCAACCCGCAACCTTAACCTCTTCAAGAACTTCGACTCTGCCACCTCGCCTTTCAAGTTTCGACCCCTCAGTAGCGAGTTCCTTAGCAAACCGTAAAAATTCAACACCGCAAGATTCACTCTGCTGATACTTGGCCTCCACCTATACTTTCCATCCAACATTACCTAGTCTTGAGAGTATAACATTATATCCATACTTCTCTACAATCTCCTCTATTCCCTCCCCATCTCCTCATCTCCTAACCATCTCCTCATCTCCTCATTCTCAATATCCAACATCATATAATGAACAAATCCGATCATACACACCTCTTCCATATCCCCACTCTCCTCTCCACTCCCCTCAAAGTCCCACCCAAATTTTCCACGCCATACATTCCCCCTCCTATTTCCAACCCTCCTCCCTCCATCCCACTATATCCTCAACCCTATACCTCCTCTCCTTTCCTTTCCTTTCCTTCCTTTCTCATTTCCAAAAACCATCAAACCGACTCCTAACCTCCTCTCTCTCACCCCTCACTCTCCACATCCTCCCCCTATCCATACCCTCATCTCCGACCGTCCCACCCAGTCCAGTCTTCTCACCCCATCCACATCCATTTTCCCTCTTCTTGAATGTACATCTTCGAGTGTATTCATATTAATCTAGGTAGTCCAGATCACTCATATAAAACTTATTACCAAGTCAGTAAGTCTCACAAAATTCCAGATTTTCTCTCCACCATTCCATCATTATCATCTCCCAGCCAAAACCAACCCCTTGAGAAACTCGAACATAACCACATCCACAACCAAAACCACAGGCACCGCAGACAACAATCAATCTAAATCACCCCAGTCAGTTGTTGAGAAGTTGATATTCATCACTATCAGCTACATAGCTACCTAGCTAGCAAGTATTTCTCTCTCCCAAATAAAAATAGAATAAACAAACAATCCCTTTAAACCTCATCCATGAATCATTCATCCTAGATCCTTATGCATTTACCTGTCCACCAAATTCCCATTTCATATCTGTTGAATCATACGAGTACATAAATGCCCTTTCCTCTCGTGGGATTGACTAGTTTCACTTTCATTCCTGATCAGACCATCACACACTATCCCCTCCACTCCGATCCATTGCTAACCCCACTTCCACTCTCTCCAGGTATAGGTAATGTTCCATCCTCCTCACTTTCTTCCCCCTCATCCTCATCCAGAATCCTCGCCAACTCATCCGGATCCTTCATTTTCGCATCCTTATCCACATCCGCATCAATAACTCCACTTTCTTGTCCATCATATCCTGCCTGTCTTTGACTTTCGCCTGCAAGAACTCCTTCATCTGCACTAACTGAAATACCTCTTGCTCCCCACTTAGTCGCATTTCGGCTTGGCTCTTGTCTACCGACAGTATTTGCTTCTTCATCCCCTTCATCATCATCATCCGTACCCACCATATGTTTATTGCCCAACACTCTATTCAACAACCAGCCTCGACTGATATCATCCGCATCAACAACTCCTCCATTTCTTAACTTAACTCTTTGTCTTGTGTAATAAACCCAAGCGAAGTCAATATAAAACGCCGTTTGGATCACACCACCAATAATTGATATCGCATCTGGAGAACGATCATTTATATCTAAGGAACGCCAAATCCAATTCAAGATGTAAAAGAAACGGTATGAACCGAGTGTTACGAGGTAAAAGGAATCGAGGACTGTGGGAACTGTTGTTTGACGGAGAAGAAGGAGTTGAGGGAGAATACAGGTTGATTCGAGAAGAATGGAGAAGACCCAGAGGACCTGTTTTCATCTTGATTAGTATTGCCCACATTCAAATGTTGAGGAATAAACTCACCTCCATAAAACCCCAACCATACTTCCTCTCAAAAATCATCATCGCAATTGGTGCCAATACCGCACTTCCCACAAAACACAATCCCCCAAGTTTCCAAGCCTTTTCTCTTTCCCTCGTTCTCGCATACACTCTTAACATCAAAAAGAGAATATAGAGAGAAGAACCTATATAGAAGACTTTGAGGACGAAATTCCAGAGGATGAAAATTCCAGAGAAGAGATCCAGGTAGCGGGTTATGAAGACGAGGGCATAGAGAGATTGGGTTATGAGGGAGACACCTGGGAGATGTTAGTTCTTGGGGGTTGTTTGTAGGAGGCGGGGAATGGCGGGGAAACATACCTTCCGCAGAAGAGTTACGGTGAATAGCGAATATGAGGATACATTTTGAAAGAGTATGGGAGATATCTCCTAGAATGCGGAAGAACTGAGGAGAGGAGAGAAGGTTAGTAATGCAAAGCTAGGAATGGAGTTGGGATTGTGCGAATAATGGGAGGCAGCTTTGAATGATTTCCAAGATCGACATACGTTAAACCCAACCATCCTATCTACTTGTATCAATCAACCCCCAATGTAATAGTCGTAGATAGTTGTTGCTAGGTGAGGATATCGAAAGAGCGATTGTATAAGTAATTGATGAGCTGTGAAAGCTATGGTATCCGATAGATTACGCGTCGCGGTCGTTATGCGACAATACCTAGGTAAAGAGCATTAGAGAATACGAAGCATTACTGTCCTCGAAATCCTCAATGAAATATCTCCAAGATATGTGTGCAAACTTTCAAGAGAACAATGAGATCAAATGAGTAAATCAGGACAGTTTGAATGAAGTGAAACATGGTAACGTTGTCACAGGCTAAAGGAATAGCTTCAGCGATTCGCTTGTGGCTGATGCTTTGGATTGTGGCTGAAATTTGAGGGTATTTATTAGTATGAAGGGTTCAAGCAAGGGTCTATTAGGGGACCATCACTAGACAATTGGACAATCTGAGTAATCTAATCAATCTTTTTTTTCTTCAATGAAAATGGGTTTGATAAAGTCATATAGTGAAGTAGTTGGTTGCGCTTGTAGTAAAGTAGGCTCTCATATGAACATATCTAAAGTATCTAGCGGAATGGAATATTCATTGAAATTCATATATAAATCTCGGTATAAACATAAACGCCGAAATCTTAAACGATCCTGCTGGAAAAAATACAACAAAATAGCCATATATGCATTTATCTCAACTCTACCTCCCATAATGCTCTCAAGACAGATAATCCTCCCCTTGAGTTTCTACAGTTCTTCCTCTACCTCGATCATTGGGATCTTCTACCCCACTATCGTTATTTACACCTGCTCTAGTCTTGCTTGCTTTCGCTTCTTTGGGGTATTCTTCTCCTCTCCATTCGGCATTCTTTGGAACTCCGGTATTTCGATAGTCTACAGAGTCACCCGATGTCTGATTCTGTGTATAGTCTGCGAATGAACTCTGAGTAGCCGGTACACCCCACCACATACCAAATTTCCCTTCTTCATTCTTGGTACTTAATGCAGCTTCGGCATTTCGCCTGATCCATTTTGTATACTTTGAGCATTTGTCAGAATGCCACTCTCTGTCGAGTTCTAAACTCTCTTTCGTCCCTGCAATAGGCTCCCGTGGCAAATCACTACAAAATGCAATCAAATGATGAAAGAATATGCCTTTGAAAGTTTGTCCATTTTGAGAACACGAAGCACTTGAATCGCATCCTTCTTCCAGTATTCCATTTCTACCAAGACCAAACCACTTTGCCAATGCGGAACCATCTTTGGGTGGCGGTGAGATGGCAACATTGTCTTTCAGATCGTAGCCTGTGGCATTAATAACATTCGCGATAAGTTTATGGCCATCCACAAGGTATGATCGTGCGGCGGTCGCGTCATACAAACCACGTTGTCCAGTAAGTAAAACGCCTTGATTGTAGGTATATACCATTTCATTTCTAGAATCGCAATGGGTGTTGTCACCGCCAGAAAGATTCGAGATATGATATCCGTCGACATACAATCCTTGCAAATCCGTCATATTTGAACCGTTCAGCCATTTGTAAGCATCAACAGCTGCCTGTAGATATTTCGGATCGCGAGGTGGATATGTCGGGTTGGAAAGAATAAATGGGGATTGATTGTCATCTCCAGGGAAATATAGGTACATCGATATCGAAGCTGCGATGTAGAGTTCATTGGTGATTGCGTTCTTGTATGGAGTAAGATATGGAGACCATATCATCCCACCACCACAGAGAGTAGTATCCCATCCTTGCGATGCCAATTCCCAAAATAATCGCGCCCGGTGGGCAAATGCAGGTTTGTATTGTTGTCCGTACCATTCTGGTTGAGAATCGTTTGAATAGTGTAATTCAGAGTGCAAATCAATGAACTTGACGGTATCCAACCAACCAAGAACTACCCATAACATATCATCATAGGCTTGCTGCCGTAGAGAGAAGGCATCCTGGCCAAAATAAAACCCAATTACTTCAGTAAAGTATTTATTGATGATGTTCTCGTTCGTTTTTGGCAAGGAAAGTTCAGAAAAGGACTTGGTAATAGTGGTGAGTGCACCAGCAACGTAAGTGCCTGTTTAGAAAGTGGTATTAGTTCTCGCTCTATAAAGATTTCAGCATGGAAAGAGAGTAGAATACCAATCACTGCAGATGTCCAATCAATTCCTGTTGGATAAATGCCTTGCCATGTCGCAAAGTAGTCTTCTTGTAGCACGTCCAGCGCGCTTAACATTGCCGGTAGAATTTTTGTATCTCCAGGCTGGCTGGGCTTTTGAGGGCTCCCATTGATGGTGATATCTTCATTATTCGTAAGTGGTCGTTGAATCAAATCATTTTGTCGCACAGCATCGTCTGACCTCCCATATACGCCGATTGAGAAAGATAATGCGCAGAATAAACACAGCAGAAGTAAAGAGATGCGCGGTCGTGGATTGGTATGTATTGAGAACGAAATCATGATTGAGGCTTCTCCTCACCGCTGATCAAAGAGTAACAGTAGTATGTACGAAATGCGATTGACATAAAAGGAAAGCAACTATTCCAACAAAAAGGACCTTCTTATCCTTCTATTCAAATAACCTTGGGAGACGAAGACATATACATTCGAGCAAAAAAGAAGAAAATGACAATGAAGTTGTCCACGAGGTCGTCGCAAAGGAAAGGAAAGGAGGAAAGGAAAGGAAAGGAAAGGAACGGGAGCAGATTATGATTCAGAATTGAAGCTTGCGAGGGCTGTAGGAGTCCTCGTGTTCCTGGTCTCCGGTGATCTTGGGGGGAGTGCCAAGGTTAGTCTTACCCGATTTGAGAACTAAGTTGTTTCCAAAAAAAAGGCGGAGGCGCGGGGTCATGTCATGTGATCATGTGCCTTTCCGAGAAGTTTCTCTTTCTCCAGTCCAATGCTGCATTGCATGTTTGTCACTCTCACCCATCATCACATCACTCATTTTTGGGAACAGCATCATTTTTTGCCAAACCTACGATAACACATCTTCCCACTTGATATTGACGGTATGCTTCTGGTCACGATGTTCAAGGGGAAAAGATGGCACCTATACACGAGGACAACGCGATGAAATGTCTGCAAAGACATCATCAACCAGATGTACATTATCGTCATGTTTCAGAAGAACTGGTATCAATGGTATTCGTTCTCGTCATGATCATAATAATAGTACATTCATTGGTTGTTTCTATCCCAACCATATTTCAAAAAGTCTCACTCGCTCCTGTCAACTCCACGCTGGAAAAGCAATCATCCTCCCAACACCGATCCCGCTAAACATTCATACAGATTATCCATAAGAGGAAATTTCAATTCGTGACAAGTGTCACACTGAATACGATACTCTTCACAAGCCTGGGACTTGATGACCTAATGACTATTGTCAGCGATAATGTTCTAAAAATAAATGGTATCAAGATAGTCACTTACGACCAAGAGGTTTGGCTCTCTTGTAAATATTGTTCGCTTGTCCTTGTCGAACCTTCAATGCTTTTGCCCTACAAAACAGATCAGTATCTTGTACTCTTGTTATCTTCAAAGTTTGAATGACTTACTGTGCTTCCATCTCCAACTTAAGTTGTCTCATATGTTCTCTTGCTTCTGCCACCGCCTCTCTAGCATTGATCAATGCTCTGTCGGCTTCTCTCTCCATTTGTTCAGCATTAATGATTCTTTGCTCCGCAGCTGCGATAACTGGGTCTTGAGCTTCTCGATTCTTGTGTAAGAACCCGCGATTGCGACTACTGTGAGATGGAGTGGAGGAGACGGTGGACATGGAACGTTCAGATTGTGAGATAGACTCGGCACGGTTACGATGGAAGATAGATGAGCTTCGCTTGGGCTCTTCCACGACTGGCTCAGGCTCATATTCCTCTTGATGGCGACCGAAAAGTGGCATGTTGATGGTTGGTATAGATTGTTTTGGGATTTGATATTTGTTCAAGGATGTAAATGATTATTTGGAGTATATGACTTGGCGAGAGCTTATAGTGTATATTATTTTGTATGATTTGATAATGAGAAATTTCTCCAAGAATACGAGCAGCGTCGTGATACTTATCTCCTTTCTCCCCTTCAATCCTTCTCCCCATCATCATAAGAACTTCGCTTCTTGCCAAGTTTCTCTTGAGGAGACAGGGGGTGCACACAATGACGTCAATCGTGCGACGTCAGCGATCATCCTTTTTCCTGTATTATACAACCAATGGATAAATGAACATCAGAGTTAAATGCTTTTATTATGATAATCCAGAGGGATTTATTGATGACCTGCTGGCGGTGAATGATTGGGCAGCGGGTGAATGGTTACACAAAGTTTAATTGATTGACTTTGACACACGCTCAAGGTGCGATTCAGATGCTATTCGCTCGCCAGTCTTGATAAATTTCTTGAGATTATTTCTCTCTCATACGATATGCTACATCGCAGACAGGATACAGGCCAGCCTAGTTGATTGGGTAGTTGGTCCTGCAGGTGATAGCAAACCTTCCTTCAATTCTAGACTAAAAGATGTACTTTCCCATCTATACATTTCTAGCTATTTCAATGGTTCACCATACCGTTTTGTTGCATGTCTGGAAATTCAAAATCGCTCTAGTCAACTTGTACTCCAACTGATTGGATATTCAAATAACTCACCATAGACTTTTGTTGCATATCTAAAAGTATAAAATCGCGATGGTTGACTCGAGTCAAATTGGAATTAGGACGGATGTGCTCTTTGCTGACAAACAGCAATTATATAGTACCTAGGTGCATAAAATGAAGGTGTTTCAACGACTCGCTGAAGGAAGTAGAGACAGGGTGATCGGGTTTCCCTCATTTGAAGCTCTAAAAGACATCCATAGCTTACGAATTCAATTTCGGGCTCGCCAAGTCTTGGAAACTTCCCCATTCAAAAGGTCAATGTGAGGCTGTCTTACTACAGTAATTCATCTTTCACTGAGATGACCCCTAACCAGGCAGATATTCGAGGCAGAAACCAAAATTTTCACAACGATTTTCAAGCAAAGCAAATGTAAATTTTCTTTCCGGAAATTAATGATATCACAATGTTGAAACCCTAATAACTACTTGATTCAATCTCGTTCCGTTAGACTTCTGCATTTTTGAGCATCAAGCGGCAGTTCGCCATGAAGAATTTTCATTCCACCATTCATTTCTCCGTTTTACCATAAGTAATTATTGATCCATGACCAAAACACTTCTGAACCTAACATCACCACTTAACATGTGATCATAAGCCTTCTGAGCATCCTTCAATGGGAATTTCTCGATCATGCAGTGAACATCATGCAACTTGGTGAACTCAATAGCCTCCTCACTATCCAATGCATGACCAGATGGGAAACCGCAAACTGAAGCCATCTTCATGATGAGATCCACCGAGTTGATCTCCACACCACCACAAGGAGCCAAAATGAGCAACTTTCCTCCCGCACCCAATCCACCAGTCAAAGGGGAAATAGACTTTGGGTTTGGAGCCGTGCAAACAATCAAGGCTGCTCCTCCCATCTCGGTCAGTTTCTTGACGGGATCATCCTTCGATGTGTCAATATACTCATGAGCACCCAACTTATGGGCAAAATCTCTCTTCTTGTCACCACCACTAATAGCCACAACTTTGAATCCCATCTTAGCTGCATACTGTACAGCCAAATGTCCCAACCCACCCAAACCTTGAATGGCAACAACTTCACCAGGTGTAATTTGTAGTTTTCTCATACTGTTGAAGACAGTGATACCGGCGCAGAGAACTGGAGCATATTCATAAGGATCAACATCCTCTGGAACTCTGACTACGGCTTCGCTTCGAAGGTGAACATATTCGGCAAATCCTCCGTCGCGAGTGACACCATTAATGGCACCATTGGAACACATTTGACTGCGGGATCAGATCGTTAGTAACTCGCAAGCCATATTGCAGAAAAGAGAGAAAACATACAATTGTCCTCGATTGCACTGTTTACAAGTGCCATCGTGACCTCCATGCCAAGGACCTCCTACTCTCTCTCCGACCTTCCACTTCTGCACACCTTCTCCAACAGCAGCAACGGTACCAATTATCTCATGGCCCGGGATGATCGGAAATCCGTTTCCGAAACCACCGGATTGAACGACGGCGTCAGAGTGACATACTCCGCATGCAATGACCTTCACGAGAACCTCATTTGCGGATGGTTGTCTGAGCTCGATGTCTTTGATGACGAATGGACTATCGGCTTTTTCGAAAACAGCAGCTTTGTAGGTTTTGGGGAGAGACATTGTGGAAATGAGGGCTTGAGCTTTGTTTTTTAGAGTGGTTGGGAGGGTAGTTATGGTGTTCATGAGATGGATGAGTGAATTTTGTTGTTGTGCTTGTGGATACAAGAGAGAGGGAGAGAAGCTTCGTTATATTTATCACTTTAGGAGGAGGAGGGAAGGAATGATGTATGTGTTTTAGGAATGTGGGCAGACACCAATGGAAAGATAAAGGAAACAGCTACCCCGCCTTAAAGCCGGTGCGGGGACTGTGATCAAATACATCATAATAACTAATCAAAAACTAAAAGCTTGATAGTCGTCGGCGATACAGAAGCTTGCAGGTGAAATGATAGGAGATGCCTGAAGAATGAAGCTTTGGAGCTTTAGAGCTTATGGCAGTGACAAGGTTAGATGCTAAAGAAGTTAGTAGGTGGAACCCCGCAATCAAGCCTCTGCCCCTAAGCAGCTTTCCATTGGCCGCAAGACAGTACATACCTCGTAAGCCCGGACTTTGGGCTCTGTACAAAGGTGTCTGTGAATTTTAAGAGTAAGCTTATATCGATAGTGGGATATACGAGGGTATTCTAACTTGGTTTTTGGCCTATCAAGATGTCTCGCATTTCTTCTGTGGTTGAATAATACTTATTGAATCCATTATCATCTGTTTCCCTCAAGATGGATAGTGAGGATGCTAGTAGACATCACGAGATCTGTCAAACAGATAATGATATATATTCCAGTGCATATTTTATGGCATTCTTTATTCAGGGGAACGTCTCTCATAACAACTCACATCGCGAGCAAAGAATCATCCATCGCGATATCATTTAGACAAATACAGAAGTTTCGTATTCCGTCCCCAAAATGCTTGACAGTCCTCGATGTAACGTTTTGATTGTGTATCTGAATATGATTGTTCAGACTCATCCAAAGATTTTAGCAAACCGCAAGTGCATAATCGTAAAGTAGAAACACCACAAATGAAGGCACTACCACAATCCATTTCAAAAATCTCATTGGTTTGTCAATCGTTACGAAATTTTCTTGCATAAAGCCACAATCAAGAAATGTATCACGATGCTTCTTCCACAATTCGTCATTTGCAGATTTCCCCTCACTCCTGCTTTTCAAAATGGCAGTGATAAAGACGGAAACTAGTTCACGTTGCTCAACATGAGTTCATCTTCTTCATCTTCCAAAATTAGATACAGGATGATACCGACGAAAGATGACGGATTAAGTGCGGCGGTAGGGAGAGTGGACGAAGAATCCGAAGAGGTGATACAAGAAGAAAGCGTCACGGTTTTCGATAGCAAATGGAGATATATCACGGAATTTCTTCCTCAATGGAGAAGTGTTTTTGACCGGGAAACGTGGGCTGAGTCCATCATCTCTTGTCTCACTCAGTAGTACTAATACCCCACAGCTATCCCGGTTCCCTTCTCTTCAACACGGGAGCTTTCATCCTTCCAGCTCTTTACTCTACCCTCAGCAAACTATGGGTGGCCAACATCGATTCTACCCAAGTAGCAACCACAGATGTATACACCTACATCGGTGTGATAGTAGAGGTACTCAACGAAGGGCTCCCCCGAGCCGTCTGGGTTATCATAGCTGATGAATCAAATCGAAGTCTCCGTTCCCGATTAACACTTACCTATACCCTCATTTCCTTCCAAATTCTATTCGGTACTCTACTCATGATAATTTTCCTCGCAAGTGCTGAACATCTCGCCGCGGCTTTCGTACCTGAGATTGTGAGAAAAGCTAGTCTTACATATGTGAGAATCTCATCAGTACAAGCATTATCCAGTGCAATGAGCACTGCGGTTGCAAATTCAACACGAGCGTTGGATCACCCGGATGTACCGCTGCTGATCAGTTCGGTACAGTTTGCGGTGAATATTTTGTTGGACTTGCTTATCATTTCGAAGTTCCATGTAGGCTCTTTTACACCTACAGTTAATACACAGGCATTGATCAGAATGACATGTGATCTTGCTTCTGCAGGATGTGGCTTGCTATATTTTATTTATCTTGCTTTGAAGATGCAACGGTCTACTCCTTCACCTCCCATTATACGCGAATCCACATCTTTATCGGCGTCTCCATCGGGGTCGCCATCACCATCCGAGTCAGGAAACGCAACTGAGTCAAAACCCAGAATCACCATTTTAGCACTCAAAACACTTTTTAAGCCAGGAAAATGGACATTCCTCGAATCCGCTCTCCGCAATGCGATTTATCTATGGCTCATCCATGGAATTGTATCTATGGGTCTTGATTATGCTACTGCATGGGGTGTATTCAATAATATCCGATGGGGTATTGTTATGGTTCCTGTGAACGCATTGCAGGCATCTACATCAACGTTTGTGGGCCATGCATGGGGTTCTTGGAGAAAGGGTGTTGGAATTGAGACCAGGAAGCCGAGAGCTGAGAAGGGGGATATTCTAAGTAGGTCTTAACTTCCATCTATTAGAATAAAAATGAGTGAAGAAAGAATACTGATAGTCCCAGGAATTGTCCACTACGCTCTAGTATCTAGTGTCATTGCGCTTCTCATCGAAAGTCTATTCTGTATCTTCCTCTCCCTCTGGGGCATCCGCAAGTTTTCCTTCTACCTGTCCGAATCTGCAGCTGTAGCAAAAATCACAGAACACATGTGGAGGACTATTGACTGGTGCTATATTTTCTACGCTGTCACTACACAACTTGCCGCTATTCTTCTGGCTACCGTCCCGAAACTTTATTTTGTGCAAAGTCTGGGAAGTAATTTATTGTGGATGTTACCCTGGGCGATTGCGGTAAGTAAAATTCATATGACGAGCGAGAATGCGTGGATGTATGATGGGATTATTTTTGGAGGAGCGCTGGTTTTTGATTTTTTGAATGTGGGAGTTGTACTTGGGGCGTGGTATTGGGGATTGAGGAGGGGAAGATTGGTGGTGGGTTGATTGTGGGAGGGATCAGAATTAGGGTGTATTGGAGAGAATGGAACATTAGTTGAGCCTGTTGGTACTTTCGATCGTAGGTAAATGAGTTCATTTGATCCAGTAGACAACACTGGTTTCAGAATTCCACATACGCAACAACAGCACACCTTGTCGTGGCATGTTGAGGTTGCGAATGAGTGGAAATTAAAATTGAGATGAAGCTGTCAGAAAGTAGACCTCGAGATAGCACTATCACCAGTGGCCGATAGGAGGAATGATAAATTGCAAGATCAGACATCTAGGAAGCACTGGCTCGTATCCAGATTCATTTAGCAAAGTTTGGCTGAATTGGTACACAGGCAGAGCAGCTATGTCTGGCACTGACAAGTAGAATCATTTATTATCACAAATTAGAAAGATGGTGTTTGATGCCCTAGAGCGTTGTGGATACACTGCCTAAAGATCCTTACCAGTAGCCTGGAGTGGATCTCTCATCGACCCGGATTCCTGGGTTGCTAAAGCTTATTTAAATAAGCTTAGTAGCAACCTCTAAGTATCCAGGTTTTTTATTATTCGTTCTTTCTTACTTTCTCAATCCAGAGATTCCGTTAGTAGATTGTTGCCCATTGAGAATTGTGTCGAATTTCACTTAGTTTCAACATTTAAGATGGGTAAGGTTGACTGGAACTCCCCACGCGTACTACTTCTAAAATATTAACCACATCGTCTTCAGGTTACTCAGAGATCCCTTGTCAAATCTGTGGTGTTAGCTTTAATATAGGACGAGATCGGACTGTTGATGAAATCGATGACAAAAGTGCTTCCTGGTATAATCCGGATGGGGGGTATGAGGCGGGGGACAAAAATTGCGGTACCGAGTATGGATGTTTGTTCTATTGGACAGCATCGATTCCAGAACAAAATGGAGAGCTCAATATGCAAAACAATCTACCTTTCTACGAAGATAACACGCCCTTGGTTGAGGATAATAGTTTACCGTATTCTTATGAAAGTGCATCGGATGATGAACCTTTGGAGTATGATTCAGATGCGGATGAGAGCTCCTTCAAAGACCATGTTTCGGAAGCATCTTCAGCGCTGGAAGATCGTCAAGACACCCAAATAGGTAATGAGATGGAAATAGATGACTACGACGGTGATTGCAGTTTCGAATCAGATGAGGAAATAAAGCTATATCACGAATGGTTATCGGGGTTTGATCAACACAAGTTGCTAAATCCTCCAAAAGTCGAGAAGATCATGATGACTGATGAAGAAGCACGAAGTGTGCAGTGGGAAAATAAATTTACACATCTGCCAGGTCCCAAATGCTCAGGAAGCAAGGCATACAATGGCAATTTCATCACTGCTCAAGAAATGAGAGGGTGTACCACGGTGCAATGTCTCGTTTACAAAGATAGAAACTGGAGCCCTAGCCCTGATGATGAAGATTTCGAACTCGAGGGGGATATCTTTCTCTCCGGTCTTGGTGATCATGTACCTTCACGGGACATGAGTTACGTGGTATTAACGCCAGCCCGTCATGGACTCGCCGATGATGTACTCGCAGATACAATAATTTGGCAGGTAAGTCTTTGCAATTCTTCTTCATAGTCGCAAATAAAGGAGATGTTTTCATCAATTTCAAGAACCAGACATATTCTCATGGCCAGAAAGCAATCCGGATTATTCAACATTCTGTTCATATATCATTATCTTAATAACATAGGGTTTGAAAACTGACCTCATAATGTACAGGTGCCTCCAAATACCCGGGAAGTAGCAATGCCATTCCATCCAACTTGTCTCGAGGTCTATAAACATGCATCACGGCTTAATTTCAATCAGACTTCTATTCAAGATCTAATGAAGTGGCGCGATAAGGAGTCCTGCTACAAATATGACACTGACTTTCCTCGCGATCGCGCTGTACGTCACTGCAGTGAACAATGGTGGAGCCATAGTCCCGGCACGGAATGGCTCGCCGCAAATCCTGTCTTCATACCAGCGTTACCCTCTATATTCCAATCAGCAACAACCACAAATCCACATTTATCCCTCAGCTCGCCAGCCTTCCCTACTCGTCCTTCGAAACCTCACCCTCGAAGATCCTCGCGTAATAATTCTCCCGATCCATTCCTCAAGCTGTCGCAAGAACTTCAAGATGAGATTATATCGTATCTTCCGTCCAAAGATGTTGCCTCCATTCGTCTCGTATCTAGGGCTTTTAGTCAATTTTCTCAGGGGTTCTTCTATAAACTTATTGTTTCTGAAATGCCTTGGTTGTGGGAAATATACGATTCCACACCTCCATCTTTCTGGGCTACAGTTTCTGGGGCGGACCTCGAGTCTCGTGAAAAAAGGCGAAAAGAGCATAATGAACAATTAGTGGCATTGCGTTCACTTATTTGGGAAGAGCTTCCTGAGTTGTACGATGAATGGAAAGCTGCTGAGCCCGTGTTTGATGAGAGTATCGATGGAGCGTTGAAGACGGGGTTTGAAGATGGGATTGATACGAAGAAATTGGACTGGTATCAATTGTATTTGGGAATTACTAAAGGTTTTAAGGAGGGAAGGTTGAAAGGGTTGCAAAACAGAGAGAGGATTTGGAAGGATGTGGAGGAGATTATAAGAAGAATAAAGAAGTATGAGGAAATGGGATGGCCTGGGTGGGTCGTCGCTGAGGGAGATCAATAACTGGTCTAACAGATTCAGAAGTGCAACCCATATCAATTATTTGATAGTTTGTAAAATAAACGTGATTTCGATTTGTCGACAGAAGAGTACCTCATTCATCGATGATGATTTATAGAGAAAAGTAAGTGTAGATCCAAGATACAGCTCAACTTGTGTTCCGTCAAATATAGTATGCTTGTACTTCTCATAGTAAGGAAAGTCACTCGCGTCATCAAGTTACCAAACAAAGCATTATGAAGATGGAGCGGTAATTACAAAATGAGTGAGGGAACATAAGGAGACGGGATTGGAGAGAAATGTTCGATAGTTTGAACTGTGGAATAAGACGGGAATGTGATCTACTTCCAAAAAGGTGGGGTCATCTACCCCACTTCCTTGGCATGCAAAGAGGATTAAATGTGGAAGGTGCAACCCATTGTCTCAACTCATGAATGCAAACAAAATCTCTTCCTTGGTCTATTTATTGCAGCTCTCCTAGGCAGATATCCTATCAAAAAATCTCCTCGGTTGAAGAAAAGTAAGCGCTGGTTATGGAGAGCAGATCATTCTGGATCTGGACACGAAGCGGGGTCGTTCATGCTGCCCCTTCATTTTTCGCTTATGAATACAATCTGCCTTGATGGAGAAACTAGATTTGTTACTGGACAGTACTAGGTTAACAGATGTTAACGCGGATTACACTGCAAAATAATGCTTCCAAGATAAGCTCAAAAAGTAGCTTAAATATTACCCACATGGTGCGTCGTGGCATGGCGCTCGACAGCCGTACTCCAATAGCTGAACAATCTTGTACTAACCCAGAAAGATCTACGGACCTTCGATGTGATACAACGTAACATGTCGTGACGAATAAGTATCTCGTTCCCCCCATGATCAACTTCGAGTCTTCGTTTCATATCTTTATCAAGCCTACATTGATTCTCTTTTGTTCGAACAGAGATATCTCGTTTTCTTTACCATTCGTACAACTCTAAAGCATGGATATCACCAAAGATTCCCGCTCGACGTTTCTCATTTCGTTGCAAATCCCTCTAACCCTACAAATAATTACAATCGCCGTGGTCTTTACTACTCTATGCTGTGCCTTTCAGCGTCTATACTTCCATCCGCTGTCCAAAATCCCAGGACCAAGGCTAGCTGCCGCAACTTCCTGGTATGAATTTTATTATAACGCCATTCGAGATGGAATATATACCAAGAGTTTTGAGAAAATGCATACAGACTATAGTCAGTTTATCTTTTCTACTTAAAGCTCCCATTTGGCTAAATAGCATCCTTCAGATTCTTCGGTCATCCGAATTGCTCCCAATCATGTCCATGTCAATGATCCGGACTTTTTTTCAAAGTAAGCACCTGAGGTAAACAACTTCGAGCTGTAGATATTGAACCATGATAGAATGTTCAACAACAGAACAATTTATCGAAAGGACCCAGGCTTTTATAAGCAGATAAGCATGTCCGAGTCTCTTCTTTCCATACTAGACCCACACGAACATCGTCTACGGCGACAAAAAGTCAGCTCTTTATTTTCGACAAAAGCTGTAGATTCTATGGCACCAGATATTCTCGCAATCGCTCAGAAAGCGGCCAACATCATTATGAAGCGTGGAGAAGAGAAAAGACCTATTGATATGCATCGCCTCTGTCGCTCCATTTCTGTCAGTCACTAATATAGTTCAATCTCATCCCCCCCCCACCCCCACCCCTCCTCTCACACGTATTACCATGCTAAGTCCTGAGTAACAGTCGGAAGTATTATTTAAAATACTTTTTGACGAACCTCAAGGTCTCTTAGACTCACAGGAAGAGGACCCGGAATTGTTGGCAAGTATGGATGCCTTCTTGAACAATTTTTGGATATGTAAGGTTCCTCACCCACTTCTTTGCCTGCTCAGGCTCAGTTAGCGTCTCTCTTGAGTATTTTTTTCTAATCTCGAATTTATCGTTGCAGTGAAGGCATTCCCCGCCGTTGGGTGGTTGGCAACAAACCTACCTCAGTCGCTAGCCCAGAAGATGGTTCCCGGATTCAAAAGAACTAGAGATGTAAATACAGCCCACCTTCTCTTTCACGCCTTTGTTTCCTATACAGTATTTTTCATTTTGATTCATACTCACCACATGTTTTGGTTAGAAATGTGGAAAATGGGCCACAATGGCTGTTGCTCGACAGAATTCCCGCGGAATGACCAAAGATGACTCATCACCAAATACTGTCTTCGATCTTCTTCTCGCTCCAACTCCCGAAGAGCCTCGTTCCGAATTCTCAATACCGGACTTGGTGGATGAGGCGTTCTTGTTCGTATTCGCAGGGACTGACACCACAGGAAGTACAATTGCAAATGCTTTATACTACATTCTCTCTTCACCATCTGTTTCTTCTAAATTACTAGACGAACTGACTGCTCACGGCATCACATCGCATGAAACTTTTGATTGCAACGTGGTTCAGAGATTACCATATCTGGTAAGTGGTTCTTTCGTATCTACGTGAAAACGCTTTAGATGAGGATTTTGATGGAGGAGTTCTACTAACATATTGAAACAGACGGCAGTCGTCAAGGAAAGTATGCGGGTTTACACTATTGTGCCAGGTGTTCTCCCGCGTATTGTACCTGAAGGGGGAGTAGTTGTAGATGGAAATTTTATACCAGCAGGTGTACGTACACACTCTTCTTGGTAGTCAGAGCCGAATGATTCTCTAATATACGCGAAACATGTATAGACAAGCATCTCACAAACCAATTTCTCACTTCATCATAACGCATCTATCTTTCCTTCGCCCGAAACATTTGACCCCGAACGATGGCTTAGGGATGAAGAGAAAGTGTTAGAAAAGTATTTTGCTCCGTTCAGCAAAGGTTCAAGAACTTGTCTTGGCATGAAGTAAGTTGCTTTTCTCTTCCAAAATGACGAAGTCGATCGGCTTGCTAAATGAATCTTCAGACTTGCAAATGAAGAAATATACATAGTAGTTGCTCTTTTCTTTGCTCGGTTTGAAATGGAGCTTTATGAGACAGACGCTAAAAGTATGGAGTGGGCGGATCGTGGAAATGCGGTTAGTAAATCAACTGTTAAGGTGCTTGTTAAGCGTGATAGATGGGCCGATAACCATTGATATTTTTTGGATGGTTGAACTTCTTCGATGAAGAAGTTAAGCTGGAAACAACCTAAAAATGGCGAAAGTACATCAGCTCTACTAGCGCAAACTTCGTACACCCGGCATGGTCAAATTGAAGAACGAAATTGAAACAATTGGTAATCAGGTTTGCCGTGAAATTGCTGCGTAGTTGTTCTTCATTAGATTTTCAATGATTTCAAAGAAAGCTGCAGATGAGTTTAATCCATCCGCAAAGAATAGAACATTGCGAATCAAAACTAAACAATCCCCTGCACACATCTCGAGTAGCTTCAACATTTGTTTGGACAAAACAAGTCAATACGGGCGATCTTTGGCAATATGGTCCGGTTGAGCCTCAAAAAGGCTCCCAACGCCAATAGCAAAGTAAATTCCTGACTACCATCCTTCCACAACCAACGCTGCAATGACACGTGCATACGCATGGCTAAATCCATTAGCATGTCCAGATCGCATGATATCAGCAAAGTGATTACAATAGTGATGATCCACATAGCCCAGAAAAATGGCTTCATCTATCTGTCCGCTTAGCTCTCCTGAGATCTCACATGTACCAGAAGGTGGGGGAGAGGGTTATTTGCTTATGGGAATAGTTAGATTTGATTCAAACAGCCCAACGAGGCATGATCTCTTCCACTACATTAGGTTAAATGGTTCTGTGGAAGGAACTACCTCCAAGTTCACCCATAACTTCTGCGGCCTTTTGGCAAGAGCCTTAGAATGTGGCTTGTGTTTGTGACGTTCTGCTCAATACTATCATGTGAACTCAGCAAACTGAGGCACGCTTTTATAGATATGAAATTATATATAGTGAGATGACTCGCTTAGTATACCTGGTAGAGTATGTTCTTCAATAAAAGTAAAGCAGACCTTGATATTTGATGGAAGAACTATCCTACTAAATGCTTCTACTTATAGGAAAGATGACAGTTTAATCCATCTCAGTTCAGTGAGTGTGTATCTGGGAGGTGCCAAATTATCCGCGTCTCGGAAAGTCTATCTGACCAGTCGCAAGTATGTTATCAGCACAAAAAGGATGATAAAAAGTCATGTATTTTGTTTGGATCTGCTGGAAACTGTTTCCAAATCCCATTCTCAAGCCGAAGAATTTTGTAAGCAAATAAATTTCATAATGTGATTACTATCGTTGTACTAAATAGTAATGAATAACCATCCCTTCATTTCCTTGCGTCCACCAATCACCATCTACCAAAAATCAGCCCATGGTATACATCTGTCTAAAGTGGCATATTGTATTAAAGTATCCATAGTTCACGTCCACGCGAACAGTTTCCACTATATCCCAAATCCTCGAATGTTCAATTAACTTTCTTATCATATCCTCTAGCTCGTAGCATCGAAACTAACGGGGGTACTGGCTTGTCCTGCAGCCGCAGTATCCAACTTAATGTTATTGGCCAACTTTGTCTGTTCGGGCGCTGGATCTCCAGTCTTTCCTTGAGCTACCTTGATTTGGAGAGCAAGGACTTCGGCGGTGAGTTTGAGAACCTTGTTCTTGATTTTGCCGTTCTAGAGCTTATGTTAGTTGCTGTTATGTACTATAATTATATGACGGAAGATGGATGGGAGTATATACCTGAAGAGCAGTAGCAGCATCACCGTCAGCGGCCGCAATGGCTGGATTGAATCCATCAACTTCAGCATCCTCAGCAGCATCATGAACTCCCTGAATGATCTTAAGATCAGATGCGGAAACAGCAGCGAGATTATTCATATCGATACCGGTGAAGAGTGCATTAGCTTCATCTTCAGCGGATCCGGCAGTTCCCGCAGAGATTTGGAAATCATTGTATGCCGAAGAGGTCAAAACACTTCCGGCTGCAGCAGTGGAAGTTGAGCTGGATGCTGCCGATGTGGCTGCGGCAGTTGAGGAAGCGGCTGCTGTGGCCGATGCGATTGCGGAGGAGGATGCCGCGGCAGCCTTTTCCTTCTTGGGAAGAGGAGAGGCGTTAACGACAGAGAGGAAGAGGACAAGAGCTGGGAGGGAGAAACGCATTTTGATTGGTTTAGTTGGTTGATTGGGTGTTATAAAGGATGGATAGTTGAAGTAAGTAGTGAGTAAAAGGAACTCGTAATATAAATCTTGTAATATGGAATAAATGTATTAACAGTTCAATAGACAGCACAGCTGTTGTAGAAAGTATTGGAATGAATGTGTGTAGTGAAGGTGAAGAAGAAGATGATGATGATAATGAAATAGAAATGTAATAAGGAAATATCTGGTGATCTTATAGCTCATGATGCCGTCGCTTTTTTGCTTACTCTTCCTGATCTCAAATGTTATTGTGACAGGCACAATACATCTGATCACCTAGGATATGACATCAATCCCTACAACAAAGGCGTCTATGTACAGAATAGCGGGGAATGAGACGCCCAGTACATCTGAAGTAACATATCTTGCCAGGATCAATTGATCAAATCTGATATCTTCAAACTCATCCGAAGAGCACTTGTCACTCATCAGATAAGATCTCAAGCCACTAGGCTAACAACGAGCAAGAATTAAACCTTAAAGTAACATGAATTGGGACGCCATAGGTGGAATTTCGAAAAGGCATTGAAAATATATCCGTCCCATCTAAATTTTGAACGGTTACTGACATACCGAGTTTCATACTTGAGATGACACTCCGGAGTTGGGACGAAGGGGCTATTTTTGATGTTCTTGGCGGTGGTCGAGCGTTTGGGCCTGCCTGATGACAATCGATTTGAGCTGTTTCAGACTGGGAAATCGAAGGATTTCGAAACTCATAAGGTTACTTCAGGTATGGCTGCCTTATTTTCTTGCTTCATCATGAATACAACCTAGAGAGTTGTTGTTTTGAAGTTTAAAATTATCTTTGCATGATTTTCTAGGGTGTGAGTTCCCTTGGATTGAGCTGAAATTTCCCTCTTCAAATCTCTGACATAGTTACAATTTTCCCGCCTTGAACCTTTCTAGTCGTATCCAACCTACATGATGATTGTGTAGATTCAGACAAGCGAAACCTAGTAATGTTGGATCGTACATGCATCCAAAGGACGAGGTCGGATATTGGTCTTTGAAATGGAAGAATTGCAAGAAGATTTGAGGTTTTTGGTGAACGCTTAAGGTGAAGGGGCGTGGCTGATTCGGCAAATCAAAAGGTGGTGTGGCTGTAGTCCACGTGACACCTCTCTATCTCTCGAGATTCAATTCCATACACATTCATTTTTTTGTCTTTATCACTTGAATCAACAGTCAGAATCACAAATGAGAAAATTTTCATATCAGAGATATCATGAATTTCAGACTGAAGAGTCGTAGATTTCTTCATTTAGCTTATGAAGATCGCTTCAATGAGTCTTCGGGCAGCTATATCGGTGTAGCAATGTGTCGGATGATTATAAACAGATATATCATGTCACTCCTTTGAGATTTCAACCAGGGATGGAACCTCCATCATCATCTTCGCCATCCTCTTGTTGAAACGAAGTTTTCAATTTTTCTTCGGTTTTACCGCCGATCATATCACTCACGAATTTCTCTCTCGACTAGAACGGTAGGATAAGCCGATTTTCTAATTTTGGCTTCGACCATGGACTTTAATAAAATAAGTCTTCCTTTCAAACGACTTTTTTCTCCTGGGCCGATGTACAAATTCGAGGGAATAGAGTCAGATCTCACTGCGATCGCTCAAATATAATATCGATCCGAGTTTGATGTCTCAGCGCATTAACTTACCCAGCGCTCTTCCCAATTAGGGTCCGTTCAAGAGCAAACTACTATCACAAGTGGCTGGGCGGGTACAAGATGGTACTTTTCGAACGTCTGATAGTGATCGGGCTACTTCGTGAATGACGTGTTTTATGGTGAAAAGAGATGCTTTTCCAGACACATGAGTTATCTTCTTACCAGATTTTGTGCAATACGTTGCTTATGGAATTGTGAACACATTTAATTTACTCAAATTCCCATGATGAATACCGACAGAGGTAGTGATCACTTGTCTCCTTATGGGATTTGGGTTATTTAAATTACAGAGAAGTTGGAATCTAACATGCGGTAGAATCGAAAATAGTCGGTTGGCGATAGAACTGACTCCTCACAAGGCAGGATATCAAATGATGTAAAAGTTAATCATGCATGGCTGGCGAATTCCATCACCAATCCATGGATGATGTCGTGCATCTGACCTATACGAAATACATCTCGAAGCGTCACTTTTTTGGATGACTGGCATTTTCCTAGCTCTTTGTCAAGTTTGTCGAGCAGTGTATCAATCAGTTCGATATTGGAGCATCTCCCAGATTCGTGGACTTCTCCATGGCAATATCATATCGAAGCAGGGCTGGTGAATCTATTTCCCTAGGATTTTCCCCCCATCCTGTGAACACTGCTGATAAGCAGCGCAGAAATGATCACAGATAAGAAGAGAGGGTGGAAGAAAATGAACATTGTCAAGCTGCCTGAAGATCGAGACTACGGCCCCATTTGAAAGATCCATAATCGTGACTATGGCCTACCTTGACCTCTCTGGCTCTACAGGTATTCAAATTGAGGGCGTGAGTATACACAAATGCAATTTGTGCAGTCCAGACGTCGAACATGCACGGTACCTTACCTAAGGGGAGTTAGTGCTACTTAAGTGAGCCTTGGAGCCTTCAACCTTGATATTTTCATACTAGCGAACTAGTAGAAGTTTAAATATCACGGGCTGATAAATTTTATCAAAACGAAATTTTTGGAGTACAATGAATCTCAATATGGCGTCACAATTGCCTATTTGGTGAATTTTCCTGCTTTACGCGAAAAATGTCCTGAACTCGTGAGAATCCACCCTCATGCATATCGCTTTGGACCTTACCGGTATTAGATCCTGTTGGAGTGTCAGAATCTTCTCGGTAGTTGTTCAGAACCCGGAACTCGACATTATCTGCATCTAATTTGTGGTCAAAAACTCGCTCCACGTAGTAGTCATAGATATAGTCAATTCCAACATGAAAATAACAAATACTTTAGACCTCAGATAAGATTGATTTTCGGAAACAGTCTTCCGCTAACACACACTTGGCACTCGCTATAATCTCCACTTCCTTGATGCAAATCTTTTTTCCTTGCACAAGATTAGGAAAGCTTTTTTGAAGCCGGCCAAGAGCCAAGATCTGGGGACTGTTGATCGTTAGAGAGTTGCTATTTTATCTTGGCTGGAACATATGCCAATGCCACTCCGCCTAGATAAGCAGGAGTTTGACAAGCTCCAACGGCGGACAGTGGACGTGAACTATAAATGATATGTCACTCGCTCCTCAGCTCCTTAATTCGGGACCGAACGCTTCAACTTTCTTTTGCTAACAAAAAGTTTAATTTACACTCTTAACTCCACCAAAAGTCGGGACCGAATGCTCGAAGTTTTATCTCCGGGCCTGCTTCTTGAAACTAATTGTGTTGCTATATTCAATTTTTCGCCTTTATCGAACTAATACTGCAGTCATTAACCAATTTCTGACCCATAGCAAATTGAATAGATACATCGGACACCGAAGTCACTACACCTCATCAAACAAGAAGAAAATTGACGAGGAAAAACGTTCCAAATTTAAGAACTTATTGGGAACGCATCCACGGTGAATTAAACATCGGCATAGGATAAGCAGCGAAAGTCCGATAGAAGCGCCCTTTTGAATGTCACTGACATAATAACTGGAGAAAAACGTGCTTATCTACCAATCAAACCCTTACAAAAAGGATCTAGAATCTATGACGAGAGTCCACCAAACTTCCATTCCTGAGGAGGATTCAGAGTGGAACTCCGCATTATTCTACCATCGGAGGGAGTGGAATCGTGCTAACGATTAATGAATTGGTTGGTCTATTAGTCTATTAATGTTTGCAGATTGTTTATATAATACTGATTGATGTATCCTTCAATCCATCTACGTCGTTTGACTCTGCAGGCACTGGATGGCGAAATAATCATAATTAATATACAACAGCGATCTCCTATTTCTGTCTCTCCTTTTTCCAACGTTTAATACATAGAATTTTGACGAGAGTTAATGTCAGATCATCGAATTAGCTAAGAGATTGGACGACACCAATAGAAGTTTACAAAAGCATCCGAGGACTTGGTTGGATACCTAGTACACGTACGACACCGCCAAAATGGCAGGTGCTACTTCAACACAAACAAACGCTGTTGATACGACAATTAAAGCACACGAAATACCTACAGAACCATCTACACAACAGCCCTCACCCAATTCTCGCGCATCGACCGCTGCAACTCCAGAAGATAGCGAAAAAGAAGTCATTGACTCCGAAAATCATACCTCAAATCAAAGTAGCGTCGATGTCACCGCGACAACCCCCAATGCTGCGGCTTTTCCTGGGCCCTCTCCTCAGGATCCAGAAGCTTCGCGCACGAAATTGCAAACGACTATTATCATGTTGTCACTCTGCGCATCAGTTTTCCTCGCCGCTCTCGATGTCTCGATTATTACCACTGCTCTCCCTACTATTTCCGAACATTTTCACTCAAACGCTGGATACACTTGGATAGGTTCTGCCTATCTATTGGCAAATGCGGCTTCTACACCTTCCTGGGGTAAATTTTCAGATATATGGGGACGGAAACCGATTTTATTAATAGCGGCTGGAGTATTCTTCATTGGGAGTTTATTGGCAGCAACGAGTGTTAGTATTGGGATGTTGATTGTGGCGCGAGCTATCCAGGGAATTGGGGGTGGAGGATTGATCATTTTGGTCAATATCTGCATTAGCGATTTGTTCAGTATGAGGAAGAGGGGTGCATACTTTGGATTGATTGGAATGACTTGGGCTTTTGCTAGTGCAATTGGTCCTTTGTTGGGAGGTGTATTTACCCAGAAAGTTAGTTGGAGATGGTGTTTTTATATTAATGTGAGTTTTGACATGGAATTTCAACGTTCTCCTATGGGGTGAGTTTTCAAGGAATTCGAATACTAATTGAGAATTAACAGCTACCGATTACGGGAACAGTCGCAATCGCACTTTTCTTTTACCTCCATCTGGACAATCCAAAAACGCCAGTATGGGATGGATTGAAAGCCGTAGATTGGTTCGGAAGTTTACTAATTATCGGTGGTACGCTTATGGTCCTCCTTGGCTTAGAATTCGGAGGTGTCACAAAACCATGGGACTCAGCTACGGTCATCTGTTTGATCATCTTCGGAATTGTTGTGGCCGGTCTTTTCGTGCTCAACGAATGGAAATTCGCTCGATATCCAGTCATGCCTCTTAGACTCTTCAAACATGCATCTAACGTTGCGGCTTTAGGCGTCTGTTTCTGTCATGGATTCGTCTTCATTTCAGCTTCTTACTATCTCCCGCTCTATTTCCAAGCTGTTCTTGGTGCTACCCCTCTACTTTCTGGTGTCTATTTACTACCATTTGCTCTCTCTTTATCTTTGACATCCGCAATCACTGGTGTATTCATTAAGAAAACAGGCAAATACCTCCCACCCATTTATTTCGGTCTCGTGGTTATGACACTCGGATTCGGTCTGTTCATCAATCTCCCACGCAAGGCTACTTGGTCTAAAATCATCATTTACCAAATCATCGCCGGTATTGGCGTAGGACCTAACTTCCAATCACCACTTATTGCTCTACAAACCTTGGTCAAAAAGGCAGATATTGCGACCGCAACCGCCACATTTGGATTTACCAGAAATCTAAGCACAAGTATTAGTGTGGTAGTTGGAAGTGTAGTATTTCAAAATGAAATGCAGAAAAAAAGTGCGGAATTGATTAAAGCTCTGGGTAGTAGCGTGGCATTGGAATTGAGTGGTGGAAGTGCGGGTGCCAGTGTGGACATTGTTAAGGATTTACCTGCTGCTGGAAGAGAAGTTGCAAGGGATGCTTATTGGGGAAGTTTGAGGATTATGGTAAGTTATCCTTCGGGGGTCATTTAAGGAGAGGCTCCTATCAAGTAATGAAAAATGCTAACTGGAATATAGTGGATTATATACGTAGCATTCGCAGCGCTGGGTTTGGCAATTAGTTTTGCTATTGGTCAACATGTGCTTAGTAAAGAACACGAGACCACGAAAGTGGGATTGGCAGAACAGGAGAAACTAAGACTAGAAGCTAAGCGGGCGAAAAAAGCGACAGATGTAGAGGCTGGAGTACCGGTTGTACAGGCAAATGGAGAGGGAGAGAAGGCTCTTGCTTGAGAAAACTACAGGACAGAGATTTTTTTAATGAGAAAAGTCATTTATTGCATGGCGTGCGTGGATCTTGGTTTGCATTCTAGAGTTGGAATTTGCATTTTAGACCAAGTGTTCGGATGATACCCAGACGATATTAATTACGGAAACACGCGCTTTGGGACTGGATGGATAATAGGGTATTTATGATTGATGGAAACGCATTATATACATATGCCTTTAGAGTTTTGTACATAATTATACATAGTCTCAAATATAGAGTCTTTCTCTTCGAATGGTTGCATATCATTCTATGTTCAACGTGTTTGCTCCAAATTCTTGCAACGTTCTTATAATTTTCGAAAGTCTATACCTGATAGACGACTACATTAAGATACCTAAAAACTAGTAACTTGTCTAATAATAATAGTAATACAAGAACCTTCGTTTTGAATACGAAATAAAAGAAAAACAATTGAACTGGCAGCCCAATCCCGGGTATCCTATCATAATCATACAATGAAAACATTTCGCTTCAACTCCTCGCACAATTGAATTATACCTTTCCTCCGGAGACTCTCCCTCTCTCATCATCATCGTCAAAATAACTCCCTGTCTTTTCATCCCCCTTCTGCATCCCCGGCCTCAACTCAACACCTTTCTTCCCCCTCTGTCTCGAAAGTAATCCTTCCATCCCCACAACTCCACCCGCTAGCCCCATTGGCCCTAATAAAATCCCCCCAATAACAATCCACACCACGATTGGCAATGCTTGCACTGCGCAGAAACTATAATTCGCAAGATCGACAAATCCCGAAAAGAGTACCAACACAGCTACGATCATTGTTGTACCGAAGCTAAATTTGTAGAGTGTTTTCAATCCGGGGTTTTTGCGTTGGATGGCTGAAGCGGATGTGGCGAAAGTGAAGAATGTAGGGACGAGGAGGATTATACCGATGATTCCGTGGGCGGAGAGGGATGCGGATGAAGATCCTTTGATGACGAAACCGAGAATGACGGTGGCGATGATGAGGATTGGTGAGATGATATAGAGGAGGGCCGGGATGAAGGTAGTGAATAGGGGCGATTTAAAGGCTGGGAATGGAGAGGGGAGGGAGGAAAGAGTTGTTACGCGTTTGGTGCTGTGTACTAAAATGTAGGTTGGTGCGAGGATGAAGTATGTTAGGATTGCGAAAACAACTGAGAGGGTGTTAGTTCGACTGTTTCTGATTTTGTAGTTATATTGAAGAAAAGAACTTACTGTGTAGAATAATCGATATAATTGCTCTCTTTATTGGCATGCCATTAATCTGGATATCCATTTTGGCGAGATTAATGGTATATGTATTGCCCCCATTTTCGAGGATGAAGGTTTGATTATTCGTAATGTTTTTATTCATTTTGAGCACTCCTTTCAATTTATCGATATCGATAGTCCCCGTTGTGAAAAGTCCAAACCCAATTGAAGCGAGTCCACCGACACCTGCACAGCCAATAGTATCAATTCCCATCTGTAGAATAGGATCGAGCGTTGTAGAATTAAGAGCGTTGATGAAAGAATTATTACCAGAAGAAAGGCTCGATTCGCGACGTTCAATGACCGAAACGTGGGATGATGAAATCATGGCTCGACTTTGAAGAAGATGACGTTTTGCAGTCGATGACTTGGTAAGGTTTGAGATGATTGATGGATTTGCGAGTACTTGCTTCACAAGTGTAGTACCCTGTGCACCTAAACCAAGACCAAATCCCGTCGCTGCTCCACCAACTGAATCATTAAACATCAGTGTTTGCATTGGAGGTGTAGACATTCCGGCCAGAGTATTTCCAGCCCCGTCAAGAAGTCCTACTGCAAAGCCTTGTGCTACCGCAGCGATGTTCAGATTGGCGAGAAAAGAAGGCGTAGAAGAGGAACCCGAACTCATATCTGCTTCCGTTACACCCATACCCATAGCAGTTGAAGGACCCCCTGAGCCCATTAATGAAGTCATTAATTTCGACAATGTGCCATTTTGCAAAAAGCTGGATGTAAGTCCCATGGTAAAATCTTGCACGGCTCCGGCAGATCCATTGGGAGATGTTTCCATTGTAGCCGCATTCTGAAGTCCGAGTCCAACAGTTGTGCCTTGTCCAAGACCAGTGCCGGCACTGGCGGCGAGTTGGCTTAGGGAACTTCCAAGAATAGTGCCATTTCCCTGTATCAAGTCGTTTATATTGACACCAGACATTGCTTTTGATAAGAAACTGGTAGTATTAATACCAGAAAGAAATGTGGATGTGAGACCCTGGCCTAGATTTCCAGCTGCGCCATTGATACCACTGGTATTAAATGCAGCCTTATCAGATGGTGTTGTAAACTTTAATGCTTGCGAGGCTCCACTTCCTAAACCTTGTGCGAGAGCAAGAGCGGCTCCATTGAGTGTTCCAGCTCCTATCATCATAGCCATTGGATCGTTGGCTGCAGCTTTTGCTGCTTTCATATCGGTGCCAGCCGGTGCAATCGAAATTGATCCAACTAAGCTCTTTGTGAGTCCAGAGCCAAGATTCTGCGCTGCCAAGTTGAATCCGGTGGCATTCGTAGTTGGTACGGACATATTCATCATTCCGGCAATAACACCCAGGGCGAGGCCATTCCCCAGAAATCCTGCAGGCACAGCTATATCTGCTGCTAACCCACTAACAATTCCTGATATATTCCCGGAGAACAACTCTCCTATGGTCGATAATGCGCCTCCACCCTTTCCCCCACCGAGAAGTTTTCCTGCGGCACTGCTTATTGCCTCTAAAAAGCCTCGTTCTTCAATATACTTATCTGCTGTACTAGTTAGAATAAAAATCTTTCAGCCTGGGGTTGTTGCTAATGTACCATGTAATGCTCGACGCCGCAGCGATGATTGTGGGAGGTGGTTGAGAGATGTAACTGTAGAGATACATATTATGAGAATTACAAAAGCCAATATCGGTCTCCATCGTCCAGCTTGGAGAAAGTTTGCAAGAGAAATCATTATTGAAGAAGTTTTCACACAAATTGACGTATATTAAAAGGTGGTTTGGATGTCTTCATTCCTTTAAGAGAACTCGACAGCTGGAGGGAATATTAATATGTTCATCGATTATCAAATTATTCTTATAAATCGTACATACTGTGAACATGACACAGGAACATAGATTCTCCTTGAAACTTGTCATCTGTCGTTCAAGCGATCCGTCGGGTAAGAAACAATAGATCGATATCAAATTGCAAACTCAAAACAAACGATGGGGTAACAAAATTCGCTATACTCTCGATTGGGATTACTTCAGTGGCCAAGAATGAAGACTTGGTAGATAAACTAGGGTTTTCTAAGGACATGACTTCCTGATTGAGAGGTAAACGAATTGGGGTACAAAGAGCCATCCCTTGAGCGTCTGACTTTGATGGGTCCAATCTATTGAAACCGTGCCGTGAGGAAACGATGCGATGAGAGATGAAGTTTGACACCATTCGTTCTTGGGGATTCTCGAACAAATCAACAAATGTTCTTCAACTACAAGCTAGTAAAAAAAGAAAGTCATCATTGGCCCAGAATAAAAATAAAGGTGATGTGAAACAAGCAACACTTGCGCACGATCTTCTTCGTCCGGGTGTTTAAGCTTCCAGAACGGTAGACGGAAAAACCAATGACAGATGTGAAATACTATCGCACGACCCTTGCACCGTTGAAAGTATAACACTAAATCGTCAGATTCACGATGAATATTTTATGATATCGGCAAAAAGGAATTGTAAAAGCAAAGGGTCTACATAGGAGTGATTAGAGAGATGCAGACCTTGCCAGTTGTAGTGAATAGTCATCCCAAGTACTGATGTGATATGCAGTATACGCACTTAAATCCCAAGTGCGGAGAAGTAGTACATAGTCAAGGTTCGAATTCTCTTACCTAAAGACATAGGCAGATATTTGAGTTATCAATCTATAGATACCATGTGACAGCTGGATGGCTTAGTCAACTTATCGCATCCATTGATGAAGACCTAAGCACATAGAGTTCCATTCAGAAGCCCTTCTGATGTATGTAATACTACCACGGTCATTGGGCCTTGTAGTACCAAGCTCATAGCCTAAAGTCCTGGAGACCCAGAAGTGCAACAAAACTCTCGAAGACTAGAATGGTTAACCACTTAGGGATTGTCCGAATCAAAATGACGTGACAAAAATGACACTATAGAATGGACAATACCACACAAGCCACTGTATGAACAGGGCCATGTACTTCGCAAAGATTTTTGTGAGACTGGTTTCAGATTCATGGATGCTCTCTTCCTAACAAAGTTCTGAGCTCGGATGGAATGATTAATAATCGGTATGCTAAGACCACTGAGAAAAAGCTTTTGCGAGCATCGCTGCATCCCCTCGAGAGTGATTTACCCCGCATTGCCCACTTTAGCCAGATTATTGAGCTCCATCCTACATCAATCGTGCTGTGCCACTCGTTTGGTATTACTATAGCACATCATACAGTATAGAAATCAGAATCCGAAAGACTGCTTACGGAATAAATGTCGAGCTTGAAGTTGGCAAATAATATCAAGCAAACACAGCCTCTTTCCAAAGTGTACGAAATCTGAACCTGCTGTGTGTAGTTTTTGGAGGCCTACCTCGCATCAAAATTCGTACGGGTGGTATCAGAGTATGAGTATTTGCACACAAACAACATGTTCGAGAACCCTTGTGTGTTATGTAACTCACCTAGGGAAACAAGAAAGATATATCAGATATGTTGCCATAATATCACTTGATGCTGTACCGCTCCTTTCCTTGTCTTCCCGGTCATCAAGTGCCAATCATGGAGTTTCCTATGTAATATTCACGACATCGTTCAAACGCGCATTGTGGTGTTGTACTTGGCTTGCTGCTAGCTGAAACATGTAAAAGCGGAGCCGGAAGCAAGTCCAAACTTCGGGCTCCTTAGTCAGTAACAAGATGCGATCATATAAACTTGCATCAACCCTATGATATCAATGAATAGGATGGACAACGAAATGATGATTTTGATGAGGTTGATGCTTGCTTGACATTAGCATTACGCGAACACTGAAAGTAATCTTCAAATAATCAATTTATGGAAAAAGACCTGATTACATAACGAGTCTCATGACTTTCCTCAAGATCACGTTTCTTTTCTGTTCTGATGTTAAAACTTTTTATTCTTCAATTTGTTGCACATCTGAAAATATTGAGCGTGGTTTTCACGTTTTTGCCATGATATTGTCATCCATGTCTCCGTAGCCAATCCACAAAATTCATTCGTTCCAGCTTTTCTATTCGTTCTCGGGATAGTCGGATATCCACCTTAATTCAGCTCTCGGACGTTCAAGCTATTGGACACCACCAAGGTCAATTATGATGTGCAACAAAAGGTACGATGTGCAACATGTGTTAAAATCTGGATTTGTAGAGGAAGTAAGTGAATATGATTGGGTGATTGGTTAACGAGGTGAAAGATTTCAAAGATGGGGCTGAAGGGCGAAGGCACGGCGAGGGCAAAGGGCGAAGGCAGGGCGAAAGGGCAAAGTAAAAGGGCACATTGAAGATTAGAGGTGCAACAAATGTTTTGATAAAACTGGATTTGAGGTCGGAGCTTTAAAGCCCTATATACCACCCAATCATAGCTGATATAGATCTGCAAGCCCATGGTCCTCCTCCAATCACATTCATTGGCGTGATGTCTAGAGGTGGTGTTGCATATCTATACGTAAGATACATGATCTGATTGTATGTCAACAGATCTTTGTAATCGGATTGGACAATAAGATTACTCAACAATTTGTTCAAAAGGGCATTTAAGGGCGTTCAACATGAGACTGGAGGCCCTTTTCTTTCGCCCTTTTTACGATGTGCAACAAATTATGCAGAGTGAAGATCTTGATGATTACTACATTATGATTGGCTAATAGATGATTCTACTTCTACATGTGATGCTTATTTTCTGAACCAATCAAAAACATTAAAAGACTTTTGAAGCTCTTGAAGTTTCTCTTGATTCCATAGTCCTAATACGATAGTCATTACGATGCAAGCCTCCATACACCTATAATGACTTCTTTACAAGTGCTCTATAGTCAGGCCTTCTCAGTCATCTTATTTGCTACGAAGAAAGCTTGGAGAGATACAGAGCTATCATAAGGAGATAGACTGCTCGGAAGAAAAAGAAAGGGGGCAAATTCGACTACCTTAGTGAATATTGTGATAAATTGAACTTAAATTGAACCATCGAGTCTATTCAGCGTTTCTTCAAACAAATTAGCATTTGATTTATCATTTCTATGAATCAAGGAAGAACGATTGTTTTGTCAATGGACTTCGTAAGCAGTCGATGGCGACCTTTCCTTCCATATTCATCATCTGAGGAGAGAATTATCGGGTGAGATTTATTTGAGCACTGTGGATACAACAAAGGATTTATGGGTAGATAATATGGAACTTAGTGGAGAAGCTATGTACAAGAGGAGAGATGCAATTTTCTCTCCAAGAGATTGATGGGTGTTGGAGTTGCGTCAATTGGAGCAAAGGGGGGGAGGGGGAGGGGCAGACTACCGATGAGACTTTTTGATCGGTTATAACAAGCGGGGTAGAGGTGAGGATTGTAGGATTATTTGAGGGTAAATGGATATGATAAGCTTCGTGTGTAGTTTCATAGGGCTTATCCTGAGAGAATTCGACCTTCAAAAAGACGGAATATCCAAATACCATCCATCTACTACCTAGATGTCTACTCAAGAGCTAAATCCTCCTTCCCTTGAGGAAAAGCTCACAAAATTCAAAAAGTCATGGCAAACCATCGGACAAATCGGTCGTTAGTCTCCGCATCTTACTGTTCTCATGCGCAAAACATCATGCAACCACAAAACGAAGGGGGTCTTTCAAAATCCAAAAATATGATATCTACCATCGGATTCAAACCGATCTTACTATGCGTAAACTCCCTACACAGGACTCGAACCTGTAGCCTCAAGATTAGGAGTCTTGCACGCTACCATTGCGCCAGCAGGGATATCATGTGATGTTAGTGGCCAGTCTTTGAATTAATTTATAAAGGAGATGTTGAGGCTGTGCCAGAAGCGAATATCTTTTAGGTGGGGTTTGCCGCCATGGAAAAACTGAAAAACAATTCGAACATTGAGTATTGTAGTCTGAAATTCCGTATGAGAGTAGAGTTTTAGTAAGGGATTTGTTTACGAAAGTTAAATTTCGTAAAAATATTTGTGTTGAGGTTCAAAACCTGAGCATTAATAAATGTCAGATTCTTGGTACGACCACCACTGTCTGTCACAAAGCTAAATTGTAGGCGAGTTGGCGCCCGTATCATTCTAGAGCCTTTGTATTTAGGAGTTGGGATACGGATACAGAGGCCTTTTGTGAACTCCACCCCTTTCAAGTCCCTATGTAATTACTCTTACACTCGTATGCGTTACTATAGAACCTATAATTTAGCAATTTGATTATGTCTACGGCGTGGTAAAGAGATTCTGTACTATATAGAAACTTTCTGTAAAAAGCTTAACACAATGGTTTCTCACAGGCTCTAAAATGTATAAGACATTACCCTTACCCCATACCACAACTTTCCGTCAAAACCTTAGCACAATGATTTTCTCTCAGGGTCTCGAACACGCTGACTATTACTGACTACTCAAGAGCAAAAGGAAAATTCTTCACGCACAAGTTTAAATTGAGCACAGTAGAAAGATCATTATGATATGTGAACCTCTCTATAGGAATCGAACCAATATCTCCGGAATCAGAATCCGACGTGCTGACCATTACACCAAGTGAGGAATGTAAGAGATTATTATTGTGGGCGGCTCGAGATATTTAAAAATATATTCAGATTGAACTCTGTCTTCGATGGCGGTGGAGTTGGTGGAGAATAGTATCGTGAATCTTTTTGTCACGCAAGCGAAGTATTGGTCGAAACCCCTTTTTCCCCACTTGCCTGAAAGAGAAGAATGTTATGGCGCACGGTCCCTTGTTAGCACGTGATCGTCTCCAATAGCCACAATCATCACCAGAGAGAGTATCTCCAATTGTCCGTAGTGCAGTCCAACAATAACAATACAAGGGTTTGAATATCTGAAAGAAGTTGGAAATTTGAAAATAGTTCAATGTTCCAATCAAGTTCAATAACCCAGATGATTTGAATGTTCTAATTGGTTTGGGAATCTAGTAATTCTCATTGTTGGACTGCAATCCGGACTATTAGATACCCTAATCATCACTAATAAACCACTCTTTAAGTTATAAGTCTGATTTCCTTTGTTCAAAAGAACGTTCCGTACTCAAAGCCACACACATTTAGAACCACACTAAATATGATAGAACATCCGCTACACCCTCAACTTCCCTCATAACTTCTCAACCTCATCCTATATCTTTCCACAGAATCAATATTATTCCAACTCGAGATCTCAGCAAAATTCTTTATTTCAACTTTTGCAATATTATCCTCTTGAGCTATATATACTATCAAACCCAATATAACTTTATAAAACTATTTATTTGTATAAACTTGTATAAAAGTATTCTTTATTACAAGCTTATATATTCAACTATTTCGAGTTTAATCAATTCAATAAATTTGTATGAGTATCTAGCCCTTCTGGGAATTGAAGAAACCAATTCCTGATATAATCTCATCGAAATAATCATATTGAATATTTAGATTATATATTAATAGTTTTATTAATATTATTATAATATATGATTCTTTATTACCTGAAATAAATCTAATAAGTAACTTTTGTTGATCTACTTTACTAAAATTAAAATAATACAATTTATAAGAGTAATTAGCTGTCTTTAAGTATTATTAATTAGTATTAGCATTTCTTCTATCTTCTTTTATATCCCCCTCTTTTAAAAGTTTTTTATCATTTCAATAAAAAATTATAGTAGAAAAATCCATTCACATAATAATGTTTCTTTTCATCATAGAAACTATATTTGCAATTAAGAATACAATCCATTTCACTATCAGCGATTCCTTGCATATCACAACGAACAGTTCGGCTTCGGCGTGAGACAATTCTTCAATTGAATTTGTGCTACTCCATCCATGCTTGGTACTGATTTCCATGGTTTGAAGTATGCTTGCTTTATCTTATACCATTTCTTTGGTTTCGAAGGATTTGGAAACAAATGGTTGGCAGATGCATTTTCCATTTTTCGCACTATGAGAATGTTGATTCGTTTTTTTCTTCGCTTTTTTGTATTGATGCGTGTTATTCGTAGTAAGTAGGTATTTACATCTGCGAATATCCTTCAAACAGTCTGCCAAGTAATACACACCTTTCCAATTTATTCACAGCGGCAGAAAAGGATTCTTCAAGAAATGAAATTGAAGTGCTCCGAACTCTTATGCGTGAATATGAAGAAGAGAAAGGTAATAAGTAGATCGATTGAAATCTTGCGATATGGTTCTAGAAATCATCATATCATCTACTTGTCGACCATTTCAAAAGATTCTATCAACCACTTAGGTCCTTCATTACGATTAGCCGACAAGTCGTCCTAGCAAGACTGAACGAAAATTCTGAACGATTCACTTTAAGTCATAGAATTTCTACAAGTATCTTTCGCTTTCTAACTCGGAAAGTGGGAAAGTGAACATTCATTAAACCTGCTATCCCAAACTACCTCTGTACTATACTTTCCATATCTCTCGATTCTCAACCACTCTCCCATCCGACATTCCAAATCTCCTCAACCCCAAGCTCAGAGCAACTTGCATTTCGAAGCACCAGCAATCCAAAAAAAAAATGAAAGCTAAATACCGTTTATTCCTAAGGAGATATCCAATTTTTTCTACAAATTTATAATACTTCGGAAATGTTATTATTATTATTTAATTACTTGCTTTGAATTGTAAGATTGATAATCTGGATTATTTTGTTTTTATACATGGAATCAGTTGCGACGACTATACAATGAAGGCTGAGAAAAAAGGGGTTACAGAGATTGAACCTTCTTATAATTAGTTACTGGCTAAAGAAAGTTAATAAATCTTTGCCAAAGCAATACTCATGGGTGATTATTGACAAAATTGTATTCGAGTATATAGATACGCATCTAATCGAAGCATAGAATAAGCTTAAAGGGTTCATCAAGGAAGTTTGCAAATTGGCGGAGCTCTATCGTTTACAGTCACACTTGTGCCCAGACTTATTGTTCACAGAAAATTCCACAAATAGCGGTTAATTTTTATATATAATATACGGATATATATGAAGCATGCTGTGACGGATAAAGACAGCTTAATAGGTATTCAGAAAAGATTATAATGTATTCTTAATGCTTATTATACCGATACTTATAAAGGAAAAGATTTATGAGATTAGCCTAAATAATATTATAATAGAAGTTTTTGTAATTGATAAATACAATATTTTCGAAACCCTATTTCAAAAACTAATTCTATAAAACCAATCTATTCTGAATAGGCAGGCGAACAGATCAACTTTCTCTGAGGCAGTAAGATATCTCAATATCAAGAATATCTGGAGACCTTGACAACTCACTAGGGATATTACCAATACTCATTCTCGAAGTCTTCGGGGCATTCAAGTTTGTGGGATTGTATAGGCCAAGACTAAACTTATGCGAAATTATAATGCTGTTCTTGATTATCGAATAAGTCTAAATAAGATTGTGTAAGCACTTATAGTAATCCAAGCTAAACCATAGCAGATAATCCAGAAGTAACAAAAAAGTGAACACCCAAAGTTTCCTAAATTATAGTGCCAGCGACTGTTTTAATCTTCTAGTATAACGAAATTACAAAGTTCTTCATGTGTTTCACTGTCAAGCTATACGGTCCCAGATCTGAGAAAACCACGAAGAACAATCACTATTCCACCACGGCAGTGTAGACCACACCGAATATGCTCTTCCTCGAATCCATCGAAGATATCAAGATCGGTCGACGACGCACCACTACGAGTTCTCAATACCATTAACCAGCTTCAACATCATTAATAGAAGACACTCCCTGAAGGCAAAATAGGAGTGGATAAATACGAATAAGGAGGATTCGTTGAGCTGAGATTACATATTTGAAACATTGATGGAATATACATTATAGATAAAGCGAGTGTGGTTAAGCAGTGACAACAAACCAGTTCAAAGATCAGTCCATCGGTGCGGACTTCCATCTCCCCATGACTACCACACTCTGCGAGTTGAAATACATTCGAGGGTGCACGCGGATGCATAGCTTTGACTAGCACGGATCAACAGGTTTTGGCTCGATCAAAACCGGTGTTTGAATTCCTTCGATCTTCCTGAAGAATCAAGACGACGAGTTATCAATCCTACAGAGGACGTACAGGGATGGCGTACGGGGAACATGTTGTGAAGGAAAGGACTCGGTCAAATGTGCTCGGGAAATCGGGAAGCTGTTGGAACAAATCTTCCATAGGATTGTCTACAATATGGTTATGTGAGGTATATGCTGGTGAGGGGATTGATAGGAAGAGTTATCTGAGCTGAGGGTAGATTTGATAGAAGTATTAGAGAAGATGGTATTTTCTTCCTACACCAAGTTGAAGTGATGCAATGTAATTTGAGATTTTTAGTTGTTGTGAGAGTATATTTGTGATTGATGAAGTATTTTTGTAATCTTCTCGTGTAGACAACAAAATTGGGGAAGCTTCAGGAAAGGAGTAAAGACTAAATCGATAGCTGAAACCATACTCAAGACTATTCCATGCAGTGATTTTAGAGATAAACTGAAGATATCGTTCCCATTAAAAGGTAATGGAAGAAAATGAGTGAAAAGTAAACCACATCATCGAAAAGGCGGCTTCGTCGAGATCATTTCAGGCCTGTGGTGCCACGTCTTCTACTCGTGAACTAAACAGCTATTTTGTCAGTGAAGCACAACTCCACCCCTGCCATAAGCACCAGAAATTGCATTGGATCTAGACATATTGGATCATTAGGCGACAATCGGGAAATGATGTATACGATACCATAGATGTATACGATACCATAGATGTATACGATACCATAGATGTACACAGGCTGCGCTATTTTGGAATGTTAACTTCCTCACAGACTTTGAGACATTGATTATCTTGGAGTACTTGCTCCAGGGTTTACATTCTCGAGCCTTGCCCAAAGGATGAAACTTTGAAAAAAAAAAAACAAGTCAATCTGCGTATTATCCTATGATATATATTTGCCTACACACCTTTATAATCATATAAACAATAAAATATCCAAACATCCTTCTTTTCTACTAATGCCAAATCCCGAAATCCATACACCAATCCAATCATAAATCATAATCAATCATCTCTCGTATAGGCAGAGCACTGTCTCCACTTCTCACCATATCTCATAACCAACCAAGGCACAGGCGCTACCACTAAACACACACCTGAAACAATCATAAATCCCCATCCATATCCCAACTGATCAGTCAATGGACCAACCACCAACGGTAAGAATGTACTCATCAAACATCTCGCAATGAGTACCGCCGTCAAAGCACTTGCCGAATACAATCCAAATGCATCCACCACATAAGCCATCAAAGGAACCATACCCGTTAAGATAGCGAAACCCTGGAGACCGACTAGAAAGAGAAGTAATGCAACGGGCCAACCTTTCGCGGCGGTCCATCCAAAGAGCGCGACGGAGATGGGAAGAATGCAACCGCTGATTATGGTGAGAGGCATGCGAAATTCTGGATGTGATTGATTGTTATTTTTGGTTCGGAGATAGATGTAAATGCGATCTATAAGCATATTACAAAGGAAGACGGCAAAGGTTGATCCAACGCCTAATTATGTTAGTTAGATGCATGAAATTCGCTGTAAGGGATAGCTTAATACATACTAAAAGCGATGAAAGAAGAACCAATTGTCGTGGGAGCAAATCCATAGACATTTTTCAGAACCTCCGGTAAAGTTGTCGACATGATGTAATAGAACGTAAACACAATTGCACCATAAAGGGACAAAATTTGCAGCACGAAAGATCCCCCAAATACTGCTGCGGGTCTTTTGATAGCCTTCCATATAGCAAGCGCTGTATGTTCACACTCTTCTTCCACCACAACTTTGAGTGCCAGACCATCCTCATTCTTCTGCTTCTTTAACCTTGCAATTCTTCGTTGTAAGATACGAATTTTATACGTTTCCCGAAAGAGAAGAATAAAACAAAGCTCGCAAACACCAGCCATACCCGCCGCAAACCAGAGAACATTTCTCCATCCGATCGACTGAGCAATTGCTCCAGTAATAGCAGGTCCGATAGCACCACCCAAAAGTGGTGCAAGCATGAGAGTTGCCATAGCTGAACCTCTTTGGTCAGGTGGTAACATATCGCCGATAACAGCCGGATTTAGAACATTCGAAGCCACCGCACAACCCGTCATGAATCTCGACAGAATGAATAAATGCGACGTTTGACTACATGCAGCCACGACGGTCCAGATAATGAACAAAACATTTGCCACGTTGAAGACCGCCGCTCGACCGTACACTTCGGAAAGTGGGGCAATGAGTAACGGACCAGCTGCTTCTCCGAGTTCCCATATCGTAACCAGAAGAACGGATGCAGATTTTGATTCTTGATTCTCGAGATCGAGGATAATTTGTCGAGCGATGGGAACGACACCGATACAGGTGAATGTTCTGATGGATTGTTAGATATTGAATTTTGGTTGAAGGTGGGATGCGTACGTACACTGTGAAAGCCATAAAAGCTAAAAGCAAAATCACTCCATTGTGATAAGCTTTTGGCCACTCTAATGGATTTTCCGGGTCTCCATTAGGATTGAAATCGACTCTATGATCGAAAGATTCATCATTTGGAACATTGACATCCGGTATGTATGGAAATTGCCCAGCTGCGGTGGTAGGCGGTGGTACCGGTGCGAGCAATGGCTGGGTCTCGTCCATCAGTCGGTGTAGGATTGTATATGAATGAAATGAACAAGAAATAGTTCGTAGGTATGCCTAAAAGATTGAAACTCTAGTAACCTCTCTCTCCTACTTATATACTCCAAGATTTCGATAGAAATATTTTAATCTACAATTCAATACCGGTATGTCGTCCCGAAAAGCGAAAGGCGTGCTGACAGCGAATAATCATTAGCAATCTGACCGCTTATCAAATTTCTCCATACATTTTCCCTCGAAAGGCGTCGACTTGCCAAATTAGTCGATGGAGAGTGGGACTATTGGTGGATCCAGCCACTCATTCTCTAGCCACAATTATATAAAACTACGGGACTGATTGCTCTTCTCTCACATCTATTTACACATCGTCAGTCTGAAGTATCAAATAACTTCATGAATATTATTTTCGTGAAGGACTCTCAATATACTCCTATCAATTTCCATCGCCCTTCAATGATCAACCGGGATAAGTCTTGTCGAGGATTACAACTGTGTCTAGTCTTCGTTTTCTAGAGAACCTAGAGGGGTTACAAATAAACCTCGAATCGACCTGAAAATACCTCATTAAGCTTCGTCTTCAACCACAGTACTCGGTATAGTATCAACTGTTCAAACACCGAATTCTTGCTTGTTGTCAACCGCGGCAGCAGAGCCATAAGCTTTATCGTATCTCGATAAGGTAGGTGTACACAGCAGATTATCAGATGTCAATGCGTTGTATTACAGGATGATAACCCGAAGGATCATAAATATACACAGCGGTATCACTAGTGTGTACTTGCTAGTGATAGATATCAAGAGTTCATGCGACCAAAAGAAGGGTCACATACATTATTTACCAGCATCTTCCCTCCGCATTTATCGTACATGCTTTCCTTCTACTCCAGGTCGTCTCGCCTTGCACAAGTAAGCGTATACGGCGGGTATGGATATCGTATCTATGTGGGTCTAAGTGGATCGACCATTCCAAATGGGTGGATTCAGGAACGTTTCCAACAGTTAATAATAAGAAAGTTTCTTTAAAGATTTTATAGATTAGGAGTCATATTGTTGACTCGCGAGTAGACGTATAGATCATGTGAGCGAAGGTATGGGAGACTGAAGTTTCTAGCGTCTATGATTAACCCTCTCGGTTGATGACTGAATAAACATGATAATTTCTTAAGCGTAAGCACTGCTTAACAGAGAAGCAGAAGTTTAAATGTCTGTTACTGAAACTATCATTTTGGGACAAGTGTAAAAGTCCAAACCACAAACAAAGTCCTGCCCTGCTGGCGATAATTCTCTCCCGACATGGATGCACGGCGTTAAGAAATTGTATGGTGCCAAAAAATTCCCTCAACTGTTCTACTACAACTTTCCATCCACAATCTACATCATAAATGATCAACACCATGCAAAAAAAAAGATGCCATCATCCCATAAAATGGAACCATCAAAAGCAGTTGCAAAAGAATCGCCTCACGAGGGGCTCGAACCCTCAACCTTGGGCTTAAAAGGCCCACGCGCTAACCAATTGTGCCAGCGAGGCGTTGTCATGTGACGTTACTGTTTGTTCATATCAAGACGACTTTAAATGAAAATATATACAAACCACAATATTTTGTCCACGTTCGCACTCCCGTAATGAAAAGATACGAGCTTGTCGCTTACCATTCATTATGCATTCGAACAGGATACAAATGATTGATTCTGTCTAGTTTATTTTCTATATTATACCTCCAAATACGTATATAGTATATATTCTTTACATTCATTCCTGATTTCTACCTCCAACTTCCAACAAACATCCTATTCCAGAAATCAGACCGCTCGCATATCGGATTACAATTCAAAAACCATTTGGTAGTTTGTACATGTCTTCCTTCCCCTACCCATAACCTTGAATCCACAACACGAGTCATTATTACTGGTATATCGAAATCTACTCCTGATGTATTCATGTATGTAAGTGAGGCGCCGAGATAACAATTATGGTAAGTCGTATATATATGGATTAGATAGTATTTATCTGAATCATATCCAGAATGACCAATTCCAGCTACTTACTTACTCACCTACCAGCAAGTAAGCAAGCATCTCAAAAAACCAGAAAACCAGAAACCCAAACAAATACACCAAGACTGAGTTACGATGACTTGAGATTCCCAGAATAAATATCCAGTTCCAGCTACTGTGGCTTCGGTGTCGTTCTGACTCGTCAGCAACTTTTTGCCCGGTAAGTATATCATACCTTCTTTAACCTTAATGAAAATGGATAATTGGGAGATCCGATCCTTGAATTGGGATCTCTCTCCTTTGTTTCTTGGTTTCTCAGACTGAATGATTATATTATTGGGTAAGCCTTTCTAGGCTCCAGGCATCTCTCTTGAATCACTTGCTATCTCTCCTTCTATATCGTCTATATCCTAGGTCGAATCTTCATCCACTTCGAGGTATCTCACTATATCGATCAACCGTTCTCCCAATAGTGTCAGGTTCATCGCATTGTCGGCCTGGTCGATAATTTTATGATTATCCTCTCTTCCAACTCGAGCCTCTTTTCAAGAGTACTTATTGATTCCTTGTATTCTTCAATCTTACTTTTCTTGAACAATTCGATATATCTTTGTATTACTTATTGAAAGACAAATTTCTTCTCCCATTGCACTTCGTTAAGACTAATGTGCAATCTTACCCTTTCATTGTTGTTAATATCAAAGCTATCAATCACTCTTCTAGCTTATAAGTATTAACATCATACCCATCATTACACACAGCAAATTCCTTAAAGCTAAATTAACTTTAATTTAGCTTTAAGTATTTTTTATTGTATGATTTTGTGTATATAAAGCGACTTACAAATCTGTATACTCCCGAGATACTGCTATACAAACTGCATCGGTCTTACAACCTAATCGGACAAAGTCTTTCATTTCGCTTTTAGTAAAGGAATTATATCTTTATTGTTTTGTTTTTGCTTTTCAATAATAACATTTATTTGTTTTATTCGATCGAAGAGCTTGCGAATTTCTTTGTAGTCGTTTTTTTTTTGATTCCCAATTTTACGGATGTAATGTTTTTGTCGGCTATGCCGACATTGTTGTATGTATATATACTAGCTATACCCAGCATGCGTTGCTAGTTCCCATACTTCTTTAGTCCCCTCGAGCTGTCTTGTCTCAACAATAGCAATCCTCGGGAAAAAATAAATAATTGAAGCATTGGAAAAAGCCCAGTGTCGACAGCATCACTTTTTGTTGATTGTCGTCGATCGAAGAGAAGAAGCTTGGAAGACCCATTCTTGGAAAGGTTGTCAGTTAATTCACCATTGGTTGTTTGTAATAAGATCGAGGTTGTTTGAATCCAGAAAATTTAATTCAATTTTGGTAAAATAAAAAGTCTTGTTTGTCTGTAGAGGTGGAAGAAACGAATGAGGAAGGAAGGAGGGGCTGAAGAGCGGCAATCTCGACCCCACCATATATGCTAATGGGAGCTCGGACCCAAAACGATAAGCGCACAGGCGCACCGCGTACTTTTTTTATATACGGCAAAATGTAAACCTCCAAAGCTGGCTTGTCTGAGGTCTATCTAAACGTCCAAAATGAAAACCGCAAAACGAATGTGAGAATGTGATAACTGAGGGATTCGAACCCTCGCTCTTTCGAACCAGTAAGATATGAATCAGGTCAGCCTGAAACTGGCGCCATAACCACTCGGCCAAGTTACCCTTTCGTCGTTGTAGCTGTCGCGCTGTTTTGGTGTATATATTGCAGTATTCTAATGACTGAAATCGTGGATACAACCTTTGATGTTTGAATGACTTTTCGGATCTAAAATTTTGGGACATCTTCCTTCTCAGAAAACACATGGGTATTCATCTCTAGCTGGCATTTCATTCTCCATACAAAAATCTGTTTTCAATAATCGCAAGAATAATCCTGATCGTAAATCTATATCTGAAGGCTAGAAAAGAAATTCGCCCTTGGTTTGGAAAACACAATACCCTCTCAAAGTTTGCTCACCACTGCCACATCTAAACCACTACAATATAACCTTGCGTCCATACATTTTATCAAGATACCGATAACCCATACAAAATCAAGTAAACTCACAGAAACACCAACAATAATACCACAAATCAACAGACCCAATAATTGCTGACTGTATTTCCCAAATAATAACTTGGAATAACATCTTGGCGACCAGCTAGCTGTCAGCCAACATCCCAATTCAAATCCTCTCTATTCTCATGAACTCTCATTCCATCTCATACCTTCAATCCCACCATCCGATCCAAGCAATTCTCCATCGTAATTATCTAAATAAACCTCCCTCAAAAATGCCCTGGCCATTCTCTCCCAAATATCCCGCTTCTATCCTCTAATATCTATTCCCCCTCCTCAGGCACCAAATCCTGGTTTTGTTCTCCAATGAAACATTGCAATGATCGAGAATCTCTAGTCTTCCGAGCCGAAGTGCTAGGTGGGGGCAGTAGAGTTAACAACGAAGTGTATACCCGAGGGACAAAAGGAGATTATGAGGAATGGAAAGAGATGGGATGTGAAGGATGGGGATGGAAAGATGTAGAGCCTTATTTTCGGAAAATGGAGAAAGTTGTAGGAGAAGATGTCAAGAACGCGGAAGAGCGAGGAAGGGGAACGCGGGGGCAATGGGTTATGAAATCTTTTGGGTATGAGGAATGGGGTTGGAGATGTTTGAGTGTGAGAAGCGTATTGTTTCGTCTCGGGGATTATTTTGCTAACTGTATCATGATAGGTTTACTGATACAGCTGATAAAATGTGATTCTCTCGAATTCCAGATACTAATGTGGAAGATGCATCGGTTGATGGATTAGCAATGATATACAATACAGTGACCAAAGACCGAAAACGAAATTCCACTTTCCATTCTTTTCTTTCGAAAGAAATTGCTCTTGAGCGAGAAAAGAATTTGACGATATGTACCAACACCACTGTGCATCGAATTGAATTTTCAGACGACGATGGAAACCCTCGTGCTAGTAAAGTTATCTTTGGTAGCGCTGAGCCAACATCTGCAAAGGCTTTTGAAGCTAAGGTAAAGAAAGAAGTAATCATTTGCTCTGGTGGGCTAGGTTCGCCGCAAGTCCTGATGTTGAGGTAAGCTAGGATTTTCAACTCTGAAACTTAAGTAGTGGATTCTGCTCTAACATTGATATTTTTAGCGGCATTGGTCCTCGTCAACATCCCGAAGAACACAGTATCAAAGTCATCCATGACCTACCGGGAGTCGGTTCCAATTTCATATGTACTCTTAACCTCACCAGGACAAATATCTTTACTAACCATGACCCTCAGACCGATCATCCAAGTATTCCCGTTGCATGGGAAATCCCAATTTCAGAATCCATTATCCAAGTCGCCGTATCCCCATCAAAGTCATTCTCGAATTCGGCAAATATCTTCTCTTTGGAACCGGTATCATGAGTTTTCCATCTCAAACACTTAGTTTCTTCATCCGATCTCGATCACTCAATGAAGATGCCACCGGACCACACATCAAAGACTCATCATCCCCAAATATCGAACCTACTCCCACAGAAACAACCCCTCTTCATCTCTCAAACCGCCAAAATCTAGTACCTGATATCGAATTGATACCACTCGCCGTGAGCGCCATGGATGACATGAAAGAACATCAATCCACTTTTTCCAAAATGGAAATCTTTCGTATCCTCGCTGTAATCTGCAATCCCCTATCTCGCAGCAGCGTGCGACTTACCTCTTCATCCCCGCATTCCTTTCCCGCCGTCGATTTCGGCATCCTTTCTAATCCAAGCGATATGATCCTCGCCCGACGCGCCGTCCATCTCGCCCTAGCCTTCGGCAAAACCATGGTCTCTTCCGGGTTTCCTCTCCTCCGTCCCGTAACCTTCTCATCCGCGTCTCAAGATCTCGATGTCGAGAATGAAAATCATGAAAAAATGGATAAATTCATACGTCACAGAGTACGAAATACGCTCCACTATTCATCGACATGTCGCATGGGTTCTGAAACCGATGAAAATGCTCCTGGGGGGGTTAGATAACGAATTACGTGTCCATGGGGTGAAAGGTGTGAGGATTGCAGACGCGAATGTTTTTCCTAAGATTGTGAGTCATCATACTATGGCTCCTGCGGCAATGGTTGCGACAAGATGTGCCGGTTTCGTTGTGGATGCGCAGAATAATAGTTAAGATCGAGTGGGGAGATTTTATTCCTGCAAAGGATCAACGATCTGGTCTTGAGAATCAAGTGTATCACGATTTAGATGTGTTTCAAGAGGATTTTTAGATGTAATATGAGGTCATTTTCAATATATCAGATCGCAATTATGCACCTGCGACAAGCGCATTCCTGACAAAGTTCGATCGTGGCTGTGAGGTTCGATGGTGGTGGTAGCTCGATGACATCTTGCGTCCTGGATCTTTTATCTCTGAGTCATCATCATCGCTGAATCATCGATGATCGTTCAAAAGAATCTTCCGACTCAGTAGGCGCAGTTGTATCCACATTACAAGTACATATATCCACTAACTCTGCAGTGCTTGAAAAAGAAGCTCCACACAGCCATCTCGGCTCATAGACTCAAAGAGGTGATGAACTACGCTGACATAAGAACAACTGATATCGGGAGGCAACCGTAGATATCGTTCCGTGAGGCTCAATTAGTCTAGATAGCTGATGTTCTCCATCAAAGCCCTACAGCCATGGCACTCAACAAGATCAACGCCGCGCCCCGAGCTTCGGATAGTTCCGATTTCTATCAATATCGTCAATCTCAACAGGTCAACCAAAAGAAAGCAACGGCGGGACCGCACCACCCAGTCTAGCCCACCCATCATCAATGCCCTATCTCACTGTCTTCAAATTCATGACCCCCGCGTTCCAGAACCATTACCATCAAATGTAGGACAAAGATAGGCTATTTCTAACAGAATTTCATCATTCCTTACCAGCTTCTGCCTATAATACGCAGCCTATCTTTTCGGTGAGCCGGTACACAGCAAGTCCCTTCAACCTAGTTACACCGAGTTCACGCTACTTCCCTTCCCAATATCCACATCATAAGGCGAGATAGATAGGCGTTGGAAATGCTAGGATGAAGGATGAAGCGGAGACGCAAACACACTCTCCGTATGCATGGAGGGTACGATACTAAGAGTGCTGGACGAACTGGTGTGGGTGGAGATACTACTCTTCCATTTCCATCTTCCAATGAACTTCTTCCACCTCAGAATCCCAAGGGGCGACTATCCAGAGTATACTGTACTCATCCAAATCCATTCAACCCAGCTGAAGATCCCACACTCGTAGCACCATCCGCCGAACCCGCAACTCGGGTCCGATAAGCCCCTTTGAAAAACTATTTTCCGGGCCGATGAACAAATCACAAGTATTCAATTCGTACGATCGGTACGATTCTCAAAAAACTTAATTCGGATCGAAAAAGTATTATGGGAGCAGAGTATAAATGTTCCGTTGAAGAATTTGGTGCGCGGGATGTTGGGGGTGTTCGCCGGGGAAGTTTGGTTGGGGGTGCCGGGTGATGGATGAAATAAAGCACGGATTCTCAAGCGAGGACTAAGGTGCACGTGAATGGTTGCGCTCCCCCCGAGTGTTTGAATCATGGCAGGTGATTCACCTCAATTGCTCAAAACGCCTTCAGAATCTAAATTACCGATCCAATTTGATATTGACGTTAAGTAACAATAAAAACACATGCATAGCATAAAAGGTGATACCAAGTCCCAATAACAATATTTTGCCACCCCCAGATTCGCATTCGAAAGAAAGGACATATGAAAATACTACCCGACAAGCGAATTAAATCCCAACTCATCATCTGGCCGACGCCTCTTCCTGTCTAGATCTCATCTCATGATATCCCACGCTTTTGCTCTCGGATCCCTCGCTTTCATTCTTAGCCTTATCATCAGATACCTAGTCCGCATCCGCATATGCAACTGCAAAAATACCTACCCCTATCCTTTCCCCTAACACATCCCCAACCGATCACTCATTGCCTATCAAAAACACTCAAATCATACTCAAGGCAAGCATCCGATAGACCATCCTCCTATCATCTCATCAACCACGCCCCGCAATCTCTCACGAGGTTGACTCGGGTCCGGCATTCTGCAGCTTTGTTTCCACCACCCAATCTCTTCTTGGCTCTTCTCACTCATTGGTCTTTGACTTCAAAGTGGCAAGTAAGCCCAGTCTTTCCGACAGGCACCATTGTATCACTTGTCTCAATTCCCTTACCCCGCATTCAATAGCGCTGACTGCAGCTGATATGTATGTACGTGGATTGTGTGTTTGGGTGTTTGTACTGGTGAATGGGGGTCACCAGTTGTAATAGTAACCGGCAACGACACCGTGGCTGGATTTCAAACATAAAAAAAAATTAAAGAGATAAAAAAAAGTCAATGTTCGAAGTCAACCGCACATGAATTTATTGCATTGAAGAGGTAGATATATGTGAAAATTATGTATTTGTAAAGATTTTAAAAGCAAAATTCCACAACGCCTAGCTGAGGATATACTTCATAATAAGTTATACAGAGATAAGAAAATCGTAATACATATAACAATTGAGAAAGAGACTCAAACCCAAAGTTTACGGAATAAAGTCAGGCGGTGACATTTGTTTCCAAGGCCAGTGAATCTCGCGCATAACATCAAAAGAACAACCCATTCTTCCTGAATCCTCCCAAGCACCTCTTCTTGCCTGTTTACCCTCGTCTCCTGCTGGCCAAATTTGTTTTGCTTTGCCCCATAACCTTACACCTGATTGACCATCCACCCAACGATCAATGTCGTATTTAAAGAAGAAGAAATGATCGAGCATAGGTAGACGTGGTGCTGGTTGTTGAACAAACATATCTTCTTTCTCTTCGCCTTCGAGATAAGATAGTCTACCATCAACTGACAGAGTACCAAACCATGCCTCACTTAATTCTTGAAGAACTTCTCCAGGAGATCCAGTAGACACCTTCAGCATTCTTTGAGGGAAGCCATTGCCATTAGGAAGTGCGCAGCCTGTGTTGATATCCAATTCCTTCTTGACGTGAGACAGGTAGCCATCCTTGCCGCCCGCTTCTTCCAACGCTTTGATGTTTGATCGGACCAAGTTATGCCAATGATCATTTGATCCGCCTCTAAGTCTCCAGTAGAGTAGTCTTGCGAAACCACTATGTCCATATCCATCGTAATTACCCCATGGGTCTTCCCCGAGACTCATATGTAGCTTTATTCTCTTTAGGTTTGGCCATCGCGCTAGATCCTTCAATTGATATTCGAATGGAACGAGCGAAGGACTGTCTTCAGATAATTCAGACTTCCTACGGAAAGCTGAACGACCTAATATATCTATCTTGAGTTCGACCGAGGTAGCCATTGAGGCTATCGAACCTGGCAGTCTGCCTAGTATGGGGTGATCGATATATGTTCGAGGAAGAATGCCATCGAGGATGAGTGAGTTCTGCTCCCAGAAGACAACTTTAGCTTCATGGTAAATTTGGCGGCAGGTTCGTAAAAAGGAAAGGCGTATGGTTTCGCCGTGAGATTTGGAGCGGATAGTATATGGGGGCTTTCCAGCTGCTGAATATTCTTCTTGAGGATAATCGGGGTCATTGACCACGCTTTCGGATAGATATACACTTCTGGAGTGGGATGATAGAACGTATCCATATATTTGATCACGAATCTCTCTTGGGAGAGTATCTAAAAATGTGCGAGCCATTGTGATGTTGATTCGCCAAGGTGAGGGAGGGATGATGAGTTATTTGTATTAAAAGACAATATGTAATGGTGTAACCGAAAGTATTAGAGATATAAATGTGAAGATGTTTTTTTGATCTTCTTTGTGTGTAGCGGTGTAAGTATGTAAAGTGTACAAAATGAAGTGGTATGAGGATTCAAAGGTTTGGTGATACAGGATACTTATATAGTAGTGGTCCAAGTGTTGTTAGATGCTGTCGGAGAGTGTTGTTAGATCGACAGATATGCTTGCATGACCCTCTGGGATTCAAGGATCTCTAGAAGGTAAGGTTGTCAAGGGTATGGTGGGATTCCCGGATAAAGCCTTGTCTGTGGAAGAAGCAAATCGTTGGTAAATGTCAAAATAATGTGGTGCCAGGGGGAAAGCTCGCTCACATCATTCTATGTCAGCCCACCGTACAAGGTTCTTCAAATCGGAATAGAGTCTTTTCTTTTCTGAATGTAGGGTCCACTAGGTTCTTGGAAAAATGTGAGTAGGGTCCTCTAACTTTCTGCAAAGACAACTCTTTTTATACAAGAACATCTTGGAGTAGACAAGTGTTACGTCTCGGCGATGCCCAACAGTTGGATGAAAACTTCGGAGATGTAACGATCAAATTCTCGTGGGGCTCAGACTCGTTAGAGTGAAATAGATTAAAGAGGAAATTCAATGGTAATTCTTTTTGGCATCTCAATACTAAATATAGATTAGTGACATGTTCTACCCCGAATTCCAAGGCGATTAGATGAACTTACAATCGTAATGACTTGAATATACGCCGATATGTCTTTCCCATGAAAACATATCGGCTTTTAATGGAGGAGTACATAGCACCCAGGTAGCTTTTCTAATTTTCCTCCATATTCCTTGTAATATTCCCCAGATTTCTCCCACCGCTCCTCAAGAATGTACTTTGATGATTAGAAATCATTCATGTATCTATCATTCATGTGGCACAATATCGTCACCTGCACTCATTCAATCGCCCCCTTCTCTACCACTGGGACTACGTGATCGGCTTCTTGCTCTACCTTTGGCAGGTGCCCGACCTCCTCTACCCTTTCCTCCTGGTGGCGGTCTAACAAATGCAAAGTCCACCTCGACAGTCTGTTCCAGCAACTTGGTATTGTGCGCACCATCAATAGCGGCCCTTGCCTCGTCCAATGTTGGGTATTCGATCAATGCGTAACCCTAGTTGCAGACATTTTGTGTTAGCTGTCCGAAATTGTCTTATAAATCCCCAAGGCGATAATGCTAAATTAATCGAAAAGCTTCCATGCAAAAGACGTAATTGTATAAGCTCACCTTAACGTATCCAGTTCTTCTATCAAGGTTCAAATGAAGATTCTTGATCTCTCCAAAGTCTGCGAATTTGTCATTCAAGTCCTCCTCACTAGCTTCTTCATGTACATTGGTGACGATGATGATCCAGCCTTCAATAGATCGTACCGCTGTCGCATTTGAATGAGTTATCATCGAGGCATTCTTGGTGTCATTTCGTTGCTCTTGTGGTGATGAAGGCGCATCGACATCCATTTCGGTATCGGCCATGATGACGGTGTCTTGGAAGGGGGTGCGGGTTATTGTCGAGGAAAAGTGCGACGTCGAGAGATTGTGGTAAGGTTGAGGGGTTGAGGGTTGAGGGGTGATGGTTTGTAGGTTAAGGTTGTTTTGTTTGGAAATTAAAGTTCGCGAGATCCGATTCCTCAACGCTATCATATCAGTAATGCCTATCATTGTTTGCTTGATAATTCATCACCTCACCACCCACTGCAAATATTGAACAATTGAATACATCACGACGGCAACTTAATTAAAATCAAAAGTTATTTACTCAATTAAAAGCTGCACACACTCAAAATAAAATAATGTCTATTGCTGTATATGAATCTGAATTTTCTCTCTTCTTTTCTTTCTCTAACCTTGTTGTTGTTTCCGTTCGAGAATGCCATCTCGACCGAAGTCGACTCGATATTGATTGAAGGCACGAATTTACCTCATTATCTTGTAGATATTCATCATAACCAATGTGCTTGCTGTCGCCTCACCAGGCGGACTTCCATCGAACCTTGGAATATCACGTCAGGGACATGGATCCGACAGCAATGTCGGGCATTGTTTAGAACTAGTTCGTCGCGTTGTTACATTTCAATGCAGCCTCCGACGACCTCAAAAGTTTGGGAGTTTTCCGGGGGAACGAATAGTATTCTAGGTTTACTGCTATCCTCATTCAACATGCGGTGGCATCCTCATCGTTCTCCTATCTCCTCTCACAAAATCCACGAAGTCGTCACGAGACGATGGACCGTGTGATGCATCACTCCGGACCTCCTGCAGCCATCAATCAACCCCCGACACATGCCGACAGAATCCTGACGTGAAGCGACAGTTCTGCCCCAAGAAAAAAAGAAAAGACACAAACACACAGTGCCTAGTACCTCCTGCGTGCTAGTCCAAGTTCAGTTCTGTCCACCTTCATCGAAAGCATGAAACACAACAATCTGAGCCACCTGAAGAGACTCAATCAGAGAAAAATGTGCGTCGAGACAAAAGACCAGCCATGACGTGGAAATGGGACAACATTTCGAATGCTTTCACGCCCGCATCAAAATGAATGTGGTGCCAACACTCAGTACCTATTTCGGCGTTAAAACTTTGATATCACGGCGTTAAGCACTCCACCAGTCCGCTATTATCTGCGGGGCTGCGCACACCGTACTCTCCACTCAGAATCACTGCGCAAATGCCAGCCACGAACTTACTAATAAAAGCACTCCTTTCAAATCATTTCAAGTCTTGGAACCAAAAGAAATGGCAAAATGATACTCACGACATGTGCAGGATTTGAACCTACGAGGCCGAAACCATAAGATAACCGAATTATTCATTCAAGTCTTACCCATTAACCACTCTGGCAACATGCCGAACTGAATCTCTTGTGCTTCCGTTCAATCATATATAATCTACATGAACATATATCAGACTACATCAGGGGTGAAATGCTGAGGCCTGGAAAGAATAATCAGGCTGGCAAACGGATGAGCATGATTTTCGTTGGGGGGGGGGGGGGGGGGGGGGGGTTAGGCACTTCAATGAGCAAATGAGGCTATCATCCATGCAATCACGAGCCAACATATCTCCTTACACAATTTATATGTCACAAAGGGCACTGGATAGTGCATGGTGATGCAGTGTGCGTAGGAGTCTCTAAATCTACGAAATGGCTCTTGAGCTCGCCGATCTCGATACCCGATTGGTCTGAAAGCGCATGAATTTATGTATAATGCCTACTCACTGCAATGCACTTACCATACCCTCAACCATTCTGTCTATTTAGGAATTTTTAAGACCACTTAAGCAGAATCCAAACCCCCAGACACGGCTTCATTTGTCTGGATGAGCATGTACCACTCCCCATGGCTTCACTAAACTCACCTTTATCTCCGGCTCCTCTGCAGAATACCTCACCAATGCACCCGAAAGAACATACGCAATAGGCCAGCCGTTTAACTCGGCATGCTTCTTGCAATTTTCCTTATGCACTTCATATTCTACATCCATCTCACCATCTTTAACAATGTCTCCCAGTGCAGGCATCTCGCATCGGTATACATCTTTGTAGTTTCTCAGCTTCATGGTGAGCTTCAAAGCCACCATACAAAGTCCCTGCCAGCGAGCCATGAGCTGATCCGTTCTCTCTTGAAGATATTTGCCCAAAGGGTTCAATAGTCGCATCAATTCTTCAGCGACGTGTTTGCAGAGGTCTGGTGGATGACTCGGGCTGACTGGTTTGAGAAATTTAGCACATTCCATTGTAGCGGTCCTCCATGCGGCGAGTTCGGCGTGCCGATCTAGAAGTGTCAGTACCAAAAGGTGTATGTTCAAATAGAAGGTGAGTGGTAAGTGCAAAATACCTGGGTGATTTTGCTTGAATATAGCCTCAAAATTGCCCAGCCCCTGCTCAATACCCAAACTCTCGTCCATATCCTCAAGTCCGAAAAGTTCTTTAAACAATAGAAACTCATCCAGTTGACCGAACACGAAAGCCCTCACCCCAATCTCTCGTTCAAATCGATCTAAACTAGGACTGAAAAGATTGTAAAGATGGGTTTCGGCATTTTGTAAGGTCGAATCTCCAGGTACTGGATAGGCCTTTTCCATGCTATAAAAGCTACAGATGATGCGATGGACTTCTTCGCGCAGCCATTTGAATTTCTGGCTTACGTCTAATTCGTTTATTTCCATTGGAACATTCGACTCTTGAATGATTTTTCGAAACGTCCTCGATTGTTGCTTATAATGTTTGGTCTCCTCCTGAGAAGTTTCAAGCTTCTGTCTTAAGATTACAAAAGCAGACTCCGAACGGGTTTGGCTTTCAAGCTCTCTGAGTTCGTCACCTAGGGTGAGATTCTCCCTCTCTTGTGTTTCGAAGTTTTCGAACAGTTCTTGAAACTTTTGATCCTGAAGTTCCTTGTCCATAACCACTGTGTTGTAGCTGTGCTCAAGCATGCGAAGATCGTCATTGCGTGTTTGAAGCAGGTTGTTCCTGTTGTCTAAATCTTTGAAAGCATTCTTAACAGCCGCCTCGGATTTTTTTTTCTGGTGGAAGCAGATGCTGATGTCATGCTGTAGCTTCTCGCACTTGATGTTCAATTCGTTGTTCTCGCGAGTGACATCTTCAAGCTGTAGCGAGGAGGCCCGGCTCTGGTTTCTTGCTTGCTCTCCTTTTTGGGTCGCATTGTGGACTTCCTGTGTCGAAAGGTTATGCTCAGTAGCAAGCTTAGCAAGGTCGTTGGGCTTGTGAAAGGGGCCAGTCTTTCCTGCTGCCTTCCTTGGCTACAACTATTAGTCTTGGACTGGGGCAGTGGCTAAATCGTCTACTTACGATAAATCTATCATACAATTGGCGGAAACAACAAGGCCGCCTCCTAGCCCCATCATATTCTGTGGCTTCTTTGGGTTGTCTTCCGACGTGCAACTGTTGATTGCCAACAGGAAGTGGAGATTCAATATTTTCCAGCATCTTGTTTGTATTTAGAGTTTCTGATTGACTAGCCGTGGTTCTGTGACTGCTGGGGTTTGTCGTTCGTGCTGAAAACATGCTCCTGTCAATGCAATATGAATCTGAGTTTTGTAGAACTAGTTTTGTAAAACTACTTGTAAGCTAAGTACACAGCGCAGAACCCCGACAGAGTATCATAACTCGCAGTTCTATCTCTCAATATTATGCGCAGAAACGAGGAAGAAGGCGAGACTATGTTTCTAGATGTTTCATCGAATTTCTTGGCAATTGTAAATTCTGCTGGAAGCCGCACCACTTCAGCCAGCGCCCGCACACGGAGTGAGTTGCGAAACAGAAACTTCATGATCAAAGGATTGATGTGATTTCGAAGTTTGGAAGATTCGATTATCTTCGTCGCTGAACTAACTTTAGTAAGTTCCAGACTGTACTGAAACGCGAACAAAAATCATCTTGGACACGATATTCATAAACAGAGGCTCCATCACAGCATGAAATGATTTATATTCATAAAAAGCAGTAGACTGCTTATCTTCAAATCAAAATCTTACGGCCACAATTTTCCTTGCAACACTTATCGCCATGGACGACAGAATTAAGCAAGATAAGCCAGCTGGTGGGGTTATTCCACACCCTAGCGACCAATTAACTTTTGAATCGGAAGATCAAATCGTCATTGCAATGGACTTCGGCACAACTTTTACTGGCGTTGCGTATGCATTTCTTAATGATGAGAACCCTCGGGTTGTAGGGGTAGATATCTGGCCAGGTAAGGCTTCTAATGCAGTGCTGTTTTTGAAAGTTCTAACCACACGCAAAGGGCTCACTGAGAGACAACCAAAGATCCCCACAATCCTAAGCTACAATGAAAGTGGTGCAATGGTTACCTGGGGAGCTCAGGCCCAGCATGGTCGCATGATACGCGGGATCAAGCTACTACTTGACCCTACACAGGCAATGCCATCCTATGTTCCGGCATGGATTTTGAAGCGCAACCTCGAGCGCTTGGGCAGGCCATCCGTTGACGTAGCCGCTGATTTCATTCGAGCCATTTACGAATACGTTATGGGAATAGTAATGGATCGTTGGCCTTTCGAATACATCCAGGGGTGTAGAAAACATTTTGTTCTTTCCGTCCCCGCTGTTTGGTCGGATAAGGCAAAAGACTTGACTTTGCAGGCATGTATCTCTTTTGGTCATGCAATGCTAGGCTGACTGATATTCCACATATAGGCAGCTCGGAAGGCTAGTTTTTATCCAGTGACTCTCGTCAAAGAGCCTGAAGCGGCTGCGTTGTATGCACTAACAGAATTCAAAGAGAGGGGGCTAGCTGTATGGTCACCGTCTTTTTTGTTGAGACCCGACTAAAAACTCTTTTAGAATGGTGACGCATTCGTGATTTGCGATGCTGGTGGTGGCACTGTGGATCTCATATCATATGAAATCGTTCAATTAGACCCTAGGTTGGAGTTGAAAGAGCTCGTGCCTGGTGCAGGTAAGTTCCGTTCTTGGCTAGCTGAAGTATTGTGCTGAATGATTTCAAGGCTTCATGGCAGGTTCGTTGAATCTGAACAACAGGTTCGAGGAAAAGGTCAAAGAACTAGTGGGGGAAGCTCAGTTCAATGATCCAGAGAATTCTAGTGGTTTTAGGGCTGCCTTGAAGCAATTCGATACTTCCGTCAAACTAGGTTTTCTTGGTATTGGTGACGAAGTAAACCATTTGCACTTCCTCGGTGCAAAGCTCAAAGATGACCAACAGAAGGGGCTTGAAAATGCGTGCTGGACTATAAAGAGGTAAGCCTTTTCTTTAACTAGCACATCTGAATCGAGCTGATACATTGCCAGTGCTGAGTTGAAAGACATATTCGACCCTATAATTGCAGACATCAAGACCAAAGTCCACGAGCAGGTGCAGGAGGTCAAGAAGAAGAGACTGTCGGAGAATCATCCCAAGGCGGATAAAGTCAAGGTAACAAATATCTCTAATCTCATCGTTTCTTGGAACGTAAAATAACCGTTCGTAGGCAATTTTACTTGTAGGAGGTTTTTGTTCTTCGAATTACCTCAAATCTCAACTTGTTCAAGATCATCCAGCTATCCAAGTTATCCAGCCGCATGGTGCTTGGTCCGCAATTGTCAAGTTAGTTCTCTGACTACAAAAAAGAAAGCTGCTAATTTAATACAAGGGGTGCTGTTCTCACGCGCCTTCCTCAGAAGGTCATGGTAGTCTCAACACAGGCGACACGACACTATGGCGTCTCAGCCCATCATACCTATGATTATGTAGAAGATATTGGTTATCCCAAATTTTTGAATGCGTACGGAAAGTGGAAGACATCCCGTGTAAGGCACAATACCTTCTCGATTTGATTGACTACTCACAAAACTAGATGACTTGGTACATACAGCGCGGAGAAGATCTCCAACGACCACAAAAGATACACTTTTCATTTTATCGAGTTCTCCATAGCTTGTCGGATGAGACTCTTATGTTTAAGGAAAACCTTCACCATTGCGAATTAGTCAGTGCGCCTGTCCGCCCCGATCCGACGGTCGCGATAAATTGTAGCCTGCAAGTCGATCTGAGGGGCGTAGATCGGACGACAATCAGGAAGAGAATCGATAGGTTTGGGGACCAGTGCTGGGATGTCTATTTCGATTTGGTCGTGACAGTTGACTCTGCCATCATGATGTTTTCGCTTGAGTACAACGGCGAGGAAATGGGTAGTGTTAAGGCCAAGTACGATTGAATATGATGTCGGAGGATACTCAATGAGGCTTTGATTCGGGGGTTTCGCCTAGTGGTGTTGTAATTTTGGAGGAATGAATTGATGAAAACGAAGACTACGCGTGATACTTGCTTTGCCATTTATTTGGAGGTCTCAACAGACAGTTTGTACATGGGCTTATGAAACGCTCCTCAACTTTACAAAAGGCATAATTAATCCAAATTTCATTTGGAGCTCTTGAGAACTATTTACGGATCGTTTGATTTATGATGCACAAACATTCAAGATGCTTGAAGTGATACTCAAAGTGTGAGATTGAACTGAGATTTTCATTGTTCTCCAAGTCCATGCCCCCACTATTGTTTGATGCATCTGACCTTGGCATACAATTCGAAAGATTAAAGTGAAGGCCGGGCCACCAATTGGGGACTAATTTCTTCGAGCAGTGTGTGGTGGATAATCTTATACCATGACTTTTAGCTTGCCATATTATACCTCTATTCACTATCATTACAGTTGAGGACAATCTCATACGTACCAAATAATATTTTTCTTCCTTGAAAATTCATGAATTTTGTCCCAAAACATAGTTTTGATAACTCAAAGAAAGAATTATATTTTAATGAAGAAAAAACATCATTTAGTATGAGAGAGTTTGCCTTCGGTTAGGTACATACAACATTGGATAATTGATGCGATGGATGTCGATTGAACGAACATCGTATGTACAAAGATCTCTGAAAGACTCGATACTTACAAGATCCGACACTGAAAACTGAAAACGGAAAAGAGTAAGTATTGTGATAAGGGAATGGTTGGCATGATATCAAGACTGACAAAGAGAATAGTCTCTAGTTCTTTGATAATGAATGATATGGAGGTCCCTCTCATAAATGCAAAATTAGCGAAAGTAGTCAGACTACAACGCTTGTGTCCCCAAAGTCTGCACCGTGAGCTCAAGAAAGACATAATTTAACCAATCTCCAGAAGGTGCACTTACAGTATTCAAAATGGATCCCGAAATTCCAGCGCCCAAAGACAGCCAAGATGTTCAAGGTGGAGGATCTGTTCAACAAGCTGTAGAACTGGTGGGTAAGATGCTCGAGCAGATTCAAATCGAGCTTGAGAAAATGCTATCCCCGGGTGGTGAAATCCCAGTAAGTTCGATCCCAGTCATGGATGACTTGCTTTGAAGCCTTTGAATTATGGTTTCGACATTGCATTTTCTTTTCCATTACTAACGAACATCATTCTGCAGCCCGAAGCAGATGCTCTCGAAAATGAAAAGGATGAGTCCCAAAAACGATACAAAAACCTTGAAAGCAATTATCAGAAGATATCAGAGGAGCTCAAAGCTTTCGGCCGCCAAATGGCTAGTGCACCCGTCAAAAGCGGCCAAGTTCAAGCAGAATTGAAATTCGCTCAAGCCCAAAAAGATGTCGAAAAATTGAAAGCCGAGGTTGAGTACCTTCAAGCTCAGTGTAATAACTATCAAGCACAAGCTCATCAGCATCCTCAAAACGTGCAAAAATTAGAGACTCAAATTGAGGAACTCAAGAATAAGAATATAGAACTGCAAAGAAGGAATGTCGAAAGGCGGGACCAGGATCCTGACGTATGGCGTCGATGGGTCTACAGATACCAAGCGGCCGAGGAGCCTGGGCCAATGCACCTGTGGGGACCAGAATATCTCAAAATGATAGATTCGGTGCGAAGCCTCGTCATCGCAAACCTGGATATGGAACAAGAGCCGAAGATGGAGCTTATTAGCCAACAGAAACCAAGAGACAGAATGCTGAGAAGGGCTTTCGATATGAAACCAGACTCGTTTGAACGAACCCACCGCCTTGGAAGGGCTATCTTTCAATTTTTGAGCGACGAGATACTTTTTCAGCCACTATTCGGTCTTGATGATGAAAACGAGGGTGTAAAGATGGAAGCTGGACTTGTAGCTTTTGAAAAGAAGATCCGGGACGCTTCTGCAGGTGATGAACATATAGTGTCAAATGTAAAACTGGTCCTTGCTAATGAGTTTGCAGGTGATACTTACAAAAATTTAGACTGCCATAATTGGAAAAAAATGACCTACAGGTGTGCAAAAAAATTTCGAAAGAGAGATTCAGAGACGAGGATAGGTGCTTTTGCGTCAGCTTTGGAAGACTTCTTAAAACCTTTGCCGAAAAAAGAACATGGAGGAGGTATCGAGGAAAGACTATTAAAAATTTGCAGAATGGCCTTCGCGTTGAGTCAGACTCTGAGAGCGGAGCCACTGGAAGAGTTTAAGGTTTCTTTTTCAGAACCCGGGATTCCAATAGTATTCCACAAAAAGCATGAAGATAACACAATGGAGATATGGGGTCAGGAAGGAGGATATCCCGCAGATGAAGCTGGAACTGTTGCATACACTTATTTCGGCGGATTGTTTTTTAAGGATATTCACAAACAGGAGTGGTCTCCACTTGTATCAGCGAAGGTAATTAGTAAAGGGGAAGATATAAGCTGGTGACTTCTCTTCACCCTCGTGTGTATTTGGACTATTCAAAACAGAATAATAGCACAAGATGGAATTTGCACGTTCTTATTGCATTGATTTTGCAAGGTAGCTTACATATCTACTTCGCGAGCTTTATAAAACCTAATCGAGAAGATCATCCGTCATTACTTTTTAACAAGATCTGACAAGGTTGGATTCCTACCACGCACATTTTCTTTCGTGGCAATGCCAATATGAATTCAATTGACTGCTCTCTTAGTCTATTATCGTTTTGCTCTATTGTGATCGCCATAATGCAACAAGACAATGTCAAGAGAGGCTAGCTAGCGAAGAGTGAGACTCAATGGGATCGAGAACAGATCGGGATGAATTCGCGACGACCTATCTAAACACCTTGGGTGTTATACGGCTCACTAACCTTGAAGTTGATACTCGCGTGCAGCAACTTCATTAAGATCATTTGAAGTAGTCTCGTACGCATGAAAAAAAACCTGGCGGATAGCCCAAAAAGCAAATATCTGGAGACATCGTGGAAGAAGATGTACAGATTATTGAGCACAAGATAAAGAAATCTTTCTTTTCGGTCGGAACTCGTCTCATTATTTCATTATAAATGCTAACGTTAATCATTATTATCTCAAGTAAAATAAATCAAAATTATGATCCAGATACCCCACATTCAACACGTGATCTCACACCACTTCACTGTCTACAATTCTTGGTGAGTGGTTGTAGCAATCTTCTCCTCGTTGTTCAACTTGATATCTTCAAGGCTCTCGGCATTAGCAAGACCAAGTCTCTCGTTGATACTTTGCATTCTTGCCTTATCTGCAGCCGCAATACTGTCAATGCTACCGCCGAAGTACACATCGAGTTCCTCCAATGTCTTGTCCTTGGTTTCAGGGAAGAATTTCCAGATGAAGAAACCACCTCCGGCACTAAATACAGCAAAGAAAATGTATGTACCGTATTTCATGGAATCGAGCATGTCTTTCGTGGTCAAGCCGATGATAAAGTTGAACATCCAGTTGGTAGATGCGACGAGGGAGACACCACGGGATCTAACACTGGCTGGAAAGATCTCTTGAGCAAGAACCCAAGTAACAGGTCCCCAAGAGTAGGCGAAGTTGACCGCGAATAACCAAATGAACACAATGGCGACCCATCCTTGTGTAACAGCAAGGCCTTCATTGAGATTCCATTGGTCTTCGTAGACACCTTCGATGGCAGCGACAACGATGTGGCAGATACACATACCGATGGCACCGGCAATAAGGAAAGTCTTGCGACCGAATTTATCAAGATACAAGACAGCTGGTAAAGTGAACAGGACTTGCAAGATACCAGTGACTCCAGTGGCGAGAAGAGTGGTGGTAGTGCTGGAGAAACCAAAACTTGCGAAAATTTGAGGGGCATAGTACAAGACGGCGTTAATACCAGTGAATTGTTGGAACACCATCATACCACAACCCAAGAAGATTCTCTTGAATACATGAGGAACGAATAATGCTTTCCATGGGGCCATCATTCCACCAGCGCCAATTTGCTCCGCTTGGGTTTCCTCGTCGAACATGACAGCGGCCTTGATTTCGAGAAACTCGGCTCGTAACAATGGATCATTGGCGTCAAGACGTCTGAGTTTGCAGAGAGATGCAATAGCCTCTTCTTCACGATGCTTCAACATCAACCATCTAGGAGAGAATGGGAAAAAGAACATTCCAATGAAAAGGGTCCATGCTGGAATCAATTGCAACGCCAATGGGACTCTCCAGGAAATTTGGGTTTGACCAGTACAAGGGTGTCCGTGGTTTACAGCAGCATTATAGGTGCCATCAGGGAGATATGGGTCTGCGATGCCCTCTGGCTTACACTTGTTTCCTCCAGAGAAGGAGAATCCAAAGTCGAGCCAGAAAGCAATGGTAGTTCCGATGGTAATGGAAAGTTGTTGAAGTGACACCAAAGATCCTCTAAGTTCTGGAGGGGCAATTTCTGCTTGGTATAATGGAATAACCATGGAGAACATACCAATACCCACACCACCGATGATACGACCTGCGAAGAAGTATGATGGGTTCTGAGCGCCAGTTTGGAGACCGGTACCGAGTGTGAAAATGAGAACGGCAACCATCATACTGTATTTTCTTGAGATTTTATCTGCGAGGTATCCATTGAAAAGAGCACCGAACCAGGCACCAAGTTCAAGGGAAGCAACAAGCCATCCTTGAAGTGTCGACGAAGTCAGAGTTGGGAATTCGTTCTCGAAGTTTTCCATAACCAGGACTGGGGACATGACTCCTTGGTCGTAACCTGTTATTCGAATGTTAGCCAATGCTCGCTAGTCATAGGGACTGGAAATGCTTGTACTAACCATACATCATACAACCCAATGATGCGAATAAACATGTCAAGAACACATAAGGATTCTTAAGCATGCCCATGAGACCATGAGCTTTTGCTGCGTTCTGTCGAGCAACGAGCGACTGGCTCGGAGCCCCCTTTTCCGCCATGATGGCCATTGTCGTCAACGAAGAAATGAAACGAGAGCACAATTGGGTGAGGGAGATGAGGGGAGGCTGAGCCCGATGAAGATGAATGGAAGATAATCTGTGAAAAGAAGACAAAGACGAAGAGGACTTCATATATATACTCCGTATCTCTAACTTACTACTGATATTCAAGGGTAAAGCCTTTCCCGCGGGGATTCCCGATCAAGCTTAGACTCGAAAATGCTAAATAACAGATAAAATCAAGAGTAGTCTTTCCGCAAAAGATTCTCCCCACTTCAAAGTGGACGCTCTGGGAAGGTATGCCACGCGTTAATTCCCAACTCTTGGGTTATCGATGTATGGATAGAACCCATGGAGGATTCGGGGAAGCCTGGATGGCATACGACGATCCCCATTATTTCATTTTTTCTCAACTTGCTCCCCAGGATTCGTTGCCAGTAGCTCGGGTTGCCATTTGACAACAAGCAATCTGGAGCTTAAGACACTTTTGAATATCCTGATTCCTTGCATTCCCGTTAGACCAGAAGTTGTGTCCTCTCTCATTTATCCAATTTTAAACTGTTCTTCTATTTCTGAATTGGAAACTCGCGCGCGCCACCCCGAGGGACGATAAGTCTCAACCAGGATTTTACCACTACATCATGTGCCAAGGCTACGGAACAAAATAGATGCAAGGATTATAGTGCCATAATGCGATCAGTAGGGCTCCAAAACCTTGGCCTATCAACCGTCAGGCTGATTTTACAAGCCACCCGTCGACTGGGGCGCTGCTCGTCATGCGAATATCGTCAAGCTTTGCTTGGGTTCTTGGCCTTCAACGACATCAGATAAATAAGCGCGATCATCAATAAGTTTCTCGTTGATGTTCGAACACTTCCCTAGCTAATACCAACATGTCGGTAACGAACAAGGTAATGTTTACAACTCCGCCAAACTCCGCACTCATGACTTCTCCTCGACCGCCAGCAACGTTTCGCGGGCGGCGGGTAAGATAGACTCCATAGCTATTCGGCCCTTTCTCTCCAGATGGAGTGACTGTTCGACCCCGAGGTTCGTCGGGGTGGGGAAACCCCAACATGACTTTGAGCGTCAAGAAACTGAATCTCTATTTCGTATACGGTAAGAATATCCTAATGTGTGTTTGATAATTCTATTTTTTCCTAGTGCCAGTGGAGATACTGTGGTGGGGACATTTATAGAATGGAGACGAGTAGAGTTTCCAGAAAATGAAGGGGCTCACATCAGTTCCAACTCTATAAGTTTTCAAGAATCTTGTTAATTAGACGATTTCAATTCCCACAACAGACTGACCGCCCTACCAGCATCATAATATTAGATGCTGAATTCGTTACGAAGCAGATGATGAAAAATGAGCATAAAATTCTGAAATTGCTTCAATCAGCTTTTCTCGGTCCCGACAAACAGCGGGATTCTAAGATGGATATCTGAGCATCCTCACAGTTTGACAGCCATCCGAACTAATCAACGTCCATCATCACCCGATAACCACGCCCTATTGGAGGAGACAAGAGACATACCAGTACACATCACCAAAGCAATTACTATCCTTTTACCGAAACAATGTTTTTCCAAAAATCCTCTCTTCGTAAGCCAAACTCCTTGCTAAAGCGGACTCGAGTGTCGAAACGGTACTGAACAGTGTGAAAAGCCCCCATTTTCTGGGAATAAGAGCGATAACCGATGTTTAGCCGACTTTAAACCCTACTGAACCCCAAATTGGAGACCCCGTGTTTGTGCCGACACCCGCTCATCTTGGCTTACGAACCTCTCATAAATTCCAATGAATCGATAAACCAACCTCGATTTCCACAATTTGAGTCAATAAGCGCAATAGAAGGCCCGATAGGCTTTCGGATTAGACATCGTTGGAATCGCAACGCTGACAACTTTTCCATCTATGGTATCGGGCTTTAAATTGCTAAAGCGGGTACGCGTCAGCGTATGATACACCATCACGTGGAACTTTAACAATATCCACATTGACGAAGTTGCTGGATTCTGGAGTCTCCAGGTTAGATTTAGTGAGAATGAGGAGATGGAAGATGGAATTGCTGCCCCGCATGGAGATTAGTGACGCCAGTAGAGTAGGATGAGAGCTCATGCATAAGCTTGATGCACGAAGTGCACGATGGGAATTTCACAGTGGTTTTTGCTCGTATGGGAAATATTGATGCTGTCTTCTTCCCTGCGAATGTCAGAATCCGCCGGCTAGACGGCTCACATCAAAGTCCTTCTATTGCTAACGGGGAATCAGAAGTTGGATGACTTGACTCAGTTTTGATGCTTTGCGTGGCACATCTCATTGTTGAGAGTGGACAACTCAAATTATATTAGTGAAAACCATATGCTGTCAAAGTACTATCAACATTGATAAGCTTAGTGGCCTAATCGATATTATAGATTTGAACTCGCATATCAAGCGGCATGATAAGCCTCTCGCGGAAAGATTCCAGAGATACCTCTCAAAGTTTCGTGTGGATTTTACGAATAGCTTTTGAAGCATATAACAGAGGACTGATCTGCAGTTTGCGGAGGTGCGGGGAATCGGTCCTTTTCCAGATTTACTCCAGCATTTACAAATTGGGTAAGGCGAAAGTTGCCGTAGGCAAAGAGAACTGCACTTTCGTCAGCATCTCGTCTGCCAAATATGGTAACATTATTTATCTGAAATCTTTGCAAAAATGATGATGATAACTTTATATCGGTAGTATGCTCGGCCCGATTTTACGTCAGCTCAAGGGCGTGGGAAGACATCTACAGATACAGGGCTTGACCGGCGTCTATTCAAGTCAATGAATAATATCCATTGTATATTCTTTGCACTCGCTCATGTCCGTCCAACTTGGAGGCAATTCTAATAATTTTGCCCTGTTAACGAACCAATTAATTGCGTTTTAAGAAAGGGTAGTTGTTGCGCCTTCTGACTATTCGAGGTCGGGCCAAAATGCTCAATATATTCATTTATTAACATTGGAAAATAAGGGCATATCAATACCTCCTGATCCATGAGCCAGACCGTCTTTACAAGTGAGAGAGAATGAAACCCTATGCTATTCCAACTGCTGACACATCCTACTACAGCCGTCCACTACGATCATGTAGCGATTCAATCATTTCCTAGGTCTGAGGAGCAAACTTTGCTTTCCGGAGAATGATCAAATTCTAGACATGCAACAAAAGTTCATGATTCTGACCAAGGGATAAGACATTGTGCGTCCGGAGAAAGTTCAATCTCTAGATGTGCAACCAAACTTCGATTTTCACAGAGGTGATAAGATGGTTGCACCGCTCGTAGAAACATTGTATTCTGATATCCGGTGAAGTATTCTGATCCGTTTGCTATATCAAATTTAGCCTAGTGTTCACCGACCTGGCGTATAGAAATTGAAGGATTCGGGCGTTGTGCTTATGTGATGACGATATGGCAGGGGCGAGATACTACTTGTCTTTCTATATCATGAATAGGATTCTCGATACGACTATCATCTTGTTAGAAACTGGTCAATCATGGAGTTTGATCAAGATTACTCGAGACTTTTCGTAGTTTGAGTACTTTGTTGCATATCTAGATTTAGATCTTTCTCCGAAGGGCATAAGTTAAGAGTCTTGGCAGCATGACTTGTGAGGTGCTTCATCTGAAAATATGGCTCATGATATGGTAGAAAATTTTTTGGTCATTGTTCACAGCTTCGGTTGGTGCTTTTATATTTGAATGTGTCAAGTATTCACTCGAGCGAGTGCCTACGCCGCGTGATGGTCTTTACGGCCACTTCCAAAAAAAAATCCTCCAAGTATAGTACTTCAGGCACACTTAGATAAATGACGGTCTTACGCGTCGATTTTCGATTGGAATGGATTGATACGGGTCTCTAATTTCTTGAATAACATCATCGACCTGGAGAACAATGGAAGAGCATTGTGATTATTGAGGGTGATGCGTTCCGCAAGCTACATTGGCTGATAGTTCATTAAGGGAGGCTCGGAGTTTGATAACAGATTTCCTCGCGATTTAGCGTAATCTATGGTTGATATCGAGATGACTACCGGCAATGCATTATCATTACCATAAACGACAGTAGAAATTAACAAAATGGTACTAGGAAGTAGCCATCTATGTGACTTCAGACTTAAAGATAGAACTATAAATTGTGAGAAATTATGCTCCTTAGCAGTCTTGAAATTGGACAGAATTGAAACGGAGTGTCGCAAGTCTTTAAGTAACACATCTTTTTTCACCCACAATGACAATAAGCTGTTTGATATCCCAATCCGGCCTACCTCCCACCTCATCCAAGATTTATGTCCCCTGTTGTTCTTTTTCCAAGCCAAGCCCTTTCTCCTTTCAAACTCAAGTGTGCAAAAAGCTCGCGATAGGGATTAACGAACCTCTTCGCGTCCGTTTAGCTCCATCTTCAAGGGCCAGGAAAAGGTTTGTATGTCGCATCTCTTTCTTATCATCTTTCGACAATTTTCTCACCGCTAAGAATGGAGGATATGCTATAACTAAAGAATAAGTGATGAGATTTAGACATGGAGAATTATGATAACAATATACTATATGGAAATATTAATTAGTACGAGTTGAATTGACAATGAGATATCTGGATGAGAACAATTAATCTTCACAATAGCGATAGATTTTGATATGGTATCTCTGTTCGAGAGCTACACCATCTCTTAGATAATGAGTAACCTTCCCCCTAGGGATCTATGTTCAGTCCATTACAGCATGAACCTTTGAAGCTAAAATGCATGGAATCCAAGTCAATAAAAAAGAGTATCATCTGCTCAGCTCTGAAAATACGAGACTCAAAAGACGCATATCATTTCAGCACACGAAGTTCTCCAAGCATGCCACGTGTAATACAAACGCTCGGTTTTGCAAGCGTAACTAAGAAGCGGGCGAAAAGCTGCGCATAGTTGAATTACTTTCATTTCCATTTCCAATGATTGTTCTTTTGAAAATCAAAAACTTCTCGGGTTCTCGCGTAGGTAGTATCAAATCTGAAATACAAAAACGTTATTCTCAGTACACCAGATTTTCAAGACACTTCTGTGAGTTTCGACACTGGAATTTTTCCAGGAGATTCATGGGGTGTAGCTGCGTAGAATTTGGTTCATTGAATAACGGGATTTTAGGCATTGTAAGTGTCTGACGACCACTTATTCTCGCAAATTATAACCCAATTTGTGAGATTCTTGTTGTCTCAAAACTTAAATTTGGACTGATGATAAGAAAATGGGTGATGAATCTCCCTAGAGAGTGAATTAGGCAGCTTAAATCAGCTCTCGCATGTGAGATTTTTCATAGTAAGTAAGTTGAATTATGATAAAAGAAGACAGATAGATCAACAATAACGACACTCAAAAAGCATTCTTCGAATCGACAATGATTCCTCGCTGGTGATACATGCGGCAACAATTCCCCTCCCATTATGGTGGAATGATAGCAGGCAAAAATGAATACATAACAGATAATCACAAGTTTCATGAAAGAAATAAGTAGAGAGAGTCGATAACAGCGCATCGTCTATGCCGCGAGTTTGAAATCGTTCCATATTTTCTGTGGTTTGGACTGTAAGCTTTCGGTCCTGGAAGGGGAAATCTGCTCTCTTTTATACAGATTCAAAGTTCAAAAGAGCCCAACGGTCTTGTCTTAATCGACGTATATGTATTTATCATGTGCTCTCAACTGTACGTAGTTCTGTCTTTAACCTAATTACTCCCCGTCGCCTTCTATATCTATCACCCGCCTTTCAAACTCCCTCATGCTATTTTTATATTCAAAATACCTCTGTGTCTTCAAACCCTGATAATTGACTCGCTGAGTTAGCTAGACTCACTCCAATCCCGGGCGATACTTAATTCAAGAGACTCCGTATCTAATTTCTTGCTGTATTCTACACCCACGTACTTGGCAGTTTGAGAGCGTGGGAATCTAAGGGATAAAGGGGAGAAGACAAAAAGTCTTTAGATGAAATGTGATAATAGAAATTAAGTCAATGACAAATATATTGTTGAATTTTGACAATAAAACACAGCAAGAAGAATGGAATTAAAGAAGAGGTAACGGCGATGATGCAATATGAATTTGGAATGCCGCATACTCAGTTCTCTCACAAGTCGATATAGGATTCGCTCTAACTTTTGATAAAAATGAACTTCTGATCCGGTAGACTTGTAGACATGCATTTGTTTCCTGCCAAAAGCGAGCTAAAACTAGCACAACAGAAACGGTAATCAAACCTCCGAACCCTTCCCCTATCATCCAATTTCTCGTAAAATCTTTCAACCAACCCCAAAATTCAAGCATCCTCTCCCTAAACCAGAGTCCTAAGCCCTAAACCCTAAACCCTCCTAACCAGCCCCCTCAATCTCACATACCCAATCCAATCTCCACCCCCCGGACTCCTACACACACTTTCCAACACCTCACAAACCTCTCTCTCTGCTTCCTTCCTCTCTTCCCCCTCCCCAAGAACATCAAAAAACTGTTTCCCCATCAACTTCACCCAGCCTTCTATTCCCCCCTTATCTGTCGGCGTAGCCCTATATTCTCTTTCCAATTTCTCAATTTTCCATTCTCCCTCTCCTTCTCCTTCTTTATTCACATCTGAAGAAGAAGATGATGAAGAAGAAGCAAGCACACTCCTCATCCACACTTCGTCAGGGAAAAACCACGGATCTGCGTCTCTCGCCCTCTTTAACCCCCCTCACAGCGACGCCCAACAACGCTCAACAACGCGGTGCGCATCTCGGCTACATTACCCATACCTCCCATCTCGAAGACGAAAACTCCGTTGGGTTTGAGAAGTCTTTTGATTTCTGTGAAGAACTGTTTACGGGTGGCTTCGGGACGGAGAATCCAGTGGAGTGCAGCGTTGGAGAAGATCTTGGTGTATGTTTGAGATGGGAGGGTGGAGAGGTCTTGAGGAGACGATGCATCGAGGACTGGGTGGTGTCAGGGAAGTGTAAGTTTGGCGTGAGAATGCGAAGGTGTATAGATAGGAGAATGGAAATAAAAATGGAAGTAAAAATATATACCTTGAAATGTACAAATTCCCGAAATCTCTTCACCCTCTGTAGCAGCGGCCTTTTTGGCAGCAGCAATCATATCTTCCGAACTGTCAATTCCGTGGATACTTCCTGATCCTTTTGAAAGCGTGTGTGCGATTTGAACGGGGATGATTCCATCTTCATAGGCGAACAAAGTCAGTATATTAGTTCTCAATTTCCTCCGTTTCGTCTCGTTTCTCTTTCCTCACCTCCCTCTCACCAATCTCTCGAGTAAGATCATTGCCGGAAGAAAAAGTAGCCCGATTAAATACATCCACCTCACGCCCCAAAATTCCGCAAGAGAAAAAAGAAGAAGAAGAAGAAATCATAATAACTAACCACCACACCCAATATCCAACACCACATCATCATTCTGCACATCCAACCAACCCAAAACCTTTCCCGCAAGCTTTGGAACAAAGGAAGCGGAGTTTTGATAGGCCTTTTTTTCATACATGTTAGCTTGAATTTCCAATGTTCATTTTCCCCCAGGGATTTCTTTTTCTCCTTCGCCCATTTTCCACTCCAGTCTCCGTCACTTAGATTGCGAAGAAGACATGTACGTAGAAGGAAGATAATAGAGGAGAAACAATATCAAGAAAAAGTAGGACGAAAAGGAAGGGAGACGTAGAAGGATAAGAAGGGAAAATACCGAAGCAGACCAATGATCTTTTTGATTCTTAGCTGTTTCCATGATTACCGATTAAGGAAACAATATTCTAAACTTGAATTTCGAATTCAATATCGCAACTCTTGAGTTTAGTTCGTAACTGTGGTTGTAGCTACAGCTGTAGTCGTAGACGTCGTGGCGATTCGAAGACAGGCCTATTGGAAATGAATTGAAATTATCGATATCAAGAAATCTAGTAACGGTAAACAACAAGTAACAATCACTTAATAAGATCGAACTATCGAATTTTTGAATTTGGTGTAGGTATTTGACCTCTTATATACCATTAGCCCTCCCGTGAGATGACATTGAGTGTGAAGTTGAGGTTCAGATGTTCACCTCCGATGTCGGCGCGATGCGAGATAGGGGACAGAAGCGAACGTTCGAAACCCAATCCACCATTGCGTTTTCCCGCTTATTTTTATGATGTAAAACACGACAGCTGAGTTGACCCGGGGATGAACTTGATTTGGAAGAAATTCTCAATATATGACAGTGGCTCCGATCGCGCTTCAAGTTATCTATCCCTTTTGGGTCATATATACAGGCTACGACCATTCACAGCTTTCGAATCTCACACTCATGCCGACACACTAGTTTTAGAGGATATTTCAGATATTGATATGTTCTATCAACTAAATCTCACTACCGTGTCAAAAACATGCTCAATATTCAGTGACCTGCCTCCCAACTCCGGTTTCGCTCTTGAAAAACAATCATCATATGTAAGATTACCTTCTTAATCGATTTCCAAAAGTTCATATTTATCCTCATCCAATAAATCTTCAATCCTATGCATAATAGCGAGAACTTTTTCCTCTTCCAATCTTTGACCCACCACTTGTATCGCTACCGGAAGTCCATGCATAGCATTTGCGTCGTAATGTTTGTAAGCACCATATGCGACACCATTTAAAGATTTGAGCGAAAAATTGGATGGGAGTTGATCGAGTTCTTTATCGACATGAGTAATAGGCATGATACCTGCAGTATAGTCGAGCTGTTTTTGTTAGCTGGGAATTTCCAGGGGGTTATGCAATGAACTTACCAAGTTGAATAAGAAAGTATAACCACAACTGCTAACTGCATCTTTCATTCCGTCGTGAGGTACCGCTGGTGTGGCATTTGGTGGAGTAATCATGAAGTCGAGTTTCACTTCATCTTCCCACCAAGCATGGAATTTAGCCTTGTAAGCTTCTCTCTTAGCGACAAGTTTCCATTGCTCATAAGCAGATTTCTCATGCCATTCTTTGATTAATCCAGCCCATATATCATCTCTTCTAACATATTTGACCCAGGCCCAATACATCCACTTGAATGGACCTGGTAATGACATTAGAAAGCTCATTGCTTTTGCTCCTGGATCTTCCCATTCGCCAGTTCTGAAGAATGATTTGAATGTCTTGCAACCATCAGCGTTGAGAAGTTGTGAGCCAAGATAAAGTGCTTCGTATGGAGATGGGGGATTGACATCATAGACTTCATGGCCATCTTCTTCCAGTACAGCCACCACCTCATCCACGGCTCTCATACAAGCGGGACTTGGATCCACAACACCATCAGTTCTTAGTACACCAACTCTAAGCTTCTTCTTTTCGCTGAAATCCTCCCATGCGTCCTTTCTCCATGGAATAGGATGAACACTATGATCATACTTCCATGGTTGCATACCAATCATAGACTTTGTGAAATATGAGAGATCTTCCAAAGTTCTTGTCATGGGACTAAACACACTAGGTATACCTTCTTGACCTGGCATACTTGTGCACATACCATTCTTTGGCCATCTTCCAGTTGAGCATCTCAAACTATAGATTCCCGAGAAGTGAGCTGGAACTCTAACTGATCCAGCAACATCTGAACCAATTCCAATTCTTCCGCCACCAGCTGCTAATAGAGCAGATTCACCACCTGTAGAGCCACCTGGCGAGTATTTGTTATTATGAGGATTTGTGCATCGTCCCCAAAGATCGTTTGTTGATTCGAAACTTAGCAATGTAATAGGAAGATTTGTCTTGACATATGGAATGGCTCCAGCATCTTTCAATATTCTCACCATGGTTCCATCCTTCTCTACCTTGTTGCCAACATTGCTACTATATCCTACGGTTGTGTCGAAACCACCCACTACAATTGAATCCTTTAGACTTATAGGGATACCTGCTAATGGTCCCTTGAAATTAATACTTCCATCTGTAGTCCAACCTTCAGCAGCATCAATCATAACTTCCGTTACACAATTTGTTTTCTCATGAGCTTTGATTGCGGCTTTTCCGTATGCTCGTAGGATATCAATTGGATGAATAGCTTGGTTGTGAACATCTTTGACTAGTTCTTCAATTGGTTTCGATAGAACCTGTCTTTCTGGATTTGTAAATGCTCCATGATAACTTGTGAGGGATTTTATTCGTTGAGATCGTTCTGCTTGCTTGAATTGACTATATGGAAAGTTAGATATTGCTATGCTTGGCATTCCCCAGACTTCCTCTCTCGCACCAAGGTGATTTTGATAACGATAAGATATGAGAATGGGATGAACACTTACCAATCCCTCCTGTGTTGGAAATAGTCCAGTAAGAAAACCATTTTGAATGTGAACAAGTAGAAACTGCGCGAATTTGTGAGGGTATTTCCAATATCAAAGACAAGAATAGGAAGAGAAATCGACGAAGAATGTTGGCTTGTAGCTAGACGGGGGACTTTAAAGCCATTGATATCCGGCCTGGAACGGAAGGACCCCTCCCTCCAGATAAGCGGCTGTACATGCCTAATTTGGCCAATTAGCTAGGATAAAACGTATCAAATCAGAAAACAAGCATATTGCGGGGAAAAGTGGTGTAGTGTGGTGTGTCAAACAAAAATCAACCAAAATCTTCAAACAAATGATACCAGGAGAAGCTACTCGAGTACCTTGGCTATACGAGTAAACGTACTGCTATTAAGGCTATTAAGCGTCAACGCCATTTCCGGATCATCTGATTACTTTATACCCCTCTTTTTAGAATTCGTCCAACACTGCCACATAGCCATCTTTCTTATCAAGATGTCTACTCATTCAACTCCATATTCTTCCGTCTCGACACCGGCAACCCTAGTTCACGACGGTGCTATTCACGATTTCGAAGGTCTTCGTCACGAATACCAAACCCCACCGGCATCCATAATGTCCAACTCAGAACATCTACTCGTATGTACAGCATGCGGTACACAGTTTGATGCCGAAGAACGCTCGATTCTTACCAGATGTCGAATATGCGATGATCCACGACAATTTGTGCCACCTAGTGGTCAAGCATTCACTACACTTGCGGCTTTGAAAGCTGGGGGTCAATATAAGAATCAATGGAAACAATTTGATGACGATGATCGATTTTGGAATATATGGACTGAACCTAAATTTGCCATAGGACAACGAGCGGTTCTTATCAAGACACCGCTTGGGAATGTGCTGTGGGATTGTATAACTTACCTGGATGATGAGACTGTGGACTGGATTCATGGGTTGGGTGGATTAGCAGCCATTGTGATATCTCATCCGCATTATTATACTACACATTTGGATTGGGCAGAGACATTCGATTGCCCTGTCTATCTGAGTTGGGAGGATAAGAGCTGGTTGAACCGACTTGATAGAATGGGAAAAGCTAGAACATTTATTGAGGGAAAAGAAGAGGAGCTTGAGATACAAGGTGAGAAGACTGGTGTTAAGATGTTGAAGCTCGGTGGTCATTTTCCAGGAAGCTTGGTTTGTCTTGCTCATGAAAGATTATTGGTAGCGGATACTCTGGTAACCACACCAAGTGCATTGGGAGATTGGAGTAAAGGTCCTGGAGGAGGAAAAAATACAAGACCGGATGGAATGAATAGTTATGCTTTCATGTGGAGTATTCCTAACATGATACCCCTAAGTGCGGACGAAGTAGCTGGGATGTGGGAGGTACTGAAACCTCATGGCTTCTCAAGTACACATGGAGCTTTCGTAGGGACGGATGTGGTTGATGGTAGTAACGGAAGCAAGAAAGGGGTTAAACAGAGAGTACTTGAAAGTATGCAAATCCAAGTGAGGAGGATGGGTTGGAACAGCCATGTCTTCTTGAAAGAGAATCTGGATGAACAGGAAGAATAGGGTCTATGATACTTATGATAACGATAATGATGATTGATACCCCCATGTCTCAGTATAGATCTTCTATATTGTCTTAACTAGTTTAGCCTGGGAGTTTCGAATGTTTTTAGACTAGCTTAAATATTGATGGGAATTCATACTTGGTTTATATCATATCCTCCAGATCGCTGTTGTCTACTTCAGTCTTATTTCGAGCGCAGCGAGCAAAGGGGGTTTGGGGGCTTGCCCCCATGAATAGAATTATACTAATCTCACAAAATTATCCTATGAGAGCCTTGAATGCTACAAGAGCCAAATATATGATCCGATAGACAACTCAGATGACGCTCCACTGGTCAGATATTTTGACCACGAAAACCCGATGGTTGACTATTTACATGTATACCGTTAAATTGATATTCAAGTAGATAGATGACCCTCCGCTGATCCTCCGGAAGCCACTGCCGTGGAGGCAGACTAATTGTAAGGAAAAAGAGATGGGTATATGACCTGATTTAACATCCAGTTTGAGTAGCCAGCCTCTCATTCTTTACTCTGTGGCGTCTAATCTTACTATATAGCTAACCCGTATGTACTTTTATACAGTAATAGATATGTTTCTGTAATTATGTTTGTATATTATATATATATACATATATATATGGAAACAAGCATCTGGATTCCTATATTCGAAGTCAGCTCTCTTCCCAAGTGTTTCATATAAACACCTAATATGTAAATAAACAAATCTAGTCAAAGCCCCTGAATATCAACCCTTATCCATTGTTATCGCACAATAATCTACAGGGTCCTTCCAGGGCTCAGACTCTCATCTGATCCCCAATTTTAATTCCCATAAGCCCCAAGCTTGGATCTCCCAGCGTCGTAATCAAATAATTTACATGGAGGACACAAAATAGTCATTTACACCAATTCTGGGTATGCACAAAGCAAAATACGAATTCTCCCACAAATACCCAGAGTAGGTATTGCATTACACATAAGAGGAGTACGTACCTTAATATAACATAATTTTCGGACATCATTCCTTGGTACCGAATCTTAGCCAAGGGGATTCGGGTATGGATGGCAGTCGATACTACATAGGTAGGGGAAGCAAACCAAAATAGGAAGTTATCAGAATGGCAGCTTTCTCTCATCATTCTCAATATACCCATTCGACGCGCGATCATTTTAGAGAACCTCTGTCGATTTGGAGAAGGTTATTATTGGTTTTGCCGACGGATCTGGCCGTGTCTTTGCAGAGGATGGCAGACCAACAGAATTTCAATGTGGTTGGGGGGAAGACATCGAGAATACCGAGGTTAGTGAGGGGATGGGTGAGAGATTGGAGTTGGAGACGAGCTCTTAGCTTACCGCACTTGTTGGTGTGTGTTTGGGTGGTCGTTTTGTTATCTGGAGAGCGTTGGGTTTTCGAGGAAGCTGTGCGAGCTTGTGCGTGGGAGGAATGGGAGAGATGGGTGAGTTTTCTTGAGGAGGGGGTGATATTCTTGAGATGGATGGGACGAGGCTGATGAATATGTTCGATTTGAATAGCCTCCAAATTCTACGCCCCATCACTTGATCTTTCTGGCAGATCCTCAGTTGACGGATCCGCATTCATACCCTGATAGGCCATGGCCGTTGTCGACTTTCACCGTCTGGCATACGGATAATTATATGAAGAGGTCTTATATACAACTTTCGAAACAATTACACCCGGATACTATATTTTTCTTGGGGATTTATTTGACGGAGGGAGAGAATGGAAGACCGCGCATGGAAATTCAGAAGATCAAGCATGGGCAAAAGGAAGACGACCAGCAAAAGAACAAAAACATTTGGAGAGTTGGGGGAAACGATACGGAGAGGATTTTTGGCTGAATGAATACGGTCGGTTCTCCAGGATCTTCTCGGACAATTGGAATTTAGGAGGAACAGAAGCTGGAGTTGGACAGAGAGGACGAAAGCTCATTGCAAGTTTACCTGGAAATCACGATTTGGGCTTCGGCGCACAAATTAAGGTTCCCATCCGTGATCGATTTGAGGTTTACTTTGGAGATGTAAACAGGGTGGATGTTATTGCGAATCATACCTTTGTTTCCGTGGATTCGGTATCGTTGAGTGCTGGAGCATCAGAACGTCCAGTTAGTGAAACTGCGCCTATCACCAAACCAGTCGAGGAATTTCTGAACAATGTTCAAGTCTCCAAACGAAAAGCCGTGGCTAGAGAGTTGGACTTTCAGGCGGGAAAGGAAAGAGCTATACAATATTCTCATTCAGTTCAAGATGTTGAACTAGCAGATTATGCACACTTACCAACTCTTGATCCTGGACCAAATGGTGCTGACTTTCCTACTATTCTTCTTACCCATGTACCGCTCTATCGAAATCCTGGAACTCCATGCGGTCTCCTCCGAGAACATTGGCCACCAACTCCGCCACCAAAGGGGCAGACCATGCCAGTCATACCCGATCATAGAAATGCCATTAGTGTATCCAAAGGATACCAATACCAAAATGTCCTCGGCGATGACGACTCCAAAAAACTAATTTCAAAGATTGGCAATGTAGTTTCTGTGTTCTCAGGCGACGATCACGATTATTGCGAATTAGTACATCCAGAAGACAAAAATCACGCCCGAGAAATAACAGTCAAAAGTATGAATTGGGCAATGGGAATTCGAAAACCTGGCTTTCTCATGCTAAGTATGTGGAATCCAGTTGGCGCGGATGGAAAACCTTTACATGCGATTCCTACGGGTCATGGGGCTGAAAACACGCATACTTCCACGACAATGGAATCGCATCTTTGCTTATTACCGGATCAAATTGGCATTCTTATAAATTATGGAATTTTGGTGGGGATCTCACTTCTTCTCCTGATTATCCGAGCGATTCTCGTGCCTCTTACGAATCTTACCCCTTTCGCCCTTGAATCAAAAGGATCTCCGGGCTCGGGTAGTCCAATTGATTCGGAGTTCTCGCTGTTGCCAACTAGTATCAAAGATCTCAAACGCGAAGACGAAGAGGAGAAAGATCGGAGGAGTGAAGGAAATTCATCAACTTCGAGCACGGCTACGGTTAATACTCTCGCAACTCGTACTTCTAGAACGAGAACCTCGAGTCCGGCGAATGGCTATGGATTACCGGGACAGGGATATTCGAATGGAGTTCCGTATCAACAGGCTCAGCCGTTGATTGAGAAGGCGGGTTATTATGGGGGGTTGGAGGGAAGAATGAGGTGGGAAAGTGAGAGGGAATTTGAAATGGAGATGGAAAGGGAGAGGAAGAGAAAAGTGGAGATGGAGAGGAGGAGGAATTATAAACCTTGGAGGATAGTGGTCTGGTGGGGAGGATTTAGAACCACGAAAATGGGGAGAGTACTGAGGGAGATGGGGTGTAGTGTTTGGAGAGTTCTGTGGGTGGTTGGCGCAGTGTTTATGTGGTTTACTTGGTTTGGTTAAGGGGCTGTGTGGCTGGGTAAATGAGAGGAGCCGAAGAGGAGCTTTGAGTCGCGTTTCTTAATCTTTTTTTTGGCTGTTTGGCGGGCGTATCGGTGATGGTGCACCTAAGGCGTGTCTGCTTGCTTGCTTACTTGAGTACTTTATTCTTTCTACCTCTACTTCTACTTCTACTTCTACTTGCACTTGGAAATGGGCTCAGGCTCGGGTCTTCCCTCTTTATAAATATAAAGAGAAGCTTCGCATCGCGTCACTTGCGTCGCTAGCAAATTGATTGGTTGCATTGGGATACGGTGGTGGATGGTGGGACATACTGATCTGATTCGGTCTGGGTTATGGATGGATGGATGGATGGATGGCTTTTATCTTGGTCGAAGGCTGGGATTCAAAACACAGCATGAAAGGGAAAAAAAGAGAGGGTAAGAAGAGGATCGCTTTCGCAGGTAGCGTTTGTTTGTTATGTTAGTGGGCTAGCTGGCGTGTAGCATGGTATGTAGGTAGCTGTTGAAAATGAAAATGGAAATGGAAATAAATAATATGACAATATGATCACGAGGGAAGAAAGGAAACTGTTCAAATTGGATGGATGGTTAGTTGTGAAAAGTGATTAATTGATTGATTATGTACGCTGCTTGATGAATCGGTAAATATTATGGGATGGGATAGGGGGAAAGTTAACGAGGCGAGATGAGGTAGATGGGGAAATAGGGAAATGGGGGAATGGATATGTACGATGTGGTATGATATCAAGTAGATGGTGATGATAATGAGGTGTGTTTTTGTTTCAATTTTCATTGTATGTACTGTGGATGCTCTATTATGGCGTGCTATTCCTGATGATTTTTCGTGGATGCAGTGATGAGATTTTTTGAGTGTGGGAATGATGATGAGGATAATAGTGATGTTAGGTGTGGAGGATTTGTTTTTACTAGGTATTGACAATACCGTATTGATGGGTATAGGTTCTGGAGAGGTTAAGGTGCTATAGATACATATAAATTTGGAAGAGTGTTTTGAATTACTCATATACATACATGTAGATACAGATGATTTTGACGTTAGCGATTCGAACACGATGAGTTTGAAGCTACCAAGTAGCTAGGTATTCAATTTAAACCCTCCAAGACTGACCAAAGGTACCTACGCGAGGTGATTATTGATTTAATCTCTATGATGGTATCAACATCCTATCTTACACTCCCCATTCCTCTCAAGACCCATCAACAACCTCGTCCCTCCTCACCGGCGTATTCCCAAAGCTCTCCAGCCCCCTATCACCACCTCCAATCTTCTCTTTTGCCATCTCGCTAGAAGCATCCATGAGACCCTTCACGTCATTCATTTCCAATTCCTTGATACTTGCATCTGCTTTAAGCGCCGCATATCTCTGACCCGCTTGCGTCAACAATACTTGAACTTCCTGTTCTCTTTTCCCAATTTCCTCTTTTTCCTTTTCTCCCTCTTCAATTTTCTTTTTTCGCTTGGATAATTCAAGTTCCATCGTGCTCAACGTATTCTGTAATCTTTCCAAACACTCTGATAATACCGGAATCGGCGTGATTCTCGCGGGAACCTGATTTTCTTCCCTCGCAGCAGCTGCATCATCATGTTTGTGAAGACCATCCATACCTGCTCTCGTTTGGGCAGCTTCATAAGCGGCTCTTCTTTCCGCTTCTGAATCATCGCTTTCTTCATCCGAGCTACCTTCGGCTTGTTGGATTAGATCTGCCATTTCTTTCTTCCGACGTCGTTTCTCCTCGCGTTCTTGTTTTTTGCCAAGAGAAATTCGTCCGTCGTCTACGAATTCTTCAAAGCCCTCCATGATCTCTTCATCGTCGCGCACTAATCTTGATTCTGGTTTCTTTTGTCGAGGAAGAAGTGATGTAATTCTTCCTCCATCTGGTTCATCATCATTCAACGAGATGAAATCTTTTTCCCTCGCCATTCTCGCCCTCCTCTCCTTCTTTTCTCTAATTTCTGCCTCGGTAGGTATGATTGCAGCGCTCCCTCCAAATCCTCCAACCATATCTCCATTCCCATGTAAATCCACAACCATTGCTCCCTCCAATTCACTCGCATCCAGAAACGGTTCTTCTCCTCCCCCAACCTCCACATCGGCCAATTCTCTCATGGCAGAAGCCTGCGAACTCTTCAGTTCTTTCAAGTAATCTTTACTATAACTCGGTCTTCCCATATCTGAATCTCCATCCCCATCCCCATCTTCATCCCTCGTCCTCATCGGCAATGGTACCCTCGTATTAATCTTCTTCGCATTTCCCTCTGCAACCTTCCTCGAAAGAGGTTTCTTCACCAACGTAAACGATTCATCGTCCTCCAGATTCTCGGCATCGGAGCCAGATATTATATCGCCTACTCCAAAGGAGAGACGGGAAGATGCAGGTCTCTTTTTCTTTTTGAAAGATGTGGTTTTGACGCTCGGAGGTTTGTTTAAGGAGCTATCGTCGCTAGGAGTATCGGTTTTCGACGTATTGTCTTCATCTTGTGTTAGATCTTCGAATGCGATACTCCGGCGCAAATTAGATTTCTTGAGTGGTTTGCGAACTGCCGACATCTTGTCTTTCTTTTAATTCAAGATTACTCTTTCCGGTAAACGAGTTTATCAATGATTTCCCTCTACTGTCCAATCCACCAAGAATACTGTTCTCAAGTCGTAATAAACAAAAGACGCGTCTTCTACAATGAAGCTGTGTTCCGCCTTGCCATCCCGATAAATAAAAGTCACCTAAATGCACCTTCTTATCACCACGTGACCTCTAACATCAGCCTCACGAAACCTCAATACAGCCACGAAATTTTGGTGTATATTCGTCGCAAGCAATCAAGCTTCCAATTTCACACCATCTACCCGACGAATTCTACAAAAACATATCGTCAAGATGCCTCAAGCTCAGCCTGAGCTTAAGAAGGTATGTGCGATTTCTGATATTCCGTATCTCTAGGAGTTGGCGGCAACGCGAGCAGGCGGTAGATTGAAAGCATATTGATCAATCCGAGCTACTGCGCGAGAGCTAGGGCATATAGGAGAGTTGAAATTGATAGCTAATATGATGCGACGATACAGTACCTCGATAAGAGACTTTTTGTGCAGTTGAATGGTAGCAGAAAGGTGATTGGTGTATTGAGAGGTTACGATGTAAGTTCCTCTTCTTGCGCGCATCCCAATTCATTCTAGCTAACGCGCATACATAGGTCTTCTTGAACATTGTGCTAGACGATGCAGTTGAGGAGAAAGAGGGTGGCGAGAAAGTAAAGATTGGAATGGTTGTATGTTGTTGCATTTTCCGCAGACTCATACCCAAAAGTTAACAAGCCCTTCAGGTTATCCGCGGAAACTCAGTTGTTATGCTCGAGGCATTGGAGAGAATAGGTGGAGGAAGGGAAAATCGTGAACAGCATTAGGAATGTCGAGGAATTTGGTTTGTCGGAGATCTTCAGGATGAAAGATGAATGGGAAGGACATCGAAGAATTATATCTGGACCATGGCGTTTACAGGTTATATGAAATACAAATTGCATATTGAGGAGCACGGAAGAGGAGATAAAAGAATCTTTTTGGCAAGATGAACCATGATTTCTCGAGCTAATGCTCTTTTCAAAGGAGCTTTTGCAATCCATTGACTTGAGGCTACCATAATGTGAAATGCGACTGAAAACAATATCCGCATCTCTTACTTTATTTCCTCCCACTTTCCCTCCTCAAACCCATCCATAAGCATCCCCTCAAACTCTTTTACCCACCCCTTAATACCACCCTTCAAAACCGCAACCTCCATATCACTTTTCTTTCCAAACTTTGCTACATCATCAATGTAATCCTGCATCCAGCCTGCACATCTTGGTCCCCTCCCAGTTGATGATCCTACGTTCCATAAACATCTCATTTCTCAACCTCAGACACGAAGAGTACATACCACAATAGAAAATGACCTTTGTCATACCCGCTCTACTACAGAGTTCATACAGCGACTTGCGAGTTTGATAGAAACTCTGAGCGGGAAGATTGAAGGAAGTTTTGATGGTTCCGCCCTACACACAAAAATCAGAAATACTCAACCTCAACCTTGAACTGAGATCCGTAGAGAATAAATAGCATGGCATCATATAGATTCCCGCTCGAGAAAGCCCTCGGAAAACGCAAACTATATCTCCAATGCAATATATGAGGAATATACATACCACCCAATCATCTCTTCTAACATCCACCAACAAGAAGGATCTCGGCTCAGATGTGATATCCATATCGTCGAACAACTTCATCACATCGTCCGCAGTGAGCTCTGGGCATTTTGCTCTGGCTTCGGGGAATGCTTTCCACCATGGAGCTTCTGACTTTGTATCTTTTGTGTCCGTCATGATTGTTATGATATGAGATGCAAGATGTGTAAAAAGTTTAAGAAGATTGAAAGATTTTATTTGGTGGTGTGTCATGAGTTAGGCAGCTTTTCTTTCACATGTGGCTTGCCAATCGTACGCATTTGCTCAATGTCATCAATTTCAAGTTCATAAGTTAAGGAGCTCAAACGTGTGAAATATTCCATATCATTTCTTTCATTAAATACAGAGGTATATACAGGATGTTGGATTATACAATTTAAAACGAGAAAACTAATGACCCTTTTTACCGCCCTTCTTTGCCTTTTTATGCGCCTTTTCACCCATCTCCTGTTCATAGATTTCTGCAGCCGACTCTCCTGCCTTTCTCTTGGATTTCGCACTCTTTACACCAACTACTATATCCTTCTTTCCTGATTTAGCAGCATTTTTGACTTGCTTCTCGGCTTCTGCCCACCCTGGTGCTCCTGCTTCGATTTCATATCTGGTTAACGAATTAGTATTGCAGTATCTGAATTGGTTGGATCAAAAAGCTTACTGGTCCAAAGGAAGAGCATCAATGAGCTCCCTTTGCTTCTCCTTCAAAGCTTTCATAGCTTCATCTCCACCTTCCTCCAATTCTTCTTCGAGTCCCTGTTCTAGAGGTACGA